CTTCACGCGCCTACACTTACAACACTGCCCGCATGGTGGACGAGCAGGGCATCATCCGCACCGAGGACTGTGCCGGCGCCATTCTCTATGCCGCCGAGAGGGCGACGGAGTGCACGCTGGACTGCATCCAGCTGCTGGGTGGCATGGGCTACACCGAGGAGATGCCGGCATCTCGATTGCTGAGAGAGTAAGTCCCCAATACTAAATCCATTGGTCAAGTGAAATATGGCTAACTGTCTGCTCTAGTGCGAAGCTGTACGAGATTGGAGCCGGCACATCGGAGATTCGCAGAATGGTGATTGGGCGCGCCTTTAATAAGCAGTATGCCAATGCTTGAGGCGCTTGAGTTATAGAAAAGAAAATAAGAAGAAAAGAGAAGGGATAAAGGGCAGCTTTCCAAGCATTGTTATGCCACATAGGAAACATCTCGTATATTTGTGTACTGATATATAAGCTGTCTAATAGAACAAGGCATTCAGATCAGATCAATCTGATCACCCTCTCATCTTGAAGAGCCACGCCGTTCACCATGTTGGGCATTCCATCTCGAACTTTGTGCTGCATGTGTACTTCGAATACACACACTTCTGTGTCATTCTACCTCGTCTATGCCACCCAGACAAGACACTCTTGGCCTTCACGTCACGGGCTTCATTGATACACATGAATACTGCAAGTTCATATTCAAGAATCGCATTTTACTAAACGAATCAAACTTTTCAGACTCTCTACCTGATAGAGGGTACCAACATATAACGCCAGCGAACAAACCCAAAGTAAAGCAAATCCAATAACAACCCTATTTACTAGCCCGCCCCTTTTCATTCCTTTTTTCTTCCCACGGGTTTGACCCTACTCCAGACCAAGAGCGTATCGCCTCACCTCCATCGGCTCCGCGCCGAGATGCAGCGCCTCCCATTCCCTCACGCTATCCTCGGCCCTCTTTCCCGTGGCCGCCTCGCAGACATGGTCCCAGGGACCACAGTCTGGGCGGCAAACAGTATTCTTCCCTGGGACGGCGCCGCTGTGGAAGTAGTCGGCGACTACCTTCCAGGTACACCTGCTTGGGGCACTGCCCCAGGCGCTGTGTCCAATGGACTCCTGAATCACAACAGCAGAGCCAGGATGTTCTTTGGCCATCTTGCGAGCAGCCTTGAGGGGAGCGACGGGATCGAGGCGGCTGCTGATAAAGAGCAGCGGCGCGGCAGGCTTTGCGTTAAAGAGCGGCCTGGCGCTGTGTTTCGGGGTAGAAAAGGGGCCCTGGAAGGACCAGTTGGGACGGACAGGCCAGGAAGAGCAGGTCATGCGGATGGAGGCCCAGAAGACACCAAAGACCTTTGACCTGCCGCCCTGTTTCTTGGCGTACTTTTTCCAGAACTTGGTGTTGCGATCAGTCACGTCCTCCCCATCACCACAGAGCACGGCAAACCCGCCCTCGTCCTTGGGATACGGCAGCAAGCCCGACGCAGCATTTCTCTTAGCCTGACAAGCGTCGGCCACCTTGGGGATGCCGGAGTCGGCCCAGCTGGCGACGCGTGTGAGGTTTCCCTGCATGCCCTCGAAGAGGGCGAGGGCCAGGGGCTGGAACTGCTGCCGGGGCTTGTAGAGGGCGCTGCCGACGACGCGGAGGACCTGCTCGCCGGTGAGGCTCATGAGGGCGCCGTTGGGGCGGTAGATGGGCGCGGGGGACTCGTCGAGGGCTTCGACCCAGTTCCAGAAGCGCTTGCGGGCCTTCTTGGGGCTGTCGTCGGTTTCGCGGAACGGGCAGAGGCTGTTTTCGGACCTGAAGCAGCCGTCCCAGAATTCCTCGAAGATGGTGTCTGTGTCTTCGAGGTTGGTCGTCCAGCCCTGGATGTCAAAAATCACTCTTTGTTAGATACAGCATCATCTCACAAGTCTTACTTAGGTTCGTGTGACTTACATCTCCCTCAAAGTAATCTGTCGCATCGGCAACGCCATCGAGGACCATCCGGCCGACGCGGCCCGGGAACATGGACGCAAACGTGTTGCCCAGGACGGTGCCGTACGAGAAGCCAAGGTACTGCAGCCTCGGCGTGGGATCGTCCGCCTCCTCCGGGCCGCCGTGGCGCGGCTTGTTGTTGTTGCCCTCGGGCTTGGGAGCAGCAGCAGCAGCTTTTTGGGGGCCGGCCTCGCGCTTCCCCAGCTCGTCGATCTTGTCGACCATCTCGGCCATGTCGCGGGCGACGCTGGGCGTGTTGACGTACCTTAGGGCTTCCCCTGCTTCGCGCTCGCACCGCATGGAGAGGGCCTTGGAGAGGCTCAGGCCGTTGATGACGGCGCCCTCGCCGGAGGTGAGCGAGCCCTTGGCGTGGTCCTGCAGGGTCCATGCCGTGCGGGCGAAGTCGTTGGGGCCGAAGCAGTCGACGGCGGGAGCGGTCCTGCCGATGCCGCGCGGATCGAACGAGATGAGCTCGTAGTGCCGGACGCCGGGCTTGTCGATGAGGATCCTCTGCAGGGCGGCGCCGTTCTTGACGAGGTAGTTGACGCCCGAGGCGCCGGGGCCGCCGGGGTTGACAAAGACGCTTCCGCCAAAGGTCGGGTCGTCGTTGGGGACGGCGGCGGGCAGCTTGACCATGGCGATGGGGATGGTGCGGTTGTCGCCCGCGGACTTCCAGTCCAGGGGGACCAGCAAGCGGGCGCACTTCAGGCTGCCGTAGCAGTCGTGGAAGTCCAGCTGGTGACTGGGGACGACGGACGCCCAGTCGAATTCCTGAGGAGAGGGAGGGGACGAAATGGGGAACGGAGGGGGGGAGGAAAGCAGGCTGCTGCTGCTGTTTGAGACAGCAACGCCTACAGGCGATGCCGCCGCAAGAGTTGCTGCTTTGAGCAGCAGGGGGAAGATGTAGCGCCTCACAGACATGGCGTAAGGGTTTGTTGCAAGTAAAGTGAGTGTAAGAATTGTGTGATTATGTATCAAGACAAGCGAGAAGTTTCCGATCGGTTGTCTGTGACGGTGAGTTTACGGAAACAGAAATGTAGGAAGAGGAAGGACAAGAGCAAAGGCGAGGACTCCCCCTTTTATACCAATGTCTCCGGCATGGCTTGGGGTTACGTCCATAGTAGAGAGACAGCATGACGTGTGCTCAATCATGCCGCGAAGCATCAGAGTAGGGCGAGAATGAGGCTGTACAGATGTTATACTTTGAGGCTGGTGGCGTATGGGTAGGGCACGATAAGGGGCATGTAAGTATGGGAGGAGGCGGACCGAATAGGCTAAAGTAAGCATAATCAGAGGTCTAAGTGAACTCAATACGCTCAGCTAAGTCTCCTTTGGACTACTTTACTCCCCATATGGATATACTTTCTTGACTTGGAGACTTCGCTTGGCTTGGGTAAACTTGCTTTCCTCTAGCTGGCCGATCCAACTCCTTGGTTTGGGGAGTGATAAGGAGAAAGAGGCTTCGTAATGACCATCTCTAGCCGGGAGAAGGGACAGGCAGATATCGAGCAGGATCTGTCTATTGTATGGTAATCTAATGTCATAACGCATCAGTCGTCTCTCTGTCGGTTGCATGGATGATCTCCTCATGCACACTGTCCACTGGGATGGTTGGCTCTTGAGCTCAGCCCCAGCAGTCGTATGGCTTCAATCATGCTTTTCCGCCCCAAAGCATGCACCGAGCACCATCCCCGAACCAGAATAGGCCTCAATTCTTCCCCTTCAACTCGGCCTCCCTCAACGCAGCCACCTTCTTCTCAGCCTCCCTCTCCTCCTCCTCATCCGGAGGCAACTCGCTCCCCAGTTCAATCCTCTCCGCCCACGACCACCCCATCCCGCCTTCCATCGTCGTCTCGTCCATCACCAGCTCCTCTCCCTCCCCAAACGTAAAGATGCGGTAGTCGGCGTTAAAGTACCACCACCCGCTGACGCCGTTGCGCAGAAACGCAGAGTGCGTGAAGACGAGCACCAGGTCCTCGGGCCTCTCGCGCAGCTTCTCGAGGCACCGCCGTCCGCGACGCAGCACGGCGGAGCGCGTGTAGCCGAAGAGGTGCCTGGCGATGGGGGACGCCGTCTTGTCGGGCCAGAGGGGGTGGATGGCGGAGAAGTCATAGCTGGGGGAGCCGAACTGGTGGGCTGTGTGGTTGTCTCTTATGAGGACTAGGCTGGGGATGGGGGTGCCGACGTCGCAGGGCTTGTCTGAGATTTCTGTTGTTTGTTAACACGTTAGACTTGTTCTTTAGATCTTCTCTTATGAGATTGGCAGAGGTATGTGATGATAGAGTGTTGAATTGAGAGAAGACGGCCATGAGAGGGGGAGAGTAGGTAGGTTAAGTCACATACCCTGCCAATCGGCGTCGGCCTCAATCTTGACCCCTCGCTCCTCAACCAGCCAGCCAGCCGCCAAACTCGCCGTCTGAAGAGTGCGTATCATGGGGCTTGAGATGATGGCGATGCTGCCCTTGAAGGAGGAGAAGCGCTGGATTAGGCTTTGTCGGAGCTGCGCGCATTGCTCGATGCCGAGGTCTGAGAGGACGGGGTCCGGGATGGAGCTGTCCTGTGGATTTTCATTGTTAGTATTTAGAAATGAAGGGTATTTTACTGGGGAGGACTTATTGGTTTGGTTGTGCAGGGCCTGGGCGTGCCGGATGAGGACGACGGTGGGCGGCATTGTGGTGGTGGTGATGGATTGGATGGTGTTGATGGTGTTTGATGCGATTGGATGCACCGGAGGTACGAAGTATGATGGAATTGATGAGAAATGGGGGTGTCAGTTGAGTCACTGCACGGTGACCTCATCAGCTCAGGCACACCTCCAATCAGGGCGGCCCTTTCAGCGGTTGGCAGCTTCTAGCGGTTTTCTATGCGTGCATGTAAATTAATTGTGATACACACCTCAGTCCTATTCATTTGCCTGCCTACCTTACCTATTCTCATGTCTTATATGGAATAAGTATTGATGATTTCAAGCAGGTATCATTGAGAGAACTGTCAAACTGTCTTATAAAACGAATTAATGATAAAACTGACGCTTCAAAAGTTGCAAGAGGTACATTCTACCTACCAGATTCACACACCTCATCTCCACGTCTTTCATCGTCCTCTCCTCCACCACAACTTCTCCAACGTCCTCCAGTTCAAGGATCAAGGAAGTTGCCTTTTCTCCAGCTCTCCATACTCGTACTTCATCCTGCCTGGAAACGCCCCCAAACAACATGCTTCGTCTAAAGTCATCCGTCCAAAGCCTCGCCTTCAATTCTCACCGAAAAGTCACCCGCCGGAGCCTTTTCCAAAACTCAATCTAACCTGTCAAGTTGGGAACTGGCTTTAACGCGGCATCTTTCGGCGTGTTTCTGAAAACAAGCTTTCACGTTCGCGGAAACAAAGTGAGGATTGGAAGTTGAGAAAAGCTCCGTGCAAGTGAAGAATGTTTCCGGGTCTGCATATATAAAGAGCCCCTGCTGCCCCTTGATCTTCTCCTCGAATTTCGGCTTCTACACCATTCAAATCATCAAAACAACTTTCAATTTCATCAAACATTTTCAATTTCATCAGAACTCATCAGAACACTCTTGTCCTGCCGCTCAAGCTACCGAGCAGGTGTACCTGGAACATCGCCGCCGATAATCTCCACAGCGACATGCTTCTCCAAGGACAATACCGAGTGTCAACCAGACTGCAGACCCTGGGGCCACAATCTGCGAAGCCGCCTCTGGCAAGCGGTCCGAGCCCAACCTATTGTTCGGGAGCGGGGAGCCTTCAACCTGAACGAGGATTTACATGTCATTCTTCTGGTCTCCCTGCTTGCGCATCTTGGCCACCTTCTCCTCGAGGTAGTCCCCAAGCCTTTGCTGTGCGCCAGGTCACATAGGGCTGTAAGCCCGGATTTCACAATGCGTTCCAGAAAGGGACGGTTTTATGACAATTTACTTGGACTAGCATGATCCTTCATCGGAGAAGCACGACTCCAGCCATGGCCGTCCATCAGTCTCTGGCCTGGACTATTCTCCATTGCCACGTGTGATACGGGGACGCTCGTGGGCCATGGGAGCTCTGGTCTCAATGGGTGGATTGATGTAAGTACCCAGCTTGTCTTCTGTCAAGCTGATAATCCATGGACTTGTGCTAATGTCTCTTCCTTCTCAGCTTTGGATACGACTGCGCAAGCTTCTCGCTTTCGACCGCCTCTACATCGTGGGTGCTCACGGAAACTACTTCACGAGGCGATCGGTTTCGGCCGGGCTCCCAGACAGACCTTGCTGCTGGCAACTACACCGTCTACCTCAAAAATCACTGGCCAGCTCTTTTGGACAAAGTTCATCTATACATGAGTCCATAGTATACATTGGGTTTCTACATCGGTCAACCCGTACTTACCCCTAGTACGCCGCATACCTATCAATACAAAGACCACACACGATGACGCTACTTTGACAGGAAGCTCTGGAAAGCAGACTGGTCAATCACCACATTCCCCACCGCTCTCAATCTCTTCCGCCCCTCCTTCTGCTTCTCGAGCAGCTTCCTCCGCCGGGTAATGTCGCTCGCGTGCAGCTTCGCCAGGACGTCCTTGCGGAACGGCTTGATGGTCTCGCGGGCGATGACCTTGTTTCCCACCACGGCTTGAATGACGACCTCTGGAAGCACAAACAAGAGTTAGTACGGGATTACGTTGACTTTTGACGGAAAGGGTTGGATATTCATAAGGGATGACGAACCAAACATTTGGCGGTCGACGTGCTCCTTGAACTTGGTCACCCACTGCCGGCCCAGACGATCGACCTGCGTAGCGTGGACGACGCGGCAGATGGCATCGACGGGCTGTCTGTTGACGAGCAGCTGCAGTTTGACGAGCTTGCTCTGCCGCCAGCCTGCGTCTTCGTAGTCGAGAGTCGCGTACCCCTTTCTTTATCACGCAACTGAATCAGTACAAACCAACACAACAAACGCCAAAAGAAACAACTTGAAGGCGGAGAAAAAGGGGAACTTACGACACGCCTTTCAACTTTCCGAATAAATCGTCGACAAGCTGCGACGCCGGAATGTCGTATACGAGAATCACCTGGTCCGTGTGGAAGAACTCGAGGCTCTTTTGCTCTCCGCGGTTGCCCTCGCAGAGCTCAATCACGCGGCCGAGGTACTCTTCCGGAACGGTGATTGTCGCCTTGACGTACGGCTCGTACAGCGTCGCCGCTCGGATCCGATGATCGCTCGCATCCGGAAACAGGGCCGGGTTCTGCACAATCTCCTCCGACTCGTCCGCATACACAATCTTGGTCGGCACGGTAGGCTCCGTGATGATGATGCTCCGGCCGTGCTCCTGCCTCAGCCGGTCCTGGAAGACGGAGCAGTGCAGGCTGCCCAGGAACCCCAGCCGCCACCCGGAGCCGAGGGCCTCCGAAAAGTCCTTTTGCAGCGTCACGCTGCGGTCGTTGAGCACGAGCTGGTTGATGCTGTCGGCGAGGCGGGTGTAGTCGCTCTGGTCGGTGGGGAAGGCCGCGACAAACACCATGGGCTTGGGCTCCTCGAAGCCGGGGCACGGCTCGACCGTGTCCTCGTCGCCAACCGTGGTGAAGGTGTCGCCCAGCTTGGCGTCCTGAATCCGCTTCATGCCCGGGTTAAAGTACACATAGCCGACCTGGCCTGCCCGGAGAACCGTCTGCGGCGTGGCGTTGGGATACTGGATGCCGACCTGGCCGACCGTGTACTTCATCCCCGTGCCCAGCGACACGACATTGTCCCCCGCCCGGATGGTGCCGTCAAACAGCCTCACCAGCAGCACCACGCCCTTGAACGTGTCATACCACGAGTCGACCAGCAGCATCTTGAGCGGCTTCTTCTCGTCCCCCACGGGATGCGGGATCCCCTCCACCACCGCCGGCAGCAGCGCCGCCACCCCCTTGCCCGTCTTGGCGCTCACCAGCACCGCCTTCTTGGGGTCCAGCTCGAAGCTCGTCTGCATCTGGTCCAGCACGCGCGGGACGTCGGCCGACGGCATGTCGATCTTGTTGATGACGGGCACCAGCGCCAGGTCCTGCGCAAACGCCAGGTGGAAGTTGGACACGGTCTGCGCCTGGATGCCCTGGCTGGCGTCGATGAGCAGCAGCGCGCCGCCGCAGCTGGCGTACGACCGCGTCACCTCGGCGCGGAAGTCGACGTGCCCCGGCGTGTCGACGAGGTGCAGCAGGTAGTCGGCGCCCTTGTGGTTGTAGATCATGGTGCACGTCTGCGCCTTGACGGTGATGCCTCGCTCGCGTTCGACGTCGAGCTTGTCCTATAATTCACATTATTCTTTTAGCTTCCTGTTCCGCCCCTCCATATTGTAAACCGTCTTGAACCCACCAGAATCTGCTTGTTCGCATCACTGGCCGAAATCGTCCCCGTCAGCTCCAGCAGCCGGTCGCTCAGCGTGCTCTTCCCGTGGTCAATGTGCGCCACGATGCAAAAGTTGCGGTACCGCTCAATTGGGATCGCGGCGATGCGCGCCTCGAGCTGCGCAGGCGTCGGCTTTGCCTGCGAGGCGTACGTCCGCCGTTGCCGCACAATCAGCGGCCATCGAGTTGTCACACTGCTGTTACTGTTATAAGCGTTGTTGGTGATAAAGTCGAGGCCGAATCTGCTGCTGCCGCTCTGGCCGCCATGGCTGCCGGTCGAATTCGCACAGCGCAGCCATTCTCGAGTCCAGGCTCGTCCGGCTCTTCCAGCCAGGCTCATCTGGGCATCCACGAAGCTTGCATTGGGCGACTTTGCGGTGTCACCTGTTTGGGTTGGCTTTTTGGAGTTGAAGAAACGGTTCGGGCGTTCTGTTGGCAAGAAAATAAAACTTGAGGTTAAAGTGGGCGGGATTATTTCCGCGCTGCCCCTCCTTGGCCGCGCTGCATCTTAACCTACAATTTCATCTACATCAACCACGATGAGTTTGAAGTCATTGGATTGTAAGGTGTGAAGATTCCTGCTCGCTTGCTCCATGATAAATCCCAGCTGTCCCAGAGAAAGATGCTCCAGAAAGATATATATACTATACACACACACATGTATGCCTTTCGATGTCTGGATCACCGAAGCAGCCAGCTTCCTCCTCCTGATATCACAGGACTCTAAAACAGGACTCATCTGCTGCGTGTCAGCAATTTGAGTCTTCCATACGAACGCGCCGTTGCTGCTTCTATCGTTCCGTCATCATGAACATTATGCCAAATTCCAGATTAATTATTCCGCCTCTTGCACATTAGGTATCGCATTGTATAAAACACATAAGCTTGCTTTCCATCACATACACGGCTCCCCTCTCTTTCTTCATGTCATGACCCATTCGCTTCCTCGTTTGAGGAACTTGTCCAGCAACAGGCCAAGGTCGGCCAGGACAAACCGGCAGATGTAGAAGCCGAAGAACTCGGCGGCGTGCCGGGTGCAGAGCTCCAAGCCGACTTGCGTCTTGTCCGCAAGCCGCAAACCGGGGTCGTCAACCTGCCTTGCAATTTGATCTGCGCCAATCGTTAGCTTGCCGTAAGTGTAGCCGATCTGGATATCGCAAAAGACTTACCAACTGCCTGCGCAGCGTCAAACAAGCGCGCGAGGGAGCCCATGTAGCTCGCATTGGGCCCGATAAACTGAACCTGGCTCACGTCTCGCTTGGCTGACCGGCTTGTCGGCTTCGGTGTCATGGGCACAGTCGGCAGTGTCGTCGCCTCCTTCATCTCTGCACTGGCGTTTCGGCTGCTGTATGACCCTCCCAGCCCAACGCCCGACGTCTTTGGCCGAAGCCTTCGCCACGAGAACGCAGACGCCTTGCCGGACACGCTGCCCGACCGCGGCACGGCTGATCCTGGCTCTCCTTCCATTATAGAGGCGTCCTTGAAGAGCAGGCCGGAACCTTGGACGCCGACTTCGTTTCCAAGCTTTCGGGCCAGAACTGGCTGTATCTGCTCCAGAATGTTCTCGAGGGCCTGCATCTCTTCTAAAACGGCATCCGCATCCAGAGTATCCACCTTTGACAACTTCAAGAGGGCTGCAGTCAAAAAGTCGCAATTCGCAATCTTGTCCTCCACGTTCTTGATCTTGACGCCCTTGACTCGCCAGACATCGCGCGGCACGAACAGCTTCGTGCTGATGTAGCCCCCCTTGGGGTGCACAAGTGTCTGGTAGAGACATCGCATCAGCCAAAACGGTCGCAGCATGAAATCGTTCGGGCAGGGTTCGAGAGGCACGGGGACGTCCATTGAGACAACAATGGGGCTTCTGGGACTCTGCGGGCTTTGGGGACCGGCAGCGGCCGCTGCGTGGAAATCGTCATCAAACAAGTGGAGGCCAACGCCCGCCGCTGCGTCCACATGATCTTTGAACGACGTGAGTAGGGGTGTCGGCAGCGCGGGCACGGGCACGGTAGGCGCCTTGCTAAAGGGGTCGTTCAGAGGGGTGCCAGGGGAAGCATCCGAGCTGTCGTCCAGGTGCGAGACCGACATATTTCTGGCCTTGCTCCTCAAGCTCGAAGACGAAAAGTTCTTCCGTAGCCTATGAATAGAAGGCGAGGCATTCAGCACATGCTCTCCCTCCAAGAGCCTCTTCTTAGCGCCTGGTGACCCGGGTGCCTTGGGTTCGGATGCGAAGCTTTCTGTTGGTATCGGCGGCCTGGGGGGCTGTGCGCTCCCTGTCCGGACGAGCGCCTCGGGAGGCGGTTCCTGAGTGCTTGGGGAGATTTCATCGTCGTCATAGACCGACTTCTGCGTCTGTACGATGTTTGCCGTCTCGATCTTGAGCTGCCTTGGATTCTGACCAGGGCGTGCTGGTGGCAGTTCCGGCAATGCGGAAGTCGGAGGGGGCGCTGCTGGCTGCGAGACGTTCGAGGCATAAGTCTGCGGAATAGGCGGCCTCTGCGAAAGGGCAGAGAAGGACCGGACGCCCGAGATGAAATCCGGCCTCGTCTCGTCCTCGTTCCATGCATCCTGCTGCCTAGCCGACACCTGCATGCCATTCGGATTCTCCATGGTAAAGTCCTCGATGGCAAAGTCGCGCGTGATCTCGTCCAGCAGTCTTTCCTCCTCCTCCGATGAGTCATCCTCGTAGAATCCCTCGGCAGTATACTTGCCCTCCTCCTGCATGTGCTGCGGATCCTGTTGGTGCGCCTGTCGGAGATGGGCCAGCTCGTCATAGGCTTCCTGCTCCGTCTGCCTCACTCGTTCGCGGGCCATTTCCACTTTCTGCAGCACGCCCGCCATGTCCTCACCGGCGTCGAGGATTCCATAGTCTACAGAATCCATGGGCTCGTATCCGTCGTCGTAGGCAGCCTCGATAGCGGCGTCCAGCGCCGTGTCAAACTCAGCCTCGGTGTTCCCGCTCACGGCCCGGATATGGCGTCGACGATAGCCAAGCGAAGAGGTGCGTGAATGTACGGACGAAGCTGTTGAGCCTCCCGACTCGTCAATTGGATCTAACCATGAGTTTTGGGCTCCTCCATCTGCATGACCATGAAGCTCGTATGAGGACAGGACAGACTCGCTGGGCTGTCGTTCGTGGTGGTGATGGTGGTGGTGGTGGTGGTGCTGATGATGCTCTTGATGGACATTCTCCTGTTGGTACTGATAAGGCTCGTGCGGTGGCAGCTCTGCAAACACGTCGTCATGCGTCTTGACCGGCGATTGCGAGCGAGGCGAGAGAGGGGGAGGCGCATACCGGGCCTCCTGATGCTGTGCGCGAAGATCGTCAGTGGACTGGAGCCGCCTGGGCGACCTCGGGCCTCGAGAGAAAGACGACTGCAACAGCCCCGGCTCCAGATTGCGGGTGGGCTGCAGTCGTTCTGATGTCGTATAACCTCCCGATTGCTGCCACTGGTTGGGCGCTGATGCGAGGGGGGGCGCGTTGTCTCCGGCGATGTAGCTCACCACTCGTGCCGTCTCAATCCTGGGAGCTTCATCGGTTAAGTCGTAGTCCTGGGGTATGAAGATGGACGCGCTGTATTCCTCGCTCTCTGGCCGCGCCGGCAGAGCCTTGACAGTCTCAACCTGCCAAGGCCCCAATTGATCCAGCTCATCGATGCGGCTTGTGTATGTTTGGCGCTACGGAGTGCACATGTTAGTTCCCAAAGATCTATAAAAGACAAACAGGACACTTCGAGATTCAGTTGCTGCCCAAGACTTACAATGGCTTCGAGCTTCCGCTTATCCTCGTCCCCTGGTGTTCGGTCAAGCACCTGCTGCAGTAAGTCGCAAGCCTCGGCATAGGCTTCTCGAGCGCCCTCGAAATTCTGGGCATTATCGAGCTGAACTGCGGTGTTGGCCTTTTGCAGGGCGCGAGAGAGCATCGCCTTCTGGGAGGGATTCTTCTGAGCACGGGGCTTGCCCATATCTCTGCTGCTCTTCCCCGAGTGATCTCGGGAGTGACCCCGGGGCGCGTAGGGATCGTGGCTCTGCTCGTGCGGCATTCTGGCGGTAGACGGCGTGGTGGTGGTGGCAGGGTTTCCGTAGGGACTCGGGGATATGGAGCGTAGGGGACCGCTCTCGTAACGCCTCATGGACATGCTCGACTCTGCCCTCATGAAGTGCGACAGGGTGGGAGTCGCGCTGCGATCTGACGAGCCGAAGTGGTTGCGATCCGTTCGGTAAGGTCTAGACGGCGCTCGGGGGCCTGAAGGATCGGGGAGGGCACCGACTACGGCCTCGATGGACGAGTTGGACTGGGAGTGGTAATGCTGCTGGTGTTGGTGTTGATGGTGGTTGTGATGCTGGCGTAAGTGGTCGACAGAGGCCTTGCGAGAGGCATAAGGGGACGTGCGACTCGACGGCGACGAAACGGGCGACGTCGACGAGCGGTTTCGGGAGCTGGCGCCTTGCTGCGGCGATGCTCCGGTGCTGGCGCCCCTGGCGGGATGCGACGACGGGGTGGACGGTCGCTTGACGCCGACGGGGGGGTGCACGGTGTCGCGATGCGTTTGACGCAGCAGATTGCCGCTGCTGCTGCCGCTGGCACTGCCACTGCTGCCGGTGCTGGCACTGCTGCCAGAAGCGGAATGCGAGATGGGCTGCTGATGGGCTGCGGCTCTGGGCGAGGGCAAGGCGTGCGACGTCTGGAGCAGCGACGACTTGCGCGGCTGGTGGACAGACGCAAAGACGGAGCGCGGCACTGGCGTGATGCGGAGCACGGGCTCGATGCCAGGAGGCTCTCGCGACGGGGGATCCAGCGATATTGGCGGCCGCGGCGGTGGCGATGTCGGTGCCGAGGGCGCGCTGGGGACAGCCGAGAAGGACGAGGAGAGATTTGGTCGGCTGGCTGCGTCTCCCAGGCCGGTGATGCTGCGGTCGCCAAAGGAGGGCGGTTGCTGCATGCTCTGGCTCTGGCGTCCAGCCGAATCAGGTTCGTACGACGTGCAGCGCTTTACAGTTGCGGTTGCTGGACTGGTGCGGGCTGCCGTCTCAGCCAATGGTCGCCTCTTCCGGCCAATCTTACTCGTACAGCGTGGGTCGGGTCGCAGTCGTGGAATTGGATGTCGCGCGCGTGTGGCAGCCGGCCATGACCTCGAGACACTGGACAGCGTTTTGTTTCTTGCGGCTTTCTGGGCGAGGCTGATGCGATCGCCAAGAGGATGCGAAGAGAGAGAGAGCACCTCAGCAGATCGACAGCACTCGCAGCAGACGGGCCTGTGCTGTGCTGAGCTGTGCGGTTGCCGTGCTGTCCTCTGGGGATTCGAATCAGTCACTGCTGGGTGCTTGACTGGGACTGCTATCGGGGATTTGGACGTCCCTGTTCGCTGTGGATCGTGGGGAGGCGGCGTGGGAGTTGCGGAAACGCAGGTCAGGCCGTGGTGGTGCATCCAATTGGCCCGGCGCAGGTACCGGTACCTCGTGCCTGTGCTGTGCCTGTGCCTGTGCCTGTGCCTGGCGATGGCCGTGGAGCCTGAGGGCCCTGAACGAACCGCCCACAGCGCTGATCCATCACCAGACACCAGACTGCAGTCCAGTGAGGAACTGGTGGCTCACCGCCGTGCCGGCCACCGCCTGGAGCCGCCAGTTGTTAGTGCATCAACGGACCAGACTGTAATTTCGAGGGTACAGGTACTTGCCCGAGGCCTGGTTCTGTGTAGCACTCGCAGTTAAGTACCACCCATGAATGCAGTGCTACGGGGCACCGTGCCTGTAGCAGCAGCAGCAGCGGCAGCGGTGATAGCAGCCCTCAGCATGTATGAGGTGCCGCTCGCAATCAATAGACCACCCATCGATGCCATGGATGGCGCACAGGTACAGGTACAGGGCACCTCACTCGTACAGGCCACTGGTCCGCCCCGGCTAGTGCCATTACCGCTGTCAGGCCCCGGAAGCCCCCTGGATGGCGCCCAGCTCGCTTGACGCTGCGCCAGATAGTAGTGCTGCGTCCTAGTGCCAGAGGCTAGGCGGGCAATCACTCCACCTGCAGTCAATTTGCACCCACTGCCGCTCCCTGGAGCCCTTAAAACCGACCCCTAACCCATCGCGTCTCGTCCCCTTTTTTTCGAACCCCGACCCCTTGGACGGGTACTCATACATGTGTTCGTACCGAGAAGGAAATGCCAGCCTATCGCGCTCCCCAATTCGGCCAATGCGGGCCCTCACCTGTTTTCGCCTGTTTCCACCCGTTTGACAGGGGGAGCGAACCAGCCTTGATTGCTCCTAGCGCCCCGTTACCCGATAATTGCCCCCTTACATGGTGCAATCTCCCATACAGCCTTATCGCTTCTGCTCAATGCCGCAAGTGAAGGACAGGGGCTGCGATAAAGGCAAGCTGATGCCGATGCCGATGGAAGCTTGTCGCAAGCTTACTCGCATAGCAGCGACGCGAGGTTCGGCTCACAGACTTGATCACACGAGAGACCTTGTCTAAACAGGATGGACGTTGACGATCTATTCAAGGTACGAGACAAGCAATCGCGGCTGTTTCTGACTTGTTCCACTTGCCAATGGCAGATGAATCTGACCGCCCTGCGCAGGCATCGGGCTCCATCAGCAAGCGTAAACTCGACCAGCCCATTCGCGATCCCAGTCAGTCCATTCACCACCGAGCTTCGCATTACCAAAGCTGTGAATACGATCTGAGAAGGATGCTAATCGTTGGCGATTGCTGTTGCAGATGAGATATACAAAGCCAGCAAGCTGAGCGACAGCTCCCATCCCCATGCTCAAGCCGAAGACGATGTAGACAACAACAACACCAACAACGACAACCCCGCCGATGACGACGGCGACTTTGGTCCCGAACTGCCACCAGACGACGAGGAAGGCCGCTTCTTTGGCGGCGGCATCTCCAAGCAGGAATCCGAGATTCTCGATTTCGTCGACAAGGCCGACGCGGGCGGCGGCGACGTGGACAAGCTCGACAGCGCCTGGCTGCGGAAGACGGTGCTCAACCTCGAAAAGCTCATCAACAAGAACGCGGAGCTGCGCTCCCGATACGAGGACCAGCCGAACAAGTTCATCGACAGCGAGGCCGACCTCGACGCCGAAATCAAGAACCTGTCGCTCCTGGCCGAGGCCTCGCACCTGTACGGGGAGTTTGTCAAGCTGGGCAGCGCGGCGAGCTTGGTCGGCCTGCTGACGCACGAGAACACGGACATTGCCATTGACGCGATTGAGATCATCGGGGAGCTCACGGACGACGATGTCGTCACGGAGACGGAGCAGTGGGATACATTGGTCGGGGCATTGATTGAAAGCGACCTGCTGAGTCTGCTCGTCTCCAACCTGTCGCGCTTCAACGAGGACGACGAGTCGGACCGCAACGGCGTCTACCATTCCCTCAGCGTGCTGGAGAACCTCAGCTCTCAAAAAGCCGTCGCCACCCGGATGTGCGAGGAGGACGATCTGCTCAAGTGGCTGCTGCAGCGCATCCAGCGCACCGAATCGCCGGTATCCCAGAACAAGCAGTACGCGGCCGAGATCCTGGCCATCCTCACAGCGGCAGCGCCCGAGAACCGGGAGAAGCTCGTCAGCCTGGACATCATCGACACCATGCTCCAGCTGGTGGCGCCGTATCGCCGGCGCGATCCAGAAAAGGGAGGCCCGGAGGAGGAGTTTGTGGAGAATCTGTTCGAGTGCCTTACCTGTCTGGTTGACACGCCTGCGGGGAGGGCCAAGTTCTTGGAAGCCGAGGGAACCGAGCTCTGCCTCATCATGATCAAAGAAAGCAAGATGGCCAAACACCCTTCGCTGCGCCTGCTGGACCACGCGACAGCCGGCACCGCCAGCGTCGAGATATGCCAGCGGATCGTCGAGTCCGGAGGCCTGAAGACGACATTTACCCTGTTCAACAAGACAAAGGACCAGCGGCTCGTGGGGCCCTTGCTCTCCATATTCTCCTCCATGCTGCGCTTCCTGCCGGCCGACTCCGCAGAACGCATCCGCCTGCTAGCGAAATTCGTCGAAAAGGAATACGAGAAGACGGCGAGGCTAGTCAAGCTGCACAGGGACTACACCGCGCGAATAAAGGCCGTCGAGGAGGAGCACCGGCAGGAAGCCGCCGCACGCGCCGGTGGCGCGGAAGAGGAAGAGGAAGACCGCGAGATACAGCTGCTGTCCCGGAAGATGGACGCCGGCCTGTTCAATCTCCAGCTCGTGGATGTCATTCTGGCGTGGCTCGTTGCGGAGGACGGGGGCGCGAGGCAGAAGATCCAGAAGCTGTTGGCGGAGACGGACGATGACTTGAAGGCGATACAGAGGACGCTCAAGGAGCAGTTGGCCGAGTTGGATACCAGTGAGGAGGATAGCAAGGATTTGGGCGATATGCTGGGCACGCTGATAGATTTCCTCGACTGAGGGGGAATCCCTGGCAAGATGTTATCAATGTACAACTACCTTAATAATGAGCAATATGATCTTTTTGTCTTTTCAGTTTCTTTCAAACTCAAATCTAGCATTAATGTGACACACCTGACCGAACAAGGAACCTCGACAATTATCATATCTCTCCTACCACCTCCCCTCCATCAGTTGTAGTATCAAACATCGCATCCCAACGAAATGTACGCTCCCCTCAAGGAATCAATCAAACAGCTTCGTCCCCCCCCTTGTGCCCATCCCAGCAACAAAATCACGCAGGCAAAGGCTTCACCTCAAACACGGCATCCAGCAAATGCTTCACCACCGTAGCCTTGTTCTTCTCGCCCGCCTGCTTAATCACCTCAATCTGCTTCTCGGCCTCCTTGTTGGCCTCTTGCTCAGCGGCCTCGTTGCCCTTGCTGTGCTGTACAATCACAAAAAGCGTTAGCACTTTGAAAAATACGCCCTTCGTTTGAAGAGAAAGAGGTTTTGTCGTGGTGATGGGGTGGCGTTGTTACCTCGGCCTCGAATTTCTTAAACTCGTCTTCCTTGCGGGCCTTGTATTCGGCGATTTCCCGCTTGGCCTCGTCGCGGGCTTCCTTGACGCGCTTGGTGCGGACTAAATATTTTCACATGAACCGTCAGTGCCCTGCTTCCTTGGCTATCGCTGTTCTTTTGGCATGGGACTCATGTGGCCTTCGAATCTGCGCCGGTTGGGGGTGTAGAGCTATTCCGTCGGATTCAACTCACATTCTCGAGCTATGTGCACGCAAGAGTCAACGTTAGCCACCCTTTCATTTCACCATCAAGGAACAAGCATGGCATGACAAGGTGCGTTTGCTCGGGAACATACCCCTCTGGACAATCTTGCTCGCCTCCCTCTCAGCCTACGCAGCCAAACAATCAGTAATCTCATCCCCCTCCCATATCCAGCACCGCCCGCTCTCGATCGATCGATAGAATCGCCGCATTGATGGAATCGAGTATCGGGAATTCGTTTGGGGATCGGAAACGTACATCGAGGAGAGTCTGGATACCGGCCGAGTTCTGCGCAGACTGCAATTATTCATTCCGTCAGCTACGCCATCTCCCCCCCATCAGCTAGTATTATCCCCAAGCCACGCAACTCACCATCTTCACGTAGTCAAATCAACAACTCGCTCAACTAAAAGGAACAGAAGAAGAAGAAGGAAGCTGTAGTTCAAGTCAAGTCTTGTGAGAAGCGTAGGAAAACGGGCAAGTCGTAGCTGTTGGGAGCTCAGCAGTTCAATGCACGCACGGGATAGAGTAGAGTCGAGCCAGAGAGTCGAGCGACAGACAAGGCAAGACAGCTGGAGCGGCATTCTTAGGTAATGAGTGACCGTTCTGTCGTCACAAGCTCGGCCTGGCTTCGGCGTTAGAAGTGCGCTCCTAAAGTACCATTCTCCGGCTCCACTAACTGGCCACAGGCCAGGTTCTCACACTGAGTTGTTAATGCATTAGGCTAGAGATACTTGTTGACTTTGTCAAGCGGCCAGTCTGACCACTCACGACACAGCTCTCTTCAACGACGCTGAAATTCTCATTACTGCCAAAAGGCCATGCTGTGATACGATTCAACGACCACGATCCATATACCTATCCATCTATCCATCTACTCAACCACCAATTCTCCATAATTCTTTTCATCCTCCAAGAGACTCTCAAATCAGCAATCATCTCATTCCCACCGATTGAATCATCAACGTTCCAAAAAAACCGAACAATCTCTTGATATAAAAAACACAACACCACATCAACCATGTCCTCCGCATCCAAAATCTCCCTCGCCGCAACATCCCTCTTCACAGCCGGCATAATCGTCTTCGTCCACTTCCAGCAACAAGCCGAAAAGGCCGTACGTCCTCCTCCTCCCTCACCTCCCCTTCCGCACCCCATCCTTCTTGTTCCCCCCCTTTGGTCTATGTGACTGAACCACCACCTCAATTCTCTCTGTCTCTCTCTCTCTCAAGCTTCGTCTAACAAAACAACAGGCAATGCACGCCGGTGTCGTCCGCGACATGGAGCAGCAGCGCATCAAGCGAGAGCGCCAACTCGACTTTGACATGCAGCGCGCCCTCGAGGAGGAGTATAAGCGCGAGCAGAACGTCCACAGCTCACTAGAACCTCTGGACAAAGCCTCTACGCCTACGAGGTAGCATCACCAAAACATGACAATTTCCACTCAGTATATATATACCTTGTACACTAGTACGGCAAGAGGACGACGAGCAGGCTCAAGGATAGACACTTCTTATTTTTTCATAACTTTCTTCTTTGTATTATTCTTTTTTCTACTTGTACAAATCGTACTCTCCGCTCAGCAATTCATCTCGCTGGCGCAGCAATAAGGGGCAACAAACTGCCCCCATATCCATTTTGTTCATAGAGCAATTTCAACCCATCTTCCCTGTTCTCCAAAACGAAAAACAAAAAGCAAGAAAGCAGAAAAAGACGTCTGCAAATCAGTGTGTTGTGAACCTTGATAACGATGATAGGCCGCATTTCCCAGCCAATAGTCTTCTATTTTTTTTTTTTTTATTTTCTTTTTTGTATTTACCTGACAGACGCGCCGGACCGGTCGGTGAACATTCGAGCTGCAATGTTCATCGACTGGAGCTCCTGGAACAACAGCTTGGCAGCGTAAGGTATGTGAATCTGCGCAATCTTGGTCTTGTTCTTGCACGGCCGGCACTCGAACGATTGTTTAGAAAGGTTGCTAGCGAGACACGTTAGCATCAGGTCACAAAGATATACAAATGGAGAACAAGGAATACGTACGCAATGGGCGTCATGAGTCCACAAATCTCGCAAATATGGACTCGGAAGGCGTCAGACACCTCAAACAATCGCTCCTTGAGGAAAGACGCGGCACCGTGTGCAATCATGCAATCACGCTCCATTTCTCCGAATCGGAGACCACCGTCTCGGGCACGACCCTCCACCGGCTGTCGTGTCATGATCTGCACCGGACCACGGGCACGGGCGTGGATCTTGTCGTCCACCATGTGGCGGAGTCGCTGGTAGTATGTCGGTCCAAAGAAGACCTGGGCCCTCAGCTTGCGCCCTGTGTGACCATTGTACATGATCTCGAAGCCTCGGGACTGGTAGCCGTGCTTTCGCAGCAGCTCCGAGACCGAGTCGACCGTGACATCAGTAAAGGGGGTGGCATCACCCTCCATGCCTTCCAGCGTTGAGACCTTGCTTAGGAGACACTCAATCAAGTGAGCGATTGTCATACGAGATGGAATGGCGTGGGGGTTGATGATGATGTCTGGCGTGATTCCCTCTCTGGTGAACGGCATGTCCTCTTGTCGGTAAGTAACACCAATAGTGCCCTTCTGTCCGTGACGAGAGGCAAACTTGTCACCAATCTGCGGAATCTTGGTCGTGCGGACGCGGACCTTGACATACTTGACATTGTCCGCGTTGACCGTCACGATGACAGAGTCCACGATGCCGTTCTCGGTGCTGCGCAGGGGCGTGGAGATATCACGCCTCTGGTGCATGGTGGTTCTGGTGCCGAGATCTTGTGTGTCGGCGTCAATCGGCGCTGTCTTGCCGATGATGATGTCCTCGCCGGACACTCGGACACCAGGAGCGACGATGCCATCCTCGTCCAGCTTGTCGTATGTGCCGTGCTTCATGCGGAGGGTGTTTTGGTGGAAGGGCTTCTCAAACACTTCGGTGTAGTTCAAGCCCACCTTCTTCTCCTGATCCGAGTAGGATCGGAAGAAGAGACTTCGGAAGAGGCCTCTGTCGATACTACTCTGATTCATGATGACCGAATCTTCCTGGTTGTAGCCAGAGTAGCAAGCAATGGCTACAATGGCGTTTTGTCCGGCCGGCAGCTCACGGAATTTCAAAAACTCCATAGAGCGGGTCGTGCCCAGCGGCTTCTGGGGGTAGTAGAGAATGTTGGCCATGGTATCCATGCGCCGGGAATAGTTGGTGAGGAAGAAACCCATGGCTTGTTTACCCATGGCAGACTGGTATGTGTTACGGGGGGACTGCACGCAGTTAGTACCTGTGTTCAAAAAGGAGAATAATGCGGGTGACATACCTGGTTGTGATCGGGGAAAGGAATGATGCTTGCACAAATGCCCAAGATCATGCTTGGATGAATCTCACAATGCGTGTACATGTGCGTTGTTGGGTTCGTCTTCGTCTTGAGTCTCTTGTTAGGATCGTCGCCAACATCCTCTTCCATCTGGACGCCCGCCTTCTGAGCACGATACAGTTCGAGATCCTCGGGCGTCATGCAAATCATGGCCGTCTCCTCTTCCTCGGCGTCGAGATATTCGACTGCACCAGCCCTGATGAGCCCCTCCCAACCAATCTTCATGCTTGGGTCTTCTGGAGGCTCGGCCTGCTCTTGAGCCAACTTATTAACCAGTTCTTTGGTCAGTACCAAGTGGCCCTTTGGAATGCCATTGTCGGATTCGTCATCTTGCTGGACGGTGAAGACGGGTCGCATGACGCGGCCGGCGTCGGAGAAGATTTTGAACTCCTGGTCTCGAATTTCTCGGACAAGAGAGACCTCGTACTGCAGGTAAGATTTACGACGAGTGTCCAAAACCTGTTGAACCAGATGCTTGGGGTCTTGGTGAACGCCCACCCAGACACCGTTGACGAAGATCTTGGTAGCGTGAGGATAACGCAATGGCTCGTATTCCTCGACGACTTCCATGCCTCTGTTGATCATGAACTCAATCAACGGCTCCGACGGAGAGCCGACACTGACGTAACACATCAGAGACAGGTTCTTGACAAGACCACAAGCCTGTCCTTCGGGTGTCTCGGCCGGGCAGACCAGGCCCCAATGGGTGTTGTGAAGCTGTCGAGGCTTCGCCAGCTTGCCGTCTCTTCCGATGGGCGTGTTGGTGCGGCGCAAATGCGAGAGGGTCGAGGCAAACGTGTAGCGGTTGAGCACCTGAGACACACCTGCCGTCGAGCTCATGGCCTTCTTCTGATCACCCCAGTTTCCAGTGGCGAGCGAGTACTTCAAGCCGTTGGAAAGCGTGCCGGGCTTGATACCAACCGCGAGATTGAAGTGTCGGTTGCCCTCCACACACCGTCTCAGATAGTTGGCCAGCTCCGTGTTCATTCTTCGCATGATGCCACGGAACAGCTTGGCCAGCAAGGGACCCGCCAGATCCAGACGCTTCTTTCCAAAGTGGTCACGATCGTCGGGCTCTCTTCTTCCGAGTGCGCACTGCAGCAGCTTATGTACCATGTAGCCCAAGAAGAAGGCCTTTCTGGTCTCGCTACCTTCCGTCTGAGAGATGTGAGGCAGTGTCTCCTTTTGGAGGATGTCCTTGGCCACACGGACACGCTTCTCACGGCCGAGGCCGGCTTGGTCTCGGTTACCACGCTTTCCGATGAAATCCAGGGCGACCTCTCGGTCCTGGACACAAAACGCCTCCTCAATGCACGGCCGAAGCATTTCCAGCATCTGACTGTCGTTTCGGTCGTAGCAAATGTGGTTCAGAATGTCTTCATCGGAAACGACACCCAGGGCGCGGAAGACAATGGCGACGGGAAGATCCGACTTGACAAAGGGCAGGGTCGTGTGAATAGTCTGACCGAAGCCTCCGCGGGCAGAATCTCCCTTGCCGTACAGCTTTAGCATCATGCTAGAGATGAGTCGCGAGCCCTTCTCGAGGGCGCTTCGGATCTCGGCCGTGTAGGTGTAAGCACTGGGCTGGGCCTTTTTGAAAACTTGGACAATGTTGGCGGCAGATCTCTCCTGGGCGATGAGGACCTTTTCACTGCCGTTGATGACAAAGTAGCCGCCCTGATCGTAGGGACACTCGTTGACGAGGAACAGGCTGTCGTCGGTTTCGCGGCTCAAATGGCAGATCTTGGACTTGACCATGATGGGCAGCTTGCCCACAAAGACCATATCCTTCCAGTCATCGGACTTGCCCACATTGTGGTCGTCATCGCCAGCCTCCTCCTCCTCCCACTCGAGCTTTGTAGGGGCCTCGCCGGTCCTCGCGTATTCCTCCTGCTGGGCATCGTCCATCTCGTGCAGCGGAATCTCCCTCTCGACGGCGGCCGACAGCTTCTTGGTAATCTTAATATAGAGCGGACTGGCGTACGTCAAGTTGCGATCTCGGCATTCGTACGGAAGCAGAGAGGTCACGGTCCCGTCAGTCTCACTGATAGTCGGACGTGACACCATGACACTTCCAAACTTGATCTCATATCGACGAAGGGCTATTGTCCGGCCGGGCGGCGAAGGCGGGTTGGGCTGGTCGAGGGTGATGGTGGAGTATTCGTTTACGAGATCCTGGATCGTCGTCTGCGTGAACTCGTCAAAGGAGTCTGTCTGCTGCGAGACAAGGCCCTTGGTTTCGAAGAAGGAGGAGATGACGGTCCAGCAGTCCTCGGGGGTGATGCCCTCATCCTCATCTCCGTAATTTTCGTAGTCGTAGTCGTCCTCGTAGTCAGCCATGGTGGCGGTAGTCGATTCAATTACGATCGGTGATCAGTAGACGTCGGTCTATCCAAGTCGTCCTCCGAGGGAATCCTGCAGCTCCTCGCTCAGAGCAGCTCTCGTGCTCGTGGGTGCAGCCTCGTCCTCGCGCCTTGGAGGGACCGCTCGAATCCGGGAAGCTCTCGAGTCAGCAGCGATCCGATGCCTGTCACCAAGCGAGCATCTGCGAGCAATCCCGGCAGAAAGAGCCTCCTCGACACGAATAGCTCCTGCAAGATTGGGTGTGTTGCACTCGATGAAGATTGATGGCGGAGAGCAGCAACTTTTTCGTGGTAATGAATGGAATTTCAGAGGCGAAAAGGATCCCGCCAGATGCTGCGGCGCGCGACGTGCTTACAGAAGCCTCGAAGCCTTGGGCTAATGCCGGATGGGTTTAGCGCCTCGATACAACAATTGCCACTTTGTAATCACAGATGAATTACATAAGCATGAGTGACTGGCCGACCTCCTGATGTTCACAATTGCAGGAACAACTTCAAGTTAAAGCACAACTTCAAGTGTAAACAATTGTTCACGGAATACAAGGTACAATGTTTTCAGATTCACTCACAGAGTTCTCCAACTGATGTGCTATCTGCCTCTTAGAAATCTTTGTATGAGCGTGTTGACCCCATAACAGCCCCTCCATGGCTGAATCTAACATCTGCTATACGTTCATTATCGTGCGCCTCAGCACCTTGTGTTATACCGCGATTGCTCCGTAACAAACCTTGTAAACGAGATCCGCTGTCATTGGAACGCTTCACAGTCTAAACCATCTAACGCTATGCAGCATTTTCTCTATATCCAAACGAAAAGGCGCCAAACTTCTTCGGGATGATCATTGTAACTGAACAAGTATCTCTCTCAAGGCATCAGAAGCCCCATGCCCTGCGCAATCTTGCGTGCCAGGGCCTTCTTCAGATACCACTCTCTTGCTAGAGACCGTGTCATCTTCGCAAACGCGGCGGGCGATATGCGGCCTCTCTCCACCGCACGTCCAAGCATAAAGATGGCGTCGCCCAACGCTCGTTCTTCTGCCACGACCCTGTACAGCTGATTCCCCACTACCGTAGGGGCTACTAGTAGCTCGTCGATGTCTGGAACAACATAGCTTCTCGACCCCTCTATGACGGCATCTGCCTTGCGCAAAGCGTCATGAAGGATATTGGTGTTGGAAGAAATAACGTTGGACAGCTGAGTGAGCTGGCCCATCTCCGCTTGTAAGGCAGACATTGCAGATAGCATGGCAGACTGCTGAGCCTCCAGTCCGGCCATACTGGACTCATTCTGCTGCCGACTGCGTTGCCGGATGGACGCTAGAGTCTGGGCGAGCTGCCTGAGGAGAGCATCCTTTTCGGGATTTGGAGGAATGGGAGGGGCTTCAATAGTCTGAGACGAGATTTCCAGGTTCAGTGAATCATCGAGAAGGTTCGGAGGAGGCGGTGGTTTCTGCTGAAGCGGTTGGGGCGGTTGCTGTTGCTGATGTGGCGGAAAGGGGATTCTATCCCATGCCTGCTGCTGCTGGGTTGGCTGCCACTGTCCGTGCGGCTGTAACTGTCCATGTGTATATTGACCTGGTGATGCAAAGTTTGGTCCCGAGGGTGGTTGAAATTGCGGCAAAGCGTGCGGGTGAGTCTGAGGGGGGGACTGGGGGGGGTAAGGCGGCAGAGCGTTTGCATACTGGGGGAGCGATTGAGTATGTGGTGGAGGTTGATAGGGTGGTCTGGATGTCTGAGCCTGCGGCGGAAGAGGGGGAGCAGAATCATATCTGGATGGTAGTCCAGCGCTGGGAGGGCTGGGAGAGGAGAGGTGAGGGTGCGGTGGGACCGGCGGTGGGCGAGCCTCTTGTCGAGGCGTATCTTGTCGAGGGACCTCTTGGTGAGGTTTGGGCGGCGGCGGTGGGGGACGAGGTTCCGCTTGCTGTGTATGAGGCTGCGCAGGTGAAGACGTCGGAGGGAGCGGCCTCTCTGGGGGATGCGGCGTAATTGGAGGCGGCTGTTGGGGCGGAGGCGGGCTCTGAGCACTCGTTCGAGCCTGCTGGCGCGCGATGACCGGCGGCTCTTTTGCAAAGATGTCGCTCAAGACGGAGAGAAGGTCATTGAGGGTCGACTTCTGTGCGCGCCAATGTCAGCTGCGTATAGGGGAGAAGGAGCATGACGACGGGACTTACATCCCAAAAGGCGGCCCAGCCAGCCAGATACGGGTGATAGAACTGGCCCTGGGGGTCGACATGCTGGCCCGGGCGGACCATCATGGTGTCCGTCGGCGTCACGTACACCAGCGGTGCCTCGCGCGGATACGCATGCGGCACCCATATGGAGACTGGAAATCTATATGTGGCGCCTCGGAAGAGGACGGGGATCGTGCCCTTAAGGTGCAGCAGCAGAGCGCTGGCGCCATTGGGGAAGGCTGTGGGCCGAATCGTCAGTTCTGGAGCGCGAAGAGTGGCAGAGAAAGACCGAAAGGCGCAATCGTACTGTGGACATCGGTTCGTGGAGCGAGCGTCGGGTACCGGGCAAGGACGGTGGCGACGTCGTTGTAGGTGCGGTTGACATCGTGATATTCCTGGCGATGGTTAAGTGGTCAGATGCGGGGTGTTGCTGGTGTCTCGGGATTGCGCAACAGCGGGCAGACTTGCGAGAAAGAGAGGAGGAAATGGGAAGATGAAGAAAGCAGGGACACTTACGCTTGTCAAGACGCTGTACAGCCAGTTGAGCACGTGCTGTTGGACAGGCATCGTGGAGGCGATGCTTGGAGATGCATTGAAGAGCGGACAGAGAGGCGGGAGTTTGGAGGAGCTGCAGGTGAATGACGGATCCGCGCATGACGACCTGCTGGGAGAGCTCCAGCTCGGGGGCTCCACTGGCAGCGGCTGGTGGGGGGCCTGATGCCCTGTAAGCCCTGTAACAGCGCTGCTGTTGCACGATAGCTTCATCAGGATTCATTTTAATGGAAGAGAGGACAGGTCACAATCACCGATTCCATGCGAATCACATGCACACTCCTGAGGTGACTCATATAGAAGTCCTACGTACATTGGTGCAAAGTGCGTGTATTCATGGTCCAAAACTTCAACTTTACACTATCGCTCAACACTCGGCGGTATTAAACAAGGGAATCATCATATTATTAACACACAACGCAGTCATCAATCATCATCCAGCGCAAAGCACCTCTCGCTGCTCTCCGCATTGTTCCCCCACCAGTTGGGCATCTCGATAATCTTGCCCGCGCCAAAGCACAAGAAGATGAGCAGCATGTTAAAGTTGAAGCCCGCGTCAAACGCCGCCGCCAGGATGTAGTTCCACCGCGCCCACAGGTCGTAGCGGTAGCGGTACGCCAGGAACATGACGACGAAGCCGCCGATGAAGCTCGACGTGTAGCCCGTGCTGATGTTGCCGTAGAAGAGCGACATGGCCGAGAAGAAGATGGTGGTGTTCCACAGCTGGAACTTGGCCCGCGGGAACATCTTGTGCAGGAGGAAGATGACGACGGGGCACACGGCGCCGACGAGGAAGCCGTAGGGCACGGGTTTGTAGATGTCCTGCTTGAAGAGGCGGCTGGGGCCGACGAGCACATACTGCACGCCGGACGTCAGCGACGAGGCGAGAGACTGGCCGGTCCACTGGTGGGTGGGATCTTCCTTGGCGCCCGACAGGTAATCCCGCTTGGTGTCGATGACCCAGCGGATGACGGCGTAGTCGATGGGAATGCCAATGGCCGAGCCAAAGACCTGCGAGAAGAAGACGGCCTTGGGGGGCACGTGCATGTAGTGTCCAATCTTCATGTCCTGGAGGTTGAGCTGCGCGCGGTACCAGGCGTCTCCCGCGATGGCGCCGTATGTCGAGGCACCGCAGGGGTTCTTGAAGCCGGACACGGCGTTGACCATGACGCCGTACAGGAGCTCATTCGTGGTTCCGATGGGCTAGAGAAAAGAGTTAGATGAGTTGGTAACCAAAGGGGATTGGCGATTCTCACCAGCTGAAAGTTGGACAGGGCATACAGCCAGCCCAGCGGCACGACAACGAGAGCGCCCGTCGCAATGGCCACAAAGTACGTCCACACGGGGATGAACAGCAAGTTCTTCGCGACCATGACGATGAGCATGATGAAGGAGACCAAGAAGAGGGCGGCAAACCACCAGAAAGGAATTTCGTCATACGGCCGCTGCAGGATGTTGATCTGGTCCTTGTACTGCTCCGTGATCTTGCCCGAGTCCTTCTTGGTCGACCGCTCCTTGAGCTTCCTGAAGCTCTCCTTGATCTGCGGCCAGCCGAAGAGCAGCATCCAGACGAGAGCGGACGAGTAGGAGGCGTAGTCGAAGAACATGCTCCACAAACTCTGCACACCGACATAGAGCTCTCCATACTGTTCGTACGCAGTCTCGTTCAGCTTGGCATCCGCCGTCAGGAGGTCGGTCAGGGGGTAGGCCGTTCCGTTTTCTATCAACACCAGTTAGCTTCACCCTTTGCACGCCGAACCAAAAGGAGGATCAGCACATACCCAAAAAGACACGGTTGGACATGAGAGCATGGTGCCACTCCCCGAGACCGCCAAACTTGGCTGCGGGAATCAGGATCCAGCAGTTGACCACAAACGCGGCAAACAGCACGACCTGCGTCCACCAGGGCGTCAGGAACAGACTGCCGTTTGTCGAGATGCTCGACCAGTCAAGCGACAGGTTGAGGAACCCCATGCCGCCGAATCCCGCGCCGACAAAGTTGGCCGTCTTGTTGTGCGGCGCGACCCAGCACAGGAAGGCCAGGGAGCCGAGGAAGGGGAAGACGAACTCGGGCAGGAACTGCCACAGGATGACGGCGCCCATGACGGCAAAGAAGACGACCATCTGCTTGCGCGAGGCGCGGCTCGGGCTCTCGCGCTGCTTCTTCTGCGTCTCGAAGAGGGCCGTCTGGCACAGCGACTGGAACCAGGGGTACTGCGGGTCGTAGATGAGGAACTGCCGGGCCAGCGCCGCGTACGAGTAGCCCGTCCAGGTGATGGCCAGCATGAAAAAGGTCGCCACGGCGCCGTTGACGGGCTCGTTGAAGTACAGCTCGGACATGGAGATGGGGGTGAAGCCCAGGTTGTACGTCGCGCCGGAGGCGGCCGAGATGGTCACCAGGACGTGCTCTTTGGTGCTGAACGGGCCCGGGTTGAGGCTGAAGCCCCATTTGGTGCCCGGGATGCCTACCCACCAGGCGGGAAGCACCTTGGCCAGCCATACGCCGACGTAGTTGGAAGCGATCTGGACGAAGAAGACGGAGTAGGGGGCATACGTCGTTCGGTAGTGGGCCATCTGCGACAAGAAGGCACCGGGGGCGACGAAGAGGATGGTCAGGAGGAAGTAGCGAAACGTCAGCGTCGGCTCCGTGGGATCGTTTGTGAAGCTGACGATGCGCCTGACGTACGGCGGGATGTCCTTGATCCGGGGATCATCCTCGTCGACGACCTCTTCCTCGCCATTTTCGTTGGTCAGGGTGTACAGGGTCTTGCCGGCAGTGAGGTCCTCCTTTGACTCGACGTCGAGGTTTGCGTCAGCTTTCTCGTCGACCCCCAGGATGTCGGCGTCTTGCTTGCGGCTGTGAGGCTCCTCGATGATGATGGGGCCAGCCGAGACGACCTCGTCTGTTGACTTTTCCAGCTGAGCGGACGCCATGATTGTAGACTTGGCCCGAACAACGCAGCCGGAAGCTCTACAAGACGTCACAGAAACTCTACGGAATGAAGAGAGGATGAGCTTCCACGTTACAGCAAAGAGAGGACAGACAAGGGATTTATTTATCCCAACGTTGGAAAGATGGAGCAGCGTTACGTGAAAGAAACTCGCCCATCTCGGACACTCTCGCGGGGCCCCCAAGCCAGCAAGAGTACGGAGTAACGTCGTTGCCTTTACGGACACTCAACCCGACTGTCACCACGCGGTCACCAAAAGGCAAACAGACTGCGGCATCAAAAAAAATCCTGAGAGTGGCAACCTGCGGCCAAGCTCCACGGCACAAGAGATCCGAGAAAGTGGAGGGCCAGGGCAGCACGCAATGGCAGGGGCTCAACACGACGCTTCAACAAAACATGTTTCTGCGATGCAAAAGGGCGTGAGGCGAAATTATTCGCTGCAAACGGAAAACAAAAAGAGGCGTACCAGAGACTATTCGTGCGGAGCGTTAGATACATTGCTTTTCACGGGTCACTGCATGGGGGGAACAGGTAGAGATGGGCTTCGTCCGAGGTCGTCAAGACTACCAGTTTTTTTCGTATAAGACGGGAGGGCAGAGTAGAGAATCGGTGGGGCCGGTGTTGGAGGCCGGGCTAACAGCGGGATTGCGATCGAGTGCCACATCGTGAAGGTCGAGGATTGCCGGCTGGGCGAAAGATGGACAAGATAGAGAGACAGTTGGGTGATGATACCTTCCGGGAGGGTCTTTTGTTCTGCATATTGGCATAGGACAGACGTATCTCACGCGGAATGAGTGTTTGCCAATTTGCCTACAAGAACATTTTCTTCAGTTCCATATGTAGGTATCAAGCATATAGCTCATCATGAGATCTCTTCCTAGAATTGCCCGTCGGCTTACATGGCCATACTACTAGTATCTCACTTGGACTATCCTCCTCGTCCCGCCATCTGCCCATCCCGGGACCTTTTGCATCAGTAGAAGTAAGCCGATGCAGCCACTGCCCCCCAATCAAGCTGACATGATGGGCTTCAACACTCCATTCGCCTTCATAGGTCGGGGAAATTTTCCATAATGGAACACGAGGTAGACAAGAAAGCAAGCCTCTCGAAAAAAAGACGACACGGACAAGGGTGATGGTGTCATCTCAGGCTAAGCTAGAACCGGGCAAACCCACGTGGGAATGGAGCTTATCGTTATTGAGATGCTTAAAATCTTGGGTTTGTGTTCGACGACGAGGAAGGGCTGCGGTTCTCTGTTCCTGGAGGATGGAGGATGAGTTTCGCATGAGGATCATTAGTGTTTAGTGTCAGTCGATCCGGCATGAAGAGGCTATACTACTTCCAAGCTTCTTCAACGTGAATGCTGAATCTCGTCGCAGTCTGGCTACCAGTGAATATAGAGAAGCTCCTCTAACAGTCAATTTCAGATGGAGTCAGAAAGTATGGAGCTTCACCTTCGGGCCTTGTGGGGGAGCCGCTCGGGTGACAGACCTCATCACCGCACTACCGGGACTATTACCACATGGAACTTTTTATTTTCTCCTTGTGTCTACTCTCGAGGAACTGTTGCCGCTTTTCGGGATGTCAGACGGTTCGCCTAACGTCGGATATAGCTACCGAAGTCTCGCATGGTGTTCGAGACTGACCCATTCTGGATTACCAATACGAAGCACGAGTATGAAGGCTGGGAAGTGTTTGCCGTGTCACCTTGTAATGATGCTCTGGCTGATAGTGAAGCTTCGAATACGTGTTTGTCATAATATTTCGAATCAAGCGTCGTTCATCTTGTCTGTTGTCAGTGGCTACAGTATCGTTCCATGGCCAAACTTCATCCGTGACCGGATCTGGCAACCGTTATGCATCTCTATATGGGTAGTAGTATATGCAGTATACTCAAGAAGCAAAGGCCCGTACGAAGTAGGAGACTCGTGCCATTAACAGAGCATACAAGTTACCGTAGCTAGTATCGAAAACCGACCCATTGCTGGTACTACTCTAGGTAGATCCGTCTGGAGGAGAGCGCATATGCACGACCCAATGCCTTGGGTGCGCTTGGGGCCAGGGGAGAGCCAGGTAGTCGGCTTCCTTACCGAACGCCATCGTGGACCTTTCTCTAATCAGCTAATTGGCTAAGCACTGCCCTGGGCATGCACATGTACTTTTTGAGCCAGTCCGAGATGGCGTAATGAAGCCCTGTTGCTGTTTGGTGCTTTGCAAAGGACGAGGCCGGAGCAATTTCGTCAGTTTGGCCATACAATGCTCAGAGGTAGACGTCAACTCATAAGGTAGAGCAATGCGCGCAATATCACGACAGACAACAAATTTGATAAAATCATATAGTTTATGAATTATCCACCTGTGATAGAAAAGATGCTTATTGCTTGGTGCCGATCATAAATTAACATGCGTCGACATCGAATGCCTATATGTAGGGTAGCAGGGAGCGATGAGGGTCTGTACTGCTGCATAACAGAAAAAGGGCAGCACTGACACATGGAAGCAGTGATGAAGGAGCCAAGAAAACGATGAATTACGAATAATCGTAAAGGAGAAGAATAATAAAGAAAAAAAGAAGAAGACATTGTCTACTTGGTATCAGTGAAGATCCATATCAAAAAACTGGACAGAGAGAGAGAGAGTAAACAAGACAACAAAGAAGAAAAAGCAAAAAAGCCGAAAAAAGAAGCGATTGGATGGCACTGGAGAGTTTTGCTCCCGGCAGGGCTTGAACCTGCGACCTTCGCATTACCAAGACTTGTGGTAGCAAGTATTAGTACGAAGCTCTAACCAACTGAGCTACGGAAGCCATTCCGAATCAGGAATTAGCGGGGCAAGCCCACCTGTCGAGATTCACTCGCTTGTTGAAAAGCTGGTCGCTATTAATGTATATAGAGCATTGACTACTCTCAGTGTTCATAGCTTGCAACTTCCCACAGGGAAGTTGGGCGGACGAGCACATTTGTTTCTTTCGAGATTCTGCGAGCCACGCCCCATATTCCAAGTAGCTATGATACTGAAATTATAGCGATGTTCTGCTCTCATAGGGGAGAAGAGCCCATCCGGTGAGTAGACCTGCTGAACAAATGACTGCCGCTCGGCTGGTAGTCTAGCAAACTGTCTTACTACGAGGTCCATAGTGTTGGTGTTCATCTTGTCAGCTGGTGCACGGGTATACTTGCTCAATTCCATACCTGCCTTACACTTGTGCATCAGACACATAAAGGAGCATGCGAATGTATTACAGAGTATAAGAAGTGAGACGGGTGATTCGCGAACGATCTACCTCTAGTCTTATATACATACGGCTGGCCACCCGTGTCCCAAGTGATTCCGGGGACTGCCATGCCATGCAAGGTACGCATAGTCTCTGATTGGCTACTCAACTCAGCCCACTCAGTTGTCAACTGGAGCAGGGGTCCTCTCTTAAGAGATAGTCGATTCAAGCAACTGCTTGATTCGGCCGTCAGCTGGGAGTTTCCCTTTGTCCTAAGCCTCAACATTGGAGCAGGATGGCTCCTCAACAGTAAAAGTGCGTATCAACTGTCTGATTAAGAAACCTATCTAAACGCCCAAAGTATACTGAGAGATGAAAGGCCTCACCTGTTGATCAATCACGTGCCCGTCAGTGTCTGTGGAAGCCTCACACGGCGAAGAGAGAGTCTGGTGGAAGCCGCCATCTTATGCACTAAAGGGCAGCTAAGCATCCATCTTATTCCCCCTTTCCATCGAAACAGCTCCCGCCTTCGCCGGGCCTCTACAGTATTAGAATCCCTAGTGCCCGCCCGAGGTTTTCCATCCAGTGGCGTCGAACGGGCAGACGGGCTGCCGACCGGACCATCGGATCTGTTTGAACGCCCAACGACAAGCAAACAGCGTCGAGCTAAGTGACTTGGACGACGAAATCACATTAATAATTGGGTAGGCCATCCCCGGACGCCGTTTTCGCCACGAAAAACAGAACAACGGCTCGAAAAAAATCGGACCATTCCGTCTCTGCAGGCGTGGGCTGATGTGTCATTGTCTCGGTTTTTCCCGCATCAACGGACATTTCTAATACCACTGATCCTGTCGGAGACATTCGCATCCTAGTTCTTGTTCTTGTGACTCTTGCATCATTAACAAAAGAAAGCATTGGAAGTCACTGGCAGCTGGTCTGCAAATTCCACGATTTTTATCCCGCAAGACGACGAGAGAACCTTGAAGGTCGGCGTCCCCCCCGCTAAGGTGCAGAGCGGAAAAGATTTGTCAAACCCGGCGACTGTTTCAAGACTCAACGACCCCAGACTTTAGCTCTCAGCTTCTCCATCTCCTTCTCCAGCTCCATCTTCATCTCTCCACCTCAACCTCATTTGCCGTTATACCGGGAGTGGCGCCTGTCTAGAGAGAGAGCCTGAGAAAGAGAGAGAAAACAGCACAGAGGCCTCGACATGCTGCCTCCAATTCCCGTCCTCGCCGACTACGGCATCTCGCCCACCCACGGCTTCCTCCCCGGCACCCTCCCCCTGACCCGCCTCCCGGATCCCTACTACAACAAGTGGGAGGCCATCGTGGCCAACCTGCAGGCCCTGATCCTCAGCCGGCGCCTGCGCGGCGTCATCGACCGCCTGCCGGTGCTGTCGACGGTTGGCCTGGAGCACGACGCCGAGTGGCGGCGGGCGTATTCGCTGCTCTGCTTCATGGCCCACGGCTACATCTGGGGCGGCGACTCTCCCGCGGACCGGCTGCCGCCGCAGATCTCGATCCCGCTGCTCGAGGTCTCGCGGCGCCTCGAGGTCCCTCCGGTGGCCACGTACGCCGCCGTCTGTCTGTGGAACTTCAAGCCGCTGTTCATGGACGAGGACATTGACAACCTGGAGAACCTGGCCACGCTCTTCACCTTTACCGGGTCCATTGACGAGTCGTGGTTCTACCTCGTGTCGGTGGCCATCGAGGCCCGGGGCGCGCCCATCATGTCCCTGATGCTCACGGCCATCGCGGCCGCGCGGCACAACGACTCGGCCGCCGTGACACGGTGTCTGCGGACGTTTGCCGAGCGCCTGACCGACCTGACAAACATCCTGCAGAGGATGCACGAGAGCTGTGATCCCATCATCTTCTACAACCGCATCAGGCCCTTCCTCGCCGGCAGCAAGAACATGGCCGAGGCCGGCCTGCCGTTCGGCGTCATCTACGACGACGGCACGGGCAACGACGTGTATCGCCAGTACAGCGGAGGCAGCAACGCTCAGAGCAGCTTGATCCAGTTCTTCGACATTGCCCTCGGCATCCAGCACCGGCCCACGGGCGAAAGGGGCGACGCCTCGTCCGAGTCGGACCACCGCGGCCGCAGCGCCAAGCACAACTTCATCCAGGACATGCGCAACTACATGCCGGGCCCGCACGCGCGGTTCCTGGAGGACATGTCGCGCGTGGCCAACATCCGCGAGTACGTCGAGGAGCACACCGACGACGTGCAGCTGTGCCTCGCCTACGACGCCTGCCTGGCGATGCTGAGCGCCTTCAGGGACAAGCACATTGCCATTGTCACGCGCTACGTCATCACGCCCTCGCGCCAGATCCGCGCCCGCAGCCGGTCTCGCAGCCCCGAGGTCGCCCGCCGGCCGCTCAACCTGGCGATTGCCTCGCGCAAGAGCCAAGGCAAGAGCCAGAAGGGCACCGGCGGCACGGCGCTGATTCCCTTCCTGAAGCAGGCCCGAGACGAGACGGGCGAGCCGGCGGTGGAGGAGTGGACGAAGCGGTTCATGAAGAGACAGGTGCGGCAGGAGGGCAGCGGGGACTTTTTCCTGGGCAAGGAGGACGACGGAGCGCCGTCGGAGACGGAGGATGTCGAGGTCAAGGGCCTTGCGTGGACGTGGACGATGGAGGACGAGGTTGGCGGGCTTTGCTCGTATTGAGGTTGGACTTGTGTTTCGACGTTGACTTGTGATTTCATGGCAGTCTGGCGGGCGGCTTTGGTGTTTTTTTTCTTTTTGTTTTGATTGGATCTAGACCAAGACGCATACACATTGAGGAAGTTTGGATAATGGATGATGGCCGCAATGATGGACCATGTTACGGAATTTGGACAATTCATAGACGTCCTGGATCTTGGATATTCTCAACGGATTCAGTCTGGGAGCAAATCTCAACTCATAGACTGCTACTGCTCTTCAATGCTACTTGACCACACTTCTCTTCCTCTCAAATCCCTCTCTGCCACGCAGAGATGCCTCCTCGCCAAGTGAAGCCTCAGCCGCAAAATGTGCCATTCCCATCCCCTTCCAGACAAGGGTCTTATATCCAGCACGAAAGCAAAGAAAAGAAGCAGCAAACATTCCATCCCGTTCTCGCCTTTCTTGGGTGCTTTCTACCTTCTGACGAGTTATTCGCCTCCCCCCTATCTTGTTTCTCGTTTATTTCCTTGATTCTGACAGCGGCCTAATGCACCTTTTGACGGAAACAATGGATGGAGTCGCGGGGATGATCCGCGGGTTACACAGCCTTTTTGCGAGAGGATTGATGTCTCCCCCCTATCGTAAGCTTGATATTAGAGGAGTCAAGTTTGTCTGTGTTTGCAGAGACTATCGATTTTACGGATGGATTCCCCGTTGACGATGGCGGGATTCCGCGTGGAATGTGCACTGATAGGGGGACTTTCGAGACCAAATCTATGCAAATCGACAGCGAAAGCAATATCATGCATGGTGAAGACGAGTAGTTAGGTGGTGGTAGAGCTAATCTGGGGAGGTCCGGCAGTTGTGAGGCTGTTGGTCGCAAGCGCTCGGCTGCTTCCGTGACACCGGGCCACCATGCGCGCAGTTCGAGTTGCTATTTCTGGTGTTTTCACAGCTGCGTTGATGTAGATTATTCTATTGATCTTCTCGTTGTATGGCGGCTGTAGCATCGACATCCGCATACTCGTAGCCCCGTAACATCGTCGGGCTATGGATTATCCAGCCTTGAACTGAAGCCATCACCAAACCACCACCACAGCACCCGCAACCACCGCCAAAGCGCACATACACATGCTTCCCGCGCCATTCCTCCAATCCAAACACCTGGAAATAGATTAAATCAATCAATCAACCACCGCGCCACCATCATCACACAGCATCCCTGCAAGCCCACAAACAAACTCCCGATCTGCCGCAAGCCACAAAAAGCCAAGAACAATACTAAGCCGGCCGCACAACAATACTAAGCCCTCCCGCGACCTGCATTTAATCCTCCCACCATCCCTCCCCTTCCTCACTTTCAACTTTCCAAGGTTCACTTTTTCCTTTCCTTTGCCATCGACGCCATCGTTCTCTCTCTTGCAGAAAAACAAAAAATCGTGCCGAAAATGGAGCTGCAAAGCTCAGATTCGGCACTTTTCCCCATTCGAGTACAGCTCTACCCTGATGACAGCTCGTGTGGCTGCCACCTAGTATTATGCGGCGTGAAGACAATGTTGGCGGGCAAGGGGTGCTGGAATGCAAGTGGTTTGTCTGGCGGCGGTGGTGGTTTGTCTTTTTCATATAAAGTGAGGATGACGATGATCTGAGTGAACTGCTTCGAGAACAATGGCTTTAGGTTGTGATGCTTCAGACGAAGAAAGAATTGAGTCTTGATCACTTTTGTTTTGCTCTGCTTTGCTTGCGAATTTCTCGTTTGGGGTGATCTTGTCGTTTTGTTTTTTCGTTTCCTTCTCGCGATATACCATCTCCAACATCTTCAACACCAAGACCGTCAGCATCACCACTTACACAGCACCCAAGATCTCCAGCATCACAACCCAACAGCAACATAACGAAAATTCCCCAATCGACCCAGAATCAGCGACCATGGCATTCGACCCCTACACCCAAAACATCACCATCCTCCTCTCCCCCTCCGCGCCGCCAATCTCCATCCCCATCCCCCTCATCGACGCCTTCAACGACGAGACGGCCAGCATCATCACAAACTACGCCGCCCAGCTCGGCGCCGCCATCACCATGCTCCTCGTCCTCGTCGCCGCCACGCCCTCGTCCCGCCTCCTCCGCGCCAGCACCCTCCTCCACGCCGCCGCCCTGCTCGTCTGCGTCGCCCGCACCGTCCTCCTCGCCTACTTCTTCCTCACCCCCTTCTCGCACTTCTACCAGGTCTGGACCGGCGACTTCTCCGCCGTCCCCGCCTGGAACTACCGCGCCAGCATCGCCGGCACCGTCCTCTCCACGCTGCTCGCCGTCGTCACCGACGCCGCCCTCGTCCACCAGGCCTGGACCATGGTCTCGCTCTTCGCCCCGAGGATCAAGTTCGCCGTCTGCGCCCTCTCCCTGCTCATCACCCTGCTCGCCGTCTCCTTCCGCGTCGCCTACACCGTCATCCAGTGCGAGGGCATCGCCGACCTGGCCGCGCCCCGGAGGTACGCCTGGCTCATCCGCACCACGCTCATCTGCAACATCTGCTCCATCGGCTGGTTCTGCGCCCTCTTCAACTCCAAGCTCATCTCGCACCTCGTCAGCAACCGCGGCGTGCTGCCCTCTCGCCGGGCTATGACCCCGATGGAGGTGCTCATCATGGCCAATGGCATCCTGATGATTGTTCCCGGTAAGGCCCCCCCCCCTATTACCACCTTCACCTCCGTCATCCCCCCCTTCCTTTCCAGCATACAACTCATACCACGCAAATGAAACCTCAAACTAACAACATCAAAAATCAGTCATCTTCGCCATCCTCGAATGGCACCACTTCATCAACTTCGAATCCGGCTCCCTCACCCCAACCTCCATCGCCATCATCCTCCCCCTCGCCTCCCTCGCCGCCCAGCGCATCGCCACATCCTCCGCCTCAAAGCATCACAACCACCCCTCCTCCTCCTCCGCCCGCTACAAGGCCTCCCGCGACTCCGCCTCCCGCACGCCCCTCAACGCAAAGCCCGGATCCCTCTTCACGACCACCACGTGCAACAGCACCGCTTCTTCCTCTGCCGCGCAGCGGACTCGGTCTGTAGATGCTTCGGGAATGTTGGCTGCTGCTGCTGGGCCTGCTAGAGGAGGCGACTTTATCGATCCGATTGATCTTGAGCTGAGGCAAATCGATGGCTATGCGCAGCCAAACGAGGTCCACTTCCAGCAAGACGAAGGCCAGCAGTTCCACAAGTAGTGCTGAGGAATACTCGCAAGCCTCCCGTTTCACTCTCTTCTTCTCTTTTATATATAACTTTTTCATTTTTTTTCATACTTTTCTTTTTCACACATTATTCGATCAACTCTTCCACTTCACTGCATAGTATTGCATAGCGAGCGACATCGATACCCTTCAAGACCAATTCGTTGCATTCGATAACATGGCCGTCGATTCCATGACAACTCCGACACGGGAAGTCATCGACACAGAAGCATGGCGTCGAGAAGGAATTTTTTTTGCTAAGAGGAGAGACACTATAGCTCTCCGTTTGGCCTAGATAGCCAATAGGCACAGAATATATAGGACAACACAGTTCCACTCAATTTCTGCCTTTCCTTTCTCCAAGATAATACTCGTTTACACCAACATTTCGTCTACATTATGGACCGTCTGTAGAAAAGAGACAGTTATAAACCAAGTCATGAGCAATTGGAAGCATAGCATGTGTATTCCACTATCTACTAGACTCAGGATCATCTTTGATGCTTCATCACATAGGTAGTCCCCCTACTCTGCATGAGCCCGCGCCCTCAACGCAGCCATCCTCTCTCTGCAGAGGCTCGTAAGGCGCCGAAGCTCCCTGGCTCGCACAGGCTGAGGCTGCTCAAGCGTGCAACGAGCCTGCGAAACAATGAATGACCCCTGACCGCGGCCGATCAAGCGATGACGCAAAAGGCGAAGCGAAGATTGGCGGCTGACCGTGGTAGGTTTCCGCATAGCAGGGGAAGCATCATCGCGGCCTTCGTCCGGCCAAGCCCCTGGGCATTGAATCTCCTGATGTGGCTGCTGCTCAAAGCCCACTCTTCCCTCGCCGTCCACATTGTAGACTTGGAGCTGCGCCGGAGTACTGCCCTGTCCCTCTTCAGAGCTCCGCTTGCTTCTTCGTCGCCAGTCCGACCTCATCATTGCCCCCTTGACAAATTAATGAATGAATGCACTCAGGGGTCTTACGGGAGTAGAAGAGGCTGTAACACTTACCAAGTTTCTCATCTGGCGGCTTGTTTTGAGCACCGATGGTTTGGTGTAGAGCAAGGGCTTGACGTCGCTTGCCTGGCTGCTGACACTGTCCGCATCCGATGGCATTGGAGGCGGTGGCCCGTCAAATGTTTTGATTGTTACCGGCTCCTGTCTTCGACTGGTAGATACATTCTTCGTTGGTACAGCCCTGGGCAACTGCCTAGATCTGCCCTCTCGCTTGTCTTGGTGGCTCCTCGACTCCCAGAGGCCAATCTTTTCTTTGAGCGTCCCTTCTTTCGACGGAGAAGGTCCGCGTCGTAGAGGCTGAGGGCCATCTCTCCTGGCAGCTGGGCGTAAAGAGCCCTGCATGGCAGAAGAGGGTCGTCGTACAGGCGTCTTTGTGTTGAGTGTCCTTGGTGCATCATCCCGCATGAGTGGCTGCGAACGTCTTTTCGAGACTGCCGGCATCGAGGCCGACGCAGGCAACGTGCCGTCATATTTTGCCCGGAGATTCGAGACGTTCGATTGCGGAGATGGAACTGATTCAGAGGTGGGCAGAGACGGACCGCTCCGTTCTTTGAGCGCTTGCAGGGCATCGCTGGCAGTCGAGGACAGCACGGCATCATGACATGGGTAGCAAAGAGTCACATCGGACTGCAGGTCCAGGGCCCCCGACTCACCCTCTTCCTGCTTCTCGGGAGAAGAATTGGCGGGCCCTTGCAAGTCAATTCTCACACTGTAGCTTCCGGACACGACCACCTCAGGTTTTGTGTCAGAAGGCTTCAAGTCCCAACCGCCAACGTCTGTAACCACCATGTTCTTGAGCGGAGAAGGGGGTCTGGGCAGAAAACTGCCTCCCTGCAACTTGATTCGGGGCTCAAATCCCCGCTGAGAAGTGCCTTTCTTGCCTGGGGCATCAGCTTCATTCTGCTGCTGATTTCTAGAAGATGGACGGCTAGTAGCGAGTGGCGCCGGCAGATATTCAGGATGCTCAACCTGGCTGCTGGGAGTGATCAAATCCGGGACGGCATCCTTCACTTCTTGTAAGTCTGACATCGCCACATCAACCCCCCCGGATGCGACGGAAGATGCCTTGACGGAACTGCTCGCAGAGCAGGACGGCTTCTCGTTGATAGTAACAGGTGGAGTAACGGCTTTAGGTTCGTAGGTATCTATTCGCGAAAGATCTATCAAAGGTCAGTCCACCTGGAGCAACGGATGCTTGTAAACATCAGTTCGGAGGGCATGTTAGACCAGAACGCTACTCACTGGGAGCAACATTTTCGTCAGGCCCTTGCTCAAACAACTTCCTCCTCTGCGCAACCACCGATCCCTTCTGCAAGGTCAACTTCCCTCCTGTAGAAGACGGAGTGACTGCCTTCCTAGCATGGCGATCTTTCACGGGGGTCTTCAGTGAACCGCTTTTGACAGGAGGAGCGTTCTTCGAAGCCAGAGACGGCACTGTCACGGACCGGGGTATCTCAGTGGCAGTACGCTTCGACTCGCGCTGCACCGACGAGGGACCGGGAATTCTGGAAGTGACAGCCGGACGGCCTCGATCCTTTTGCGCCGCCCCATACTTGGAACGCGGCCTTGGTGAAGCATCGAGGTTCTCGAATCGTGACACCAACCGGGCCAGTCCTCCTTGAGACGGGGGCGCACGTCGAGTAGTCTCAGAAGACATTGTTCTCATCAGATGTGCTCACCTGATGACAACAAGAGGAAACTATTCTGTCTCTAGGGATAAGGCCGAAGAAACTGTGGAAATTGGAGCGAGGGCAGAAAAGAAGCAAACAGAAAAGCGAGGGCAACGAGGAGGCGGGCGAATAACAAGTATTCTGTGCCTAAAGGGTGACGGGGCCGGATAAACAAACAACAGTAACTGTTAGACCAATGTATTCAAAAGCAGAGTTTTGTTTATTTCGGTATGGGGCTGCTCATCAAGACGGTGTTTACCGTCGAGCTCGTCTTCTGCTTCTCCTGCCGCTCTGGCAACGGGGCACTGCGACTTCCCTCTCTTTCGGCTTCGTTCCGGATGAGATCAGCAAGGTGAAGAAGCAAGTATCTGGGAAGTATCAAGCATGCATCTCTTTGTTTAGGTAAGCTTTTCTATCTTCTTTCAACATGATATAATGTCTTTTGTCTAGTACTACCTACGGTACTTATACGTCAGTGTCCTGGCTGCCACTACCCCCTTTCAGACTTCATCTGAAGCCCTCTGCGCCCTTGTCTTCCTCTGTTCCTCAGCCTCTACAAGCCCGCGAATAAACAAGCCTGGCAAATGCACTCTATACGGGCTGCCTTTCACAATCGCATCCGCCGCCGTCAAATAAGTCTTCTCAAAGGCATTCCAAACCTGCTTCTCGACTGGAGTTTCTCCCAGCGGCCTCGGAAGATACGGGTCACTGACTCGAGCTGCTTCAACGGCCTTGGCAACTCCCCCCTCGTCCATTGTAATGCTTTGCACCTGGTTAAAGTCCAGGAGCCACATCTCCGTGGTCCGCTGACGAAAGAAGTCATCCTTGTTGTGGGAAGCAGGACCAGTGTATACGGGATTCTGCAGCCTCGCAACCTCCTTCGTGCTCCGACGGGCTGAGGTCTCTTCAGCCGAGCTGCCGAGGACAAACTCGACATCCCGGGCGTCTGTCCAGGCCGCCCAGTGCATAATCGCCATGGCCACGCCCATGCTGCTGGCCATGGCCTCGACGTCCAGCTGCAGATCGACCATCTGGTTGAGGTGCAGCTCGAAGTTTCTCAGCGAGAAGAAACGTCCTTCTCCTCCGGTCTTGCCTTGCATTGAGCCGAGGTACGGCCTCACCAGACAGTCTCTGTTGGCGTCGTCACGCAAAGCAGCCTCCTTGATATGGGGTGGGCAGTACTTTTTGATCAGAAGAGTTCGGGCTCGCTCAGGTAATGGCAAGATCCGCTCTGAGACGAGGATGCTGGTGGCCAGGTTGCACACCTTGGATGCCGCGTCGGCGAGCTCTGGATGGTGGCTAAGGTATCGAGTGTATGCCTCGTCAGGCGGAACGAAATAGTAGACCTCGGGGATTCTGATCTTCGTGGAGCCGTGATTGTCGAATTGAGCCTTGATGTGGTTGTGCATCTTGTAGTCGTTCCACAGCTGGCCGTTGTTGGTCTTGGCCAGCTTTGCAGCAAGGGGCTTCTCCTCGTCCTGCGCAAAGACGGCACCGCAAGCTCCGGCACCAATCATGCAATCCGAGCGTCTCTGAGACTCATCGGTCGAACGGCGAGGCATTTGCAGGGAGAGCATCTGGTAAAGCTTGAGCTCCCCTCCGACGAGGGTGATGGGAACTTTCTCCCGGTTCTTACACCCAGAGTAAGTGAGAAAGGGAGTTTGGTGTTCAATCGGCAGAGTCCTTTCCATCTTATCAGGCAGTAGGACCTTCTGTGTGCTCGAAAGTGCTAAGTCGTCGGTTCTGGATTGTAAAAGCAAGTATCAATCTCTTGTGTATCGTGGACAGAAATGAGCGTGGAAGAAGCACTCATATGAGTTTGTGGATGGAAAGGAACGAAATAAGGAGACGTATATGCCAGGAGAAATGTCTGTAACTGAACAGAGCGGCTCAACTACCAGTTAGCACTGCATTTGTTGGGCCATGAAACTTGCGCTCGCCGCTACTGAATATAAAGTTTAAGCCTTGCTTTCTGCCACTCTCGCCATGCCTTCTACACTCCTAAGGTACTATGCCATCCTCTTCTGGCACTGCCATCTTCCTCCAGGTAGTACAATGCCTTTACAGATATGAAGTCTGTTTGTTACCTTTCATAGTGAGTTGCTCGGAAGTGCAGAAGTTACAACATGGCACTTCTCAAACAGTGTGGACAAGCATGAGCCAACAGCCCTGAAGTCCATAGCTCAAGTCCACAACCACCTGCAACGAACCTCGGACCACATTCTCGAAGGACAATGGAGAGAGCTCTTCTTTTATTGATTTCATTATCGAGTTAACCATCCCGACGAGCCGCGCCATCGCCCCAAAGTCGCCCCGCAAGCTCTATATTGCACATGCGCGCGCCGCATAACCGCCCGTCTCGCATCGTGGTACTATACAGTCATCCCTTCTAATGTACACCGTCTCATTCCTGTCGAGCGTTGATGTTAAGTAGTTTGTTTTTCGAGTTGTTAATCGGAGTTGGATCGTGAGAATTCGTATCGAGAGCGCCTATCGCTTATTGACTGTACACCTGTTAGCAACCAAGTGCCTGTCGCAAGTCGGGTTTCTAAGCGTGGGATACATACGGCGGCAGGAGAATCTCGCCCCATGAGCTGGAGAGGAAGGTAACGGCAGCCTTTGTTTCCAACATTGTCAGCTTCTTCTTGCGCATAAAGGTAGATGGGACGTCGGTTAGTGGGAAAAGCTCACCCCAAAGATGGCAATGCTGCGGACAAAGGCGGCGTTCTCAGCAGACGTCAGGGTGTCATACGTCGACGCGACGAAGCCCTTGGGCGCGCGACGGCCGCCCTTTTCGCCGTAGATTCGCTTAGGAGGCATGGTGGTATATGGTCTGAAGTCAACGGAAAGCGCAAAAGTGGTGATGTTTGCGATCGAGAGAGTTTGAGACGAGGCTAATCGTCACCGACGTCGAAAAATCGAAAAGGCGCCCCGCCATCGGTTGCATGCGGTTGGGCCGGTCACATGATTGGGTAAGTGTGACGTAACATGAGCGCAAATTGTTGAGGGTCCTGTCAAGCAAGTGAGCTTCTGGTTCCGTGGTCTAGTTGGTTATGACATTTCGTTAACAGTTCAGTTGACACCACCGAAAAGGTCCCCGGTTCGAGCCCGGGCGGAATCACATTTTTTTTTGCTTTTTTTTTTGTTCTTTTTGCACGTTTGCAGTATTCTGTTCAACGTCAAGACTATTTCCCCCCAGCTGGCAATATCGAAGAATTCAATTGAAATCCTGGTGTTGTTTCAATTTTTTTGCTCTCTGTGGCTCAGCAATTTGTAGGGTGGATATTGCGTGGGAGTCGCCTTAAACTTAGCTATACCTGATGGTCTAAGTGATAACATCAACTGTCAGCCATCAAGTCTATTTATTGGACGCCATTAACATCGCGTCAACGATCAGTCTAAACGAAACATTAAACGGGTCAAGCCTCTGGTTCTCTCCAATTAACTTTTCTGAACATAGACTTCCAAGTCTCACCGATCCAGAAGACACCCTGTCTTGCATTCTTTCAACAACAATTCTCATCATTTCTCCAGGGTATTCACAGCCGTCAGCGAAACACCCCGCCCCCGCTCATCACCATCGAGTATCAGCGTCTACAACAAACAATTTTCAGAATCGCCATACAATTGACTGGTGCAAATTCCATCAGTTCCTTGAGAAAAACATCATCCAACCAAAATGGCAGACTCATCCCGGGAGCCCGGCGGCTTCATCCCTCCCCAAGGCGGCCTCCCCTCGCCCGCCCCCTCCTCAGCCTCGTCCCGCGCGGCCTCCAGCCTGCCGCACCCGAGACGCACTCCGCTGCGGCCCGGCGGAAGCAAGGAGGACATGGTGAGACGGTACGCGGAGGAGAAGCTCATGACCGTTTCGCGGCGCTACGTCAAGAAGTTTGGGGGCACGCAGGAGGGAGACGATGTGGTTGGCTTTCGCAGCTTCGGGGAGGTGTGCAAGGAGCTGGATGAGGTTGTCAATATCCTGTGGCAGTCGGGGACTCGTACGTATTGCCCTTCTATCATTCTACTTGGTTCTACATATTTCAGGGGATTGCAAGGCGGGAGGGTAAAGTATGGAAATGCTAACGTGCTACGACAAAACAGCCATCTTGCAGGTGCAGTTCCTGCTCAAGCTGGCCAGCGACTTCACGCAATACGTCCGGTCGTTCCCGCCGTCGCCCAAGGCGTCGTTTGACCTGCTGCACAAGCTGGACCACTGCTTCGCCAGCCTGCTCTGCGGGCAGGACATTGAGACCAAGGAGCCGCTGCCGGGATTCGAAAACGGGCTGCGGATGGGCATGACGACGACGGACATGGTGCGGTGCCGGAGCCTGGTGGAGCAGACGCGGTTGCTCATGGTCGAGATTATGAGCAGTGGTGAGCCGGAGGATGAGGAGGACGAAGACGAAGATGACGAGGATGACGAGGGTGATGATGATGGTGATGGGAAGGACGGCGGAGGAGCGGGCTGGGGGGTTGATGATGATGATGAGACGTATCTGGATGCTGCGCGAGTCTACGAGAATACGATTGTGCAGCTGGGGAAGAGGCTTGGGGATTCGATGGGGGAGAATATTGGCGGATGGACAATGTGAATGTGGTGGAATGTGATGGGTATCTGGGCTGTACGGACCCCTGCAGGATGAAATGCTGGAGGTGAAGCTGAATCGGGAGATGTATGCAGGGCGATTCCGGATATTGGGGGTTTGTTTCGACTTGTTTGCTGCAAGGAAGATGCATGGCTTACGACCAGCTGAAAGGCCCGGCCAGACACGAAACAAATGGAAACTGCACACAAAAACGAAGAAATAATAGACCACAGTCAAAAAGACGCCTTACTTTGGCGCGAGTCAATGGAACACACGGCAAAATAGGCATCACGGGGCGGCTCATTGGCCGTGGATGCGCCTTGGGCCGAGCCGGTCCGCGGCGGCGGCTCTCGTGTTCTGCTTTACGAGGACCAGCACGATGCACGCTGTGATTTTTCCTTTACCCTGCCCTTTGCTTTTCTTTGTCTTTGTCTTTTTCTTCTTCATCTCTCTTCTTTTTGTTTGCTCGTCCGCTTGCGTGTTCTAGATGGATCCGGGTGGCGGACTACCGTTTCTCTAAACTGCCCTGCCCTGGCTCAGGGTCCTTTTTTCGCCGCTCGGTGGTTTGCGCTCTGGCTGGTGGAAAGGCATCCGATTGGGGATGAGGCGGGGATGATGGGGACGAAGAGGGGACTCTGTTTGTTTGTCCACGTTGCTCTTTGAGATAGAACATGTGAGCTATTTGATAATGGGAATTACGGTGAAAGAAGAAAAGTATGTCCTGCAGATGCCGTTTGCCGTTGTCTGTGACTGATGCGACCCCCTGGTCTGGCCATCGTCGTCGGGCTGCATCTGGCCTGCTGTTCGTGGCGATGATCGCCTCACCTCGACTCAACCGCCAGACAACAAACAGCCTTACTGCTAGGAGTATGATGGCCCAATACCAACCGCCTCATTTCCCTCTGCTTCAGCCAGATACTAGATAATATCACAAGCTTTCACACTACTGTACTGTAGTATCCTCACAACAGTAAACGCCCGCATCAAACTCTCCCTTGGCTGCCTATAACCACCTTCATCTCCCCCCCCATCCAATCCAGCATCAATGCACGCATCCTCGCAAACGGCACATCTGACTCGAAACCACCCAGCCAATCCTCGCTCCCCCATCCATCACCGGGCTATAAGCCGCGCTACTGCACGAACCCCTGGCGCTCTTTGTTTCAAAACTTGCTGTGCCGTTTTTGGTGCCTTGTGCCTGGCCCCCATATCCCACGTTTTTTTCTTTTTTTCCCTACCATGGTGCATCCCTTGCTGCGCGCTTGTGAAGCCTGAGAGGGAAAAATATCCCCCCCAATGCCCACCCCTGAATCCCTGCAAATCATCTCTCACCACCCAACTGTAACTGTATTTTTTCCCTTCTCGCCTATCACTTGTCATCTTTCGACTATCGGCACTGCATTGACCGCGTCTGATTCTGCCCAACGATGCATCTCGCCTCTCGCCTCTGACTGGCTGCCTTTCCTCTCAATGCTCCCCCCTTATCGTTTCCCGTCTTTACTCGTATTTTCCCTCTTGCCACGCCCCTCCTCCTCCTCCTCCTCCTCCTCTGTTGTCGACCTTGTCGTCGCTTTTGCCGGGCAAGCGCTTGGGCCTCGGTGGATCTCTGTCGCCTGCATGTGCATGTACTATGGGCTTTGGCATGGGGATTATTGGATTCTCGCTGTCCAGTCTGAGGGTACTTGGCCAGAACCGCCGTGCAACCCAAGAGAGTAAAAGAGTGGCAGTATCACGTCCTGGAGAAGGAGGTACCTCGTAGCCGCGGCCAAGCACATGCCAGTACATGCCCCAGTACGAACTCGTAACCGCAGCCGTGATAGCCCGTAATGTCCCCTGTCCATCGGCAGCAGGTACCGCCAGCCGGGGAGTGACTGGCAACCTCGCCGGCACATGATTCAAGCAGCGAGCATCTACTTAAGCGTGTCTCTTGCCACTTCATGCATCTCCTGCTTCTCCTTCCCTTGCCTCTTGTTCACCTTTTTCTTCTGCTTCTGCTTCTTCTTCTCTTCTTCTCACAGCTCCATTCCCTTTCGTCAGGCCTGTGGCCGGTTACTTTCCTTTTTTCCATCTTCGCTGGTTCGATATTGCGCACACTCCTTTGTTGTGCTTTGTTCGTGATCCTGCTCTTGGTGCTGTTGAACAGACAAGACAACCAACAAGCAGACAAGACAAGACCACTTCCTTTGGCTACCTCTAGCTGCTATACATTCCCTTGGTTCAGATTGATTCTGGACGTCGGAGCAAAAGAAGCAAACCAATCCTTTACAAGACCTCGTCTGATACGATCCTGGCCGTCACTCCCTGACCCGGATATCCAAGACGCAACAACTCAAGAGACAAACCAATCCGACAAGATGCACTTCCAATCTCTCGCCTCCGTCGTCCTCGCCCTGGCCATCTCCTCCGCCAGGGCTACCCTTTCGCCCAATGTCCCCGGCATGAACCTCGTCTGGCAGGAGACCTTTGTCGGCAACCAGGGCGACATGGTCGACCTCACCCAGTGGACCGTCGTCACCGACCTGCACAACAACCAGGAGCTCGAGACGTACACCAACCTGCCCTCCAACATGCAGCTTTCGGGCGGCCAGACGCTGCAGCTCGTGCCCCAAAAGTCCCTGCTGGGTGAATGGACTTCGTCCCGCATCGAGTCCATTGGGGCCTGGACGCCGAGCCCCGGCAAGGCGATGCAGGTCCAGGCCGCCCTGCGCGGCGGCGACAGCTCCCTCGACCAGAAGGCGGGCATGTGGCCGGCCTTTTGGATGCTGGGCGACTCGATGCGCCACGGCACGCCCTGGCCCCTGTGCGGCGAGCTCGACATCTTTGAGCAGATCAACGGCCAGCTCACCGGCTACGGCACCGTCCACTGCGACCACACCGGCGGCGGCGCCTGCAACGAGCCCAACGGCCTGGGCGAGAGCATCGCCATCCCCCAGGACGACGACTTCCACACCTGGACCCTCAAGATCGATCGCACGTCCAACAACTGGCAGACGGAGACGATCCAGTGGTTCATGGACGGCACCCTCTTCCACACCCTCACCGGTGCGCAGATTGGCGACGAGGGCCTCTGGGCGACGCTCGCGCACTCTCCCATGTACATCATCCTTAACCTGGCTGTTGGTGGCACATGGCCGGTACGTTTTCTTTGCCTCTTGTCTTTACATGGTAATCAGCACAACTGACTGTGATACAATAGGGTGACCCGAACGAGGCGACCTTGTCCGGCTGGGGCAACATGTTTGAAGTGCAGTACGTTGCCGTCTACGAGTCCGCTTAGAAGGCGAACTCGACGAAGTTATGAATGACTAGCAAAAGCAAAAGAAAAACAAAGGCAAAGGAGAGAAAAGAAATACCCCTGAAAATGAAAAAGATGTTGGAAATTTTTGGATAGACATGTGGATTTTGTTTCTGTCTCGTTGAAAGCACATGCCTATCTGGGGACCCCTCCTCCGCGTGGTACCCTCATTCACTTCGCTTGTACATATATGGTAGATTTACTTATACCCATGACCGTTATGAAGCATATGCCGTTTGCATCATTTTGACAGTTGACAGCTGGGCTGTGTGACCTCTTGTAGGACTAGATACGCCCTTGTGCGTTGTCTAGGGAAGTGCTGGTTACACTTAGCATGTCGGTCCGGCACTCGTATTACACTACGTCCTGAAAGATGGCAAACTCCATCTAGTATTCCCATCACGATCCCACGTCTTTTTTCTTTTCCTAAAAGAAATACGGGAGTCAACACAAGTCAAGAGTCCAAAGGCCAAAACTTCGATACGGACTCCTAGCACTACCCTAGTCACCTTATATATATTACACACCTTTGCCGGCTGTCGTTCAAAGGAAGAGCGCTGATTACACTCTTGACATGTCGGCGTCACTTCTTGTATTACAACTTGTATTAAAACTACATCCCGAAAGAATGGCAATTTCCCATCTGATTTCCTGAGATGATACTACTACTCTTGTTCCTATACATAGTATCGACCCAAGTATGAGCTACCTACCCAAGTCAACGATCAAGGCAAGCCACATAAAACACACTTCTCCCATTCACATCATGACAAGGCATACATACACACACACACACACAAGAACACACGCAAGTCAGATAACAATAATAAACTCCAAGTTGATCTTTGACAACGGGGGTTGTTGGTTGATCGAACTAATATGGTATGTGGACAAAAAGAGAGAGAAAAGACCATTATGGAAACGTCAAGACCAGAGTGAAAATAGAAAAGAAAAGGAAAAAGAAGGCATTTTACACAGTGAAGGAGAAAAGGTCTTTTGAAACTATTCAAAAAGGGCGAAGAAGGTGTTAGGTAGGTACGTAAACTTAGTCCCTGTTCTTCCCATCCTCCACCCTTCAAAATGGTTAAGACCTCTCCAACTTGAAAGCATGAGGGGGACATTGACGTGGACTACTTGAAAGAAAACGACAGAGAAGATAGAAAGCAAAATACAAAAAAAAGGGGGAAAAAAAGGGGGGTGTAAAGAAAGGACCAAGGGGAAAAAGAAGAAAAAAAGTAAAGAGCAGTCAAATCAATCCTCAGGGACAAACATCTCTCTGTTCTTCTTCTTTTTTTTTGTTGCCCGTTTCAAACCATCAAAAGTGAAAGACCCTGGGGAAAGAAACCGGATCGCCGCATGACCATTGATATAATTAATCCACCCTCAACGCCGAGTCGAATGATGCCAGATTAGAGAGATATCCCTGGAAAAGCACACACAAAGCACAAAATGTGAAAACGCAAAAAATCGAAAAGCTGCCGACCCATCTTAGACTGCGCTGTTCAGCGTGTTTTCCTATTCCGCGCTGATCTCGCCGCCCTCCATCCCTGGGTATGAGCCGTTAAAGTCAAACGGCTCGTTGTTCCCGTCGCCGTCGTTCAAGAACGAGTCAAAGTCAAAGTCATTCAGCACGTTGTCAGAGTGCAGCGGGTTGGCCAGCTCCATGCCAAAGTCCTGTGGGCAGACGTTAGTCTTCTCAATTCCAATTAGAGGAAAGCCAAGCTGAACATGACCTACCGGCATCGAAAAGTTGTCCATGCTCAGGCCGTTATTCTGAGCAAGGTCGTGCGTAGGCTGAGGCACGGGAGCGGCTTGAGGGGGCACCGGCGCGCTGGCCGCGGCTGTCGGGGCGGGGATGCCTGTTGTCGCCGCCGCAGCAGTTGCGTTGGGCACGGGGCCTCCGGGCTGGCCGTTCTTAAAGGCCGCGCTGACGACGGGCGTGATGGGAGTCGCGGGTGCTGCCGCGTCGGCCTCGCCGCCGTTCTCCGCTGAGGCGGCGGCGGCGTTGTTGAGGTTCTGGTTGGACTTCTTCTGCGCAGCGGTTCGCTATAAGATCCGTCAGATTGCAAAATGGGGGCTGCTTGGGGTGCAAATCTTACCTTGTCCTTGGCATTCTTGGTGTCCTTCTTCTTGGGCGCCGCCTTGTTGCTCTGACTAGGCGTGGGAGGTGCTGCCGCGGCCTGCTGGGGCGACGCGGTCGTCCGGTTGTTCGCGTTGGCCGCTGCGGCTGCTGGCGCCGACGGGGGAGGCATGGATCGCTGCTGCGGAGTTCCCTGGACCTGCTGGCCCTGCTGGCCTTGCTGCATGCCCTGCGGCATCATCTGGCCGTTCATGCCCGGCTGCCACTGTTGTTGCGGGTTGCCCTGCTGGCCCTGCTGTTGCCGGGCAGCCATCATCTGCGCGTTCATGGGGCCATTGAAAGGCTGGCCCGGGTGCGAGCTAGGCGGGCGCATGCCGTTCATCTGGGCCTGCGCCATGTTGCCGTCCACTCCCTTGTAGAAGTGAGGCGCCATGTTGACGTCGACGTGGTTGCCCAGGAAGTTCATGGCGTTGGGGGACTCGCGTGACTGGCCACCGTCAGGGACCGGCGAGGGAATGCCCGAGTTGTTCATCTGGGGCGTGCCACGCTTCATCTGCTCCGCGGGGTTGGGGGAAGCGCCGGACCGCATTGCCTGGGGCGACGTGTCGGGGAACTGTCCGTTGGGGCCGGGCCCGGGTTGCTGGCCGTCTCGAGGCATCATGTCGCTCTGCTCCTGGCGGGCCATCATCAGACGCTTCTTGTTCTGCTGCTCGAGCAGCATGAGCTGCATTTGATAGTCCTGCAGCGCGTGATTGCTACCAGCAGCAGCGGCCTGAGGGCCGCCGGGCCCTTGTCGCATGCCGCCGGGGCCGTTCATCTCGGGGTTGTAGAAGGCGCCCAGGGAGTTGCCGTCAGGGCCCTGGGGCATCATTGGCGAGCTCTGATTCTGGGGGCCGCCTACGCCGGGGATCTGCTTGTTGCCGATCTGGTTGCCGTGGTGCTGCTGAAGATTGTGAGAGTAAGTAGCAATCGACTTGTGCTGAGCGGCTGGCGGCGTGTTGGCGAAGTTCTGCATCTGCTGGGGGTTGAGCTGGGCAGGGTTGATGCCGTTGGCGGCGAGAACTTGCTGAGCGTTGGCTACATTGCCCATCTGCGGACCACCGGGCATCTGGCCAGCGCGAGCGCCGTTTGGCAACATGGTGCCGGGCTGGTTGCCGTTGAAAGGACCGCCCTCGATGCGGGGGCGTTTCGAAGGAGACGGTGCGTTCTCCCCTGAGGCGGGAGAGGTTGGCCGGTCACGGTTGCCGTCCATGCCGGAAGGATCTCGTTGCATCTGGTTCTGCTTTGCTTGAAGCATCTGCATTTGAGGGCTGAAAAAGAGAAAAAGTCTAATTAGTTTCGAGGCTCTGAGATCAATGCCACGCCCACATTCTCCCGCTGCTTACTTTTGGTTGTTGGCCATGGCGGCCCGAGCGAGGTTGTTTTTGTTCATGGTCATTGCCATGGGGTTGTTCTGCATGTTTCGCATGAATTGCGCCTGGTATTGCTGCTGAGCCAGGTCAGGGCGCATTTGACGCAGCAGCTCTTGTTGCTGAGTCTGCTTTCGCTGTTGCTGCTACGGCGCCTGATTAGCAAGACAAATTCCCTCTCAAGCGCCACTACGATTAAGGACGGGGCGAGAAAAGGACATGGAAGAGACATCATCTGTTTCTCTTACCTGTGTGTGCTGGACGTATTGCTGCACGATGCCACTTCCGCCCTTGCCACCGCGGGCAGTGTATATGTCCCAGAAGACGCAAAACCACTCGTAGAGAAAGGATGTGTCGGAGGCTGGCATGGGCAGCTTTGGCGGAGGCAAGTCGTCGGGGAGTTTAGAGTCGCCGTCGTCCTTTGAATCCGTGTCCATAGGGTCATCAACGCCGTTCATGCCGTTGCCATTTTCGCGACGGCCGGCAGCCTCCTTGTTGACGTTGACTTGTTGGTCGCTGTTGAGAAGCGAGCGGGCACACTCGTACATCTGATGCCGGAGGAAGTACTCGTAGATATATGTGTTGAGGACGCCACGCTGGTTCTCGTTGGCCTGCTGCTGTCTTGCCGCAGCTGCCGCGGCGATCTGGGGGTTCATAGCGCCATTATTCATCATGGGCATCGGTGCGCTGCCAACTGGGCCGCCCATGGGGTTCATGTTTGCCATCCCAACGTTGGGATTCATTTTATTGGGTGGGTGAAGGGGCTTGCGGAGAGGCGTGTTCGGTTACAAGCAGCTTCGACAAAAAAGAAGAAGGACGAAAAATAAAAATAAGGCGTGGGTTGGGTAAAAGTATGTCTTAACAAAGTTTTCCTTGTAAGCCACTGATGTGTCGCCGCGCGAAATCCCACAGGCTAGCCAGTATGGGCGAAAGGTACTGAGCCCTGAGAGAAGAACGTGGTAAGGCGCAGTGAATCTATCGCGAGCCGCGTCGAACCTAGTTGCCGAATTGCGGGAGGTGGGAGACGCGCTTGTCGAGGCCTGCGATGGGCGAAAGGTGGCGATGGTAAGCGACGGCGGTCGGTGACGGCGAAGGATGTAGGGAAAAAAATACCAGCGGCTGGAGTCGCGGAGCAGCGATGCTTGCCGCACTTGCTGCAGAGGTGCGGTGCGTTCAACTGCCGGGCAGGGCAGAGAGTCTGCGGAGATGGAAGATGGAGGAGAGAGAGAGGCCGGGTTGAGGTCTGGGGGCTGGGATCAGATTGCAGTGCAGCGCACTACAGTGAGTTTCGAGGCCTTGCAGCGGTGCTGCGTACCTACACCGGCAGCGCGGGAACACAGCACAGCACAGGCACCGCACCGGCAGAGCAGCAGCGCTTCCCTGCGTCTCGATGGCGTCGGGTCGGAAAGGCAAAAAAGAGTTCGGGGCGCGGCCGAGTGGCGTGGGAAGAGGTTCGCCCGCTGCGATGAGGCTCGGCGACGCTCAGCAGAGCAGAGCTGAGCAGAGCAGAGCAGTGTGGTGCAGCCCGACAGAGGCAGAGGCCGCGGAGGAGAGGCAGCGGCAAGCGAAGAGGCAGAGGCAGCGGCAGCGGCAGCGGCGGCGGCAGAGGGTCTCGAGGTCGTCCAGGCTGTGAGGGTCAGCACTCGCGCTGGGCCGTGGAGACAAATGTCGCGATGGACATCAGATTAGGCTGTGGAGGTAGTGAAAGGTCAGGCAAGGTGCAAGTCAATCGAATCGAGTCGATGGTGGTGCGCAGACGCGAGCTCATACAGTACGGCGACGTCGCGGGCGGGAAAAGGAGTGTGGCGGTTGCGGCCGTGTGCGGGAGCCGCACGCACGGTACAGCCGCGTCGGTTTGGGTGCGCGTAGCCTCGCCGTGTCTCGCCCGTCTCGTCCGTCGCTGCTCCTTGTCTCGCCTTGCCTTGCGCTGGGGCTGGTGCCGCCGCACGGTACGGTTAAGGCGCGGGCGCGAGATGGCACAGTGCGCGGGCACGGCGGCGAAAAAAGTTATTCGGGTGCGCATAAACGGGCGGGCTGCTTCGGGGGCTCTGGCGATCCCAGTATGAGGCACCGGCATCTTGGTGCCTGCGTATGCGTCAGACTAGGTGCGTACTTTTAGGTCTGCGGCAGGTGTTGGCGCCTGAGGCACGAAGCCGGGGCCTGTGTGACAGCCACGCTAACGAGGCCGCTGAGGTAATTGCTGCAGCATTTGAGCATCTTGAGCATGGCGTATTAGTATGAGTATCACTTCTCGACGCATGGGCTCGAGTCTCATGTTGTTGTAGTATTATAACCCTACTGCTAGTATTAAAGCTGCTGTTACCGTCGTGAGGCATACTGCTATTTGTACAGCTCCCAGTTCGAAGAAGAGCTGTCCATGCAACTGCAGCAGCCGGAGCTCTGCATCGAGCGCCGTCGCGATGCAACGCTGATTTGGAATTGGGTGCAAAACGAATGGGACATGGACCAAACCCCAACCTGCAAATTGCATGACGCTGCGCTCTCACGGCAGCCGTGTCTCGCCAGCAGCTGTATGTACAAGTAAATCTCCAGTTCTGACACCGCCGGTCATGTGCGCCGACATCAGCAAACAAACTCCCGACGTCAAACCGTGGCGTGGCTCCGCGTATCCCTCGTCCTCAGTGCCCGGCGACTCCATCCTTCCATGTGTCTTCCCGTGTGCCGTCAGTGAATCTCCAGCTGCCACGGCTACTCTCATCGGCTCGTGACGTGATTGCTCATACCACGTACAACGCGAGGCCTGGCGTTGGACCATTCGTTGACCATCACGTTGAATCACTCCACAGTCTGGGTGGGCTGATTCATGGAGATCAGGCAGGCCTGCCTTGGTTTAGTTGCCGTCTTGGGCGGGCTTCGGTTTGCTGTTTTGCAGCAGCAATCAAGATTTGAATTCTGTTTAGTTTACGTTTATGCAGGTTGGAGACTGACATCAATTGTGCGTGTTTTGATAGTGAAAGCTCCTACTAGAGACCAGGTAGATAGTGTGATATTAGTCGATGCTACACAAGGCGCAGGGCAGCTTTGTCTCGTCCCCGCGTGCTCCTGGCATCCCTGGTCTAGTTCAGCTGGCCCGGCTTTGACAGAGGCACCCATCTATTCATCCCTGCCTGTCCATCTAGATGTATATCCACAGGATTACGGAGTATTTGCTGCATGCATCTGCAATGATCTTGTCAAGCATCGAATCGAGATAGCTCGGCTCGATCTATGGGTATATACCGCCTTTCGTTTCCTCGACAACCGGTCCGGATCGATTGTCGCCGTCGCTGACCATCGTCTTCTGCCAGCTTTGCTTCGGCGGTTTCGGACCGTCCGCTGCATTTTCCGGCCAACGTTTGTTCTTTCGTAAAAAGTCACTTTTCTTTTCAGTCGTCTTCCGGCGGCAGCTCATCGTCGATGTATCGTATGAGGGTCACCCGCATCTCCGTAGTGTCATTACCCCTGAGGACGTCGCTTATGAAGTGCGCCTCCACCTGCATCTGAACCATCTCCAGGGCGCCTCGCAAGACTCCACAGAGAATGTTGGAGTACCACAGCTCGTTCTGCGCCCGTCCATCATCGGGCAGCTCGACAAAGTCGGCAAAGGGATTCTCGTCGAATACCAGAGAGAAGGAGTTGTTGTCGGCCGTCCAATTCGTCACTTGCGGTGTGATGTTAAGAAAGATTTTGAATCCCACCTGCATATTTTGGTTAACGAATGAGCACAAACGCAGCCAGGCCGATGATATGCCCCCTACCCTCGAAATCATGTCTGCCGTTTCGCGGAAGTTGAGGCAGCGCTTCATCGTATTCGACTTGGCCAAGTAGTCCTCAATGAGCCGCAACCCGATGTTGTAGCCCATCTTGTCGAGCTGTCGGTTGACCTCGGGATAGTCGTCTTCGAAATCCTTACATAGCTGCGCGACGATGGTTCCGTACGTCAAGGTGACCAGCTCGGCGTTCACCTTATCAATCCGCGTTCTAGCGATGCGACGTGATTAGACGGATGTGCTTCCTCGTCAAGTAACGGCGATCTTACTTCCAGATCCTGTAAGCCTGTTAGACCAGCGTCAGGCGCATCCTCGCGTTGCAACATACTCTTCCCCAATGCGGGACGCCTTGCTAGCCGCCATTGCGGCGGTGGTTCAGGCTTCGAGGGGCGGAGATACGCCCTGAAGCAGCAGAATCTGGCCTTGTGATTGTTGTGGCCGTGCACTAAGTAGCGAACACAGCAGACTGGATCTGCAGCTTCACTATCGGCCGATCTGATATGGAGGAGGGAGTTGGAGGTTGCGATTCGGTGGCATGTCGCAGCTCAGCTTAGGCGTGGGGTACGGAGTGACCTGGCCGGTGAGGGACAGAAGCCTTGGCCACTCAGCGAGGAACATCGACGGGCCGAGAGCCAATAGGAGGGCGAGTCTGGCAACGCCCAAGTTCGCAACTTTCAAGCTTCGCGATCGCGACACCAAATTTCCAGCAGCTCAGTCCTCGACCCTTTCTGACCGTTTCCGATTCTTTGCTCTAGCTCGCATTCCTTGCACGATTGCAATCCCCTGAGCTTCTCACCATGTCGGCCGAAAAGCGCCCTGCGGACGACGATCCCAACGATCCCAGCTTCTCCCAGTCGCTGGTGAAGAGACAGAATGTCAACGCCTCAGAGGGAGCGCTGGCTCGACTCAATGCATCCAGCAGTGCATTAGTACAGACTGTAAGGTGATGGAGATGAGCTTTTCTGAATGGCATCTGACGGTACGCCTAGGCGCCGAGGACCAGCGCGCTCCAGGCTCCCGTAATGGAGCTGACGGGACACTCTGGGGAGATTTTCGCGGCCAAGTTTGACCCGACGGGCAACCTGATTGCCTCCGGATCGATGGATCGAAGTATAAGTACGAAGATGATATGCCTCTCTAATGGAGAAAACTGGACTTGGCTGATGCTGGATAGTGCTCTGGAGGACGTACGGCGACTGCGAAAACTACGGCGTGCTCAATGGCCACAAAGGAGCTGTTTTGGACCTGCAATGGTCGCGAGACTCGGAGATTCTCTACTCTGCCTCGGCCGATATGCATCTGGCTAGCTGGGATCTTACGTCTGGCACACGAATACGAAGATACATCGGACACGAAGAGATTATCAATTCCCTGGACATTAGCAAGCGAGGCGAGGAGATGTTGGTGAGCGGGAGCGACGATTCGACGATTGGCATCTGGGATCCGCGGACAAAGAACGCCGTTGACTATATTGAGACCGAATTTCCCATCACAGCTGTTGCCATCTCACAAGCCGGCAACGAGATCTACACTGGAGGCATAGACAACGATATTCGGGTGTGGGATTTGAGAAAGAAGGCGGTGGTGTACTCTCTGCTGGGCCATACAGACACCATCACATCGCTGCGAGTATCACCCGACTCACAGTCTCTGTTGTCCTATGCGATGGACACGACGGTGAGGACGTGGGATATTCGTCCGTTTGCGCCAACGGAGAGGCATATCCGGACCTTTGACGGCGCGACAACGGGAGTGGAACAGAATCTGTTGCGCGCCAGCTGGGATTCAGAAGGCAAGAAGGTTGCAGCAGCTTCCGGCGATGGCACAGTGGTGATTTGGTCCGCCCAGACCGGCAAGCTGTCGTACAAGCTGCCGGGCCACAGAGGAACGGTCAACTGCGCAGAGTTTTCGCCGGGCAAGGATCCTATTTGTAAGTTGACAGTTGAGCTCTCTTTTTACGATCTCTTTTTACGAGATATCTGCTGACACGGATTGATAGTGCTCTCCGCATCATCGGATCGTACCATGCTTCTCGGCGAGCTGAAGTGAGAGGAGACGGATGATCTATTAGACACTCACTTGCCTTCCCATGGGCTAGAAGCACCGGCAAATATATGGGACTGCCACACGCGGATAATAAAGGCAGTTTAAAGAGCATCGACAGCGGCTTGATGGACCTTTTGTGCCGACAAAGTCAGACATATAGCCTCTAAGCCTCTTCTAAAGGTCCAACCGGCCACTGTTTTAGAGGCCTCACATATACCATGGCCTGCTCAGACATTTGCTGGCGTATTTGGAGCCGAACCCTTCTCGCTAAGGAGTGAAACATTCAGGAAATGAGGAAGAAAAGGAAAAGCAGAGCTATAGCGACATTGGCGTCATATTATCATAATCTTTGAAAGGCTATACCGGGAGTCAGGGCAGAATAAAGAAGCAGGGGTACAGACAGGACGAGCACTACTGCGTCGCTCGACGACAAACGCTCTTGCAAAACAAGGTCTCAAAAGCAAGTGATCTATTGAAAGGCATGACAACTTCTGAAGCCACGATACTATTTGTATCTTGCTTGGGTTCGTGTCTTGTCTTGTAGTCGGTCAATGGAAGTAGGTGATAAGCGCCGCTAACATAGGCGAAACGTTGGTGACATGCGTCCAGCCTGTAACGCTGACCAGCACCCGGACGCGGTTAATGCCGAATCCTGGCAACCCACGTTTCTTTTCCTGCGTGAAGGACTGATATACCTGCTTGCTGCAAGACAGCGAGACTGCACATGCTGTCAACGGTCAGTCGCATCCACTGGGGACGCTCCACAGCAGGAAACCTGGAGACGAAGAGGACCTGGAAACCTTCGCCAATCTGGCCTGCTGCAGTCCCAGGTACTACAAGGTGTAATATAGTCCAGTCCACAAGTGCAAGCCTCTTCACGTCCTCTCCATTTCCATACAGGCATCAAACAATCGGCGCCCAATCGCGAAACAATCAATTTCTCCAGGGAGCGACGCCGGGCCGTGTCAGGGCAATGGCTGCAGCGCATCCATTGGTGGCGGAGCTGCGTAGGCTGAAACACGGCCTCTTTTTCCTGCCCTCTTGTTTGTGAGGCCCAGGGACGGGCAGCCCCTGGTTTTGGGGCAGCCCCTGCACGGCCACTCGGGATCCGGATCAATCAACGATGAGGCCCTTCTCTTTGATGACGACCACTGGTATGTAGGAGTATTACTAGTCCGCAGCACGGGGGTTTGGCGGTGGTTCCTCGTCGGTGGGAGGTAGCATTTTGATACTGGCGATGTTGGTTTGATACACGGTGGCGGGGGCTTGGACAAGGAACAGGACGGGAAGCGCGATACGAGCCGGCCAAGGATAATGTGCGCTCTCTTGGGCACTGCTCTGCCCTGGTCTCCCTCCTCGTGCTTGTGATTGTATTTTTATTTTTTTCAAAGCGCAGGGCGGCTTTTGCGTCTTACACGTCCAGTCTCTGTGTGTGTGTGTCTGCACGGATTCTCGCAACGCCTGTGCTCTGTCCGTAAGGCAAGCCAACAAGAGGAACTGACTGCCCTTTCCAGCTGGTCTCTGGATTGGAGTGTGCGTCTTTGCGCGGTTGCTTGCTTCTGTTGGCTCTCTCTCGCCTTGCCTTCAATTCTTACTCCCTCTGCTTCTCTTTTCCTGCCTCTTCTCTCAGTCTGTCTCTCCATGTATTGATTGCGATACTTCCAGCCTTTCCTTTGCAGCTGTCTCTTCTTCCCTTTCCCTTATCTTCCTCTCCTTCTTTGCTTCCCTTGCTTCCTCTCACCTATTTGTCCTATCTACTCTTAATCTTTGCGCCGACGAGAATCCTCTCTTCTCTCTATTCTTCAGCTCTCACGCACTCTTTGTCACTCGCTCTCACTGCATCTCTCTCTGTACCCTTTCTTCTCCCTTGTGCGTGTTGAGCAGGCTCTCGATCCCTCGGTATTCCCGTCTGTCAATTTCTTTCTTTCTTTGATATCCAACCAGATCGCCATCATTCATTGATCTCCGATTCTTCTATTTTTATCCGACGTCACACGAATATTCCAGAAGAGTTGCGGCTGTGCCGCGACAGTACCGAAAGGAAACACACCATCACCTACCAGTTTCCCAACTCTCATGATTACAAAAACAACAAATTAACAAATAACCAACATGTCGGACCGAAGCATGGAGCAGCTCCGGAGCGAGCTTCTGAGGAGAGCGCGAGGGGAGGGGCAGCCGAATGCTGCGAACGACCAGATTCTGGCCTCGCGTCGGCAAACCATTATGCGAGAAATGAATACGAGTCGAACATTTCCCAGACGGCTCCTGTTGCCCAGCCTGAGCCGGGGACGGAGGGCGAGGGCATCCGACGAAGAGGCTGCTCTGGAGAGCCCAAAGACGCCCGTTATGCCGACGAGACGAACGAACCAGCTGGCTCCATTCCGACTGAGCGTGCAGCCTCGCTCTGCATCTGGAGATGCTTTGCCGGCTCCCCAGCCAGCTGTCTTGGCGGAATCCAACAGCAGTGATGCGTCTGCGGAATCGACGACAGCCACGTCTACGGACTCGCGGAGACGATCAGACAAGAAGAGGAAGTCGAAGCGCTTCTTGTTCTGCTTCCCGTACATCAAGTCGAGGCATGTGCGGGCGCAGCTGGCAGTTTGCTTTGTGGCTGCCCTCTTCCTCTTCTCGCTGCTGGCAGTGTGTAAGTGGAAACTGGACATGGAAGTGGTAACATGATCTTGGTATACTAACATTGGCTTTAGACTTGGGCCTGACCCTCACGAAACATGTCGTGATTGGCGAGCTGAACATTATGTTGATTATGATTATCCTACTGGCAGCCGTCTTCTTCGGCTACACCCTGCTACGGCTGTGGATGCTCATTGCCCGCGGAGACCCGCCGGATGTTCCCAGAGCCCTCGACCCGCGCGGATATGCCGTTCCCCGCAATCCCATACGCGTGGTTATGGCCCAAGACGAAGAGGCCGTGGGCGTTGAGAGCGAGACGATGACGATGAAGCCGCCTGCCTACGGACTGTGGCGGGAGAGTGTGGTATGTACTGATATGGTATCACAAAAGTTGTCGGAGCCGAGCTGACATGATATCCAGCGTGTGGACCCCAACCGCTTCTTCTGGCAACGCAACGAAGCTGCTGAGCCCGCTCCTCCTCAGACTGCGACGGGACCGAGGCCGCCGTCTTACGCCTCTGATGACGGAGTATCCTATGTGGTTGATGCCGTGCCTCGGTCCACTGCTCCGTCGTCATCAGGAGAGCAACAGCCGGTACATCCCTCGGAACGGGGGCGGGCTGGCCAGCCACCTCCGAACTAAGAGGTTAGATAAGCAGTGATTCAATGTCTTGGGTTTTGTTTCACAGCCCTGGTGTTTCTCGGGAGGCAAATGGTCTGGAAATACGGGAGTATTTGTACACGGGGATGTGTACAAGGCAGGTTGGGGCGGCGAATTGTATATTGCCGGCCTTGCAGGATATTCTTGGTGACATAGGATGCCGGCAGCAGGTCTATGGATTTTGAATTCAATGGCAGTTTCTCGCAAGATGTCTTCCAGATTGCTTCTTCTCGCGTGAAGGGCTGATACTACGTAAAGGGATCACATACTGCTGGTACTTTGTACAGCTGGACGTGCATTTGGCCGTCACACTTGGGCCACTTTTCCCCAGGGACGTGCGTGTCTTGGCTTGTTGTACCTTGCCAGCCATGCCAGCTTCCCTGTCGAGGCGTGTGTTGGTCGAGATTTGGGCCTGTTCCCTTTCCCGTCGGGCGACGGCGCCGTGATTGGCTGCCAGATGCATGCAGAGCGTGGAAATTACATGCAACCTGGTGAGGTGATGCAGGACCGAATACTACATACAACAGCATTTGAGTGCGTGTTGGTGCTGGGGGCTCGAGATGCATGCTGGATAAATGACTCCGTATTTGCCTACCTGGCTCTACGGACGAACGATGGACTTGGCACCTTGTAGGTGTAATTACGGAGAGGGTGTTGAATGCCTCAAAGGGTAAGCTCCGTTATTATTACATACATGCCCTCTTTTTGAGGTGGTACGGTAATCATCGTTTCTTCGAGAGTACTTTTGTGTGACTCCTCGGCGTCATTTTTGGTCCTTGGGACGAGGATCCTGGGTACTGGCTCCTGGCTCCAGGGCCAGAATATCATTTGATTGGAGTTGCCATTCCGTTGAGTTCGTCACTTAGATGGCAAAATGGGTGGATGGGTTCGTCACACAAGGACTGCCTGGAGGATGGTAAGATGCACTGGACTCAGAACATAAAGGTTGCCACCAGCACCGAATATACGGATGCTGAATAAATAATCTGTAAGGGCAGACGGACGGGATGATACCCAAGTCAGTGACGGCACACTGTTGCATCGCGTCAGGCTTTCGAAGTTTCAATTCTTCAGCATGAGCCATACATATGCTTGGGACGCGTTGCCTGGCCTTATGTGAGAGAGTGTGTGTGCTTGGAAACGAACCACGGGATCGCATTGAATTAGAGTCGGATACATGGGCTTTCGGGATGGTGGAGGAGGAAATGGTTTGGTGGGAGTTCTTCTGCTAGGCCGGACGGAGAAGGACGGGGTACGGACGGGATACTTTTGGTTTGGGGAACTGCAACGTGGAGGGACTTGGGATTGAGCCCAGGTTTGCGGTGTTTTTTTCGGGGACTGACTGTTGAGTCTATAGGTACTGTTGAGTCGACGTCGATGCTGATGTCGATGCCAGTGCGTTCCAGGTGCGGCTGAGATGAGATGAAGCACAAAGAGTGACTTGCATATGGATTCCCTGCTTGTAGAGAAATAGTTGACACATCTACGAAGATCCTGCATGTGTCCCAGGTGCTCAAGCAAGGGAAATTGATTCCATGCTTGCCCTCGCTTGAAGCTTCAGTCGAAGCCATTTCCCTCGCTTGTACCTTGCAGGTATCGAGGCAGCAACGACAGCAGTGGCAAAAGCACCCGAGCAACCCCTCACAGCGGCGGGGCGCTGCTAGAGCGGGATGGACGGGCCCTGCAGCGCTGCAGTGAGACAGTGCCAGCGGTCGAGCTTACAGGGAGGCGACGCCCCGGACAAGGCGCTGAGTGGACGAACCGCAGCACCCACAGCCTGCAAGTCGCGCACGCACTAGTCCCGGACGGGCACTACTGGGTGCGTTAACCCACACCCACCTGCTCCTCGTCGCATGCGAGCTTGCAAATTGCTGGAGAAATTCGCGTCAAATCACAGTGCAGCTTTTTGAGGCCAGTTTTTTTTCCCTTGCCGCCGCCTGCCTTGTTCGCCTGTTTTTTCGCCGTTCGCCCTCGCTATTTGCCGCTCCACTTGCCTATTTTTTCCCACTGGGCTCGCTCTTACTCATTTTCCCCTCGAGACTTTTTAATACTTTCTCCTCACGACATTAACGAAAAATTTTCCCCTTCCTTTTCCCGGAACTTTCATCCAAGTCTGTTGGTGGACGTCGCTGTTGTTGTCGCTGTTGTCGAAACTATCCCAGGTCGCTGAACGCAGAAACGAGAATCGTGTACGACTCTTCCTCTTATACTTTTTAACTTCTTCTTTTCAAGGTGTGTATTTGCGAGTTCTGTTTCCATGTTTTGCGCCCACAAAGGGCGAAGCCTTCGTGCGAAAGCATCTGCTCCGCTGCGGCGGACGTCAAGTATGCCATCGGCCATGTTCAAAGTTCAGCCCGCGGATCCGAAATGGCATCCTCAGTTCCTCAACTGTGTTTTTACTTTATCCATCGAATTACAACGACGGAAGATGGGCACCGACTGGGTGAATCGTCTTCCCGGCTGCTCGGTGCTTGGTATCGGAGCGACGAATCAACGCTTTTGTGCGACACGACCCCACGCGGTGCGACTCCGACTCTAATTTGCGGTTCGATTCGAGGCTTGATATGTCTATGCGCCTGTCCAGGTGCTTGATCGCACTTTTGTGCTGAGACAGAGCTGCGTCCTCGGCATGCCATGGATATTTCCGCTTATGGTTGAGGGAAATCATCGCATTACTTGTGGTAACTGGTGCCGCCTACGCCTCGACTCGACAGACATAAAAATGTTGGCTTCTCCGCTGTTCATGGTTTGACGGTGGCTCGTTTCCGCAAAGATCGAATTCACCTGAACCGCATCCTGCTGCTGTCGTGTCATTCATCCTGTTGGCGCCGAAACAGTCGTGGCAATGGACTTGCCTTTGCGCCGAGTCGCCCACGGGGCCTTTTTCTGACTGGACCGTCGACATCTTGGTCTACGCCTTCATCCAGCAACCGATTGCCTCGACTGCACTTGACCTGGTAGCGCTCCATCGCTTTCGCTTTGCACTGCCAGGGTCTTTTGCCCTAGATCCCCTGCCTGGTTTAGCGAGGGAATTACTTGCATCCAAACTCGCCACGGCGTCGACATAGCCCCGCGACTCATCGGCCCGCCATACATACCTTGTGGCTCTGGAAGCATCGTAATCCTCGGGATCTGAACTGGATAGCGCGGCTGAACTTTGACTGCGCAATGGCTTTTGGATTTCTTTCTTGATATATATGAGGCCACTTGAGACGGCTTTGGCGATTCTCTGCATCTGCTAACCCTCAGAACCATAGAAATCAACATGTCTTCTCTCTCTCGTCGTGCTTGCTACAAGTGTGGCAATGTTGGCCACTACGCCGAGGTTTGCTCCTCCGCCGAGCGTCTCTGCTACAACTGTGAGTGCAATTCTGAGCCCTCATCTGGGAATTCTTGAATTCGGAGAACTTGGCTAACATGCTCAATAGGCAAGCAGCCTGGTATGTATCTACGAGCGAATTCGAGTTAACCGACATCGCCGTTCTAACAAGATTCCTCTACAGGACACGAATCCAATGGCTGCCCCCTTCCCCGCTCTACCGAGGCTAAGCAGTGCTACCACTGCCAGGGACTGGGCCATGTCCAGGCCGACTGCCCTACCCTCCGCCTGAGCGGCACTGCTACCAGCGGCCGCTGCTACAACTGCGGCCAGCCTGGTCACTTGGCTGTATGTCCTATACTCCCGTGATGAAGATCTATTTGGAGATATATGCTAATATGTCCAATTCAGCGTGCTTGCCCTAACCCCGGAAACCCCGGCATGGGCCGTGGTGCTCCCATGGGCCGTGGCGGCTTCGTCGGTGGCTATGGTCGTGGTGGTTTCGCTAACGGCCCTCGCCCTGCCACTTGCTACAAGTGCGGTGGCCCCAACCACTTTGCCCGCGATTGCCAGGCTCAGGCCATGAAGTGCTATGCTTGTGGCAAGCTCGGCCACATCTCCAGGGATTGCACTGCCCCCAACGGCGGCCCCCTGAACACCGCCGGCAAGACTTGCTACCAGTGCGGTGAGGCCGGTCACATCTCCCGCGACTGCCCTCAGAAGAACCAGAACACCGAGATCAACAACGAAGTCGTTGACCTCGGCAACGTTCCCGCTCCCTCTGTTGCCCCCATCGCCCCCGTCGCTTAGACGTCTGGGCGCTCCGTCTGACGCCCTCCTCCCTCTGCGGCCGGCTGGGTGACGGGCGAAAACTGGCCTAGGGACAGACTTTCATGAGCTCAACTGAAAGATAAAACACGAATACTCTGGATCCTAGGCCGCCATTCTTGTTGACGAACTTTTTTTTCCCTTTGCCGCAACATACTATTTTGCTGTACGCCCCGAGGCGTGCGGCCTTGGCTTCAGTCTTTTTACTTTTATATCTCTCTTTTTCTGTTTCTCTGAATCGGGTCGGTCGGCAATATTTCTTCTCATCATCGGCTTACACGGAGTCTTTCTTTGGCTTCGGTTCATGCTGCGCCCGTTTATTTCCCTCCTCACTCGTCTCACCAGAGATGGGCGGCGGCCGGGAGTCAAAAATCCTCCTGTCGCCTGCTGCGTGACCAGCGAATGAGCGAAATAACAGCGGCAGCGATGACGATATCGGAAGCGTCAAAATTTCCTTTTTCTTATACACACTTTCCCAAATTGAAGAGCGTCCGATTTTGTCGGGACCCTTGGCTACGCATGGGTCTCTTCGAACCGGTTCCTGGGCCTACCCCCCATCTTTCGAACGGATTTGACTTTGGATCACATCACTCGGAACTACCTACATATTACGGACTGACACGACAGACGCTGTCAACGTAGCTCTTGACGACTGAAAAGACTGAGGCACATGCGATGGATATACCCGCGAGGCTGTGTGTGTGATGTTGTGATGAGCTTGAATCGGCGGCGCTGCCCTGGAGGGCTGCAAACAGTATCGCGTGTCGTCGCCGGGCTGGCACGGGCCTTGGAGTCTGCCTCGTATGCGCAAGCTTGAGGACTTCAGCGACGACGTCAGTGACGACTGTTACCTCTCAGGGTGCACGAGGCGCGCGCGCGTGCCAAGGCGGTGGATGCTGGATGTCTCGAAGAATGGGCAGTCTGAGGATGCTGAGAGGAGATCGGAGCTGTGCGATCCAAATGACTGTGGCGGCATGGAGAATACGAGCACGTCCCCAGAATTGACAAGGAGATCACGAGCAAGCATACACGCTCGTGTTTCGAAGTGGTTGGCGTGGCTGCCGGGTGCAGAGGACAGCTGGGAGACGCGGAAGATGCAATGATACAGTAAAGTATGACAAGCGGAGAGGCGCAGATGAGGAAGATGAAGAAGAAATCCTGTCATGAAAATGCTCCCGAGGCGACGGCGACGCAGCAAGTGTGGACGCTGTCTGTTTGTGTGTGTGGTGTGATGAGCGTGTAGATGTGTGCATGTTGTGCGTGTGTACGAGGCGAGTGAAGGAAGAGGTGATGCAAGACGACTTGTCGGACAGACACAGGGGGGAAGATCATGTCAGTGCGACAAGACGATCAGCGCATTGCTGGCACCACGCCACCAACGAGTTCCAGGTAAGGGATGAGGATCAGAACCGGTTGTTGACCAACCTATGCGTTTGGATCTACTTGATGCTACTGACTGGTTTGCAGACATCTGGTTGGCTTCAACCTTTTGCTCTCCTTAGGTGTTTGGAGATGCTTCTCTTCCTCTCAACTAACGCGCACAAGCAACCGTACCCCTGACGCGTACATGTAGCTCAAGTCGTACCAACGGCAGCCTTGCAAGCTCTGTGCCTGGTGTCTTGAGGCTTGCATTTCTCTACAGTTCAGCTGATGGTGGCTTAATATCTGAGCTGCGAGTCGATGCATAAGAAAGATGCATACTAACAAGGGAATCCACCCATCCATCTGCCCATGTGTCCAATAGCGTTGACGGCCCCCAACAGAGGACATAATGACTCCATGCAGATATTGTAATAAGGTAGGTATGATACTGTAGCATCACAGGTTCTGGACCGAAGGACTTGTGTTTGTGTCGATGGTGCTGGTACTGGAACAGGGAGTACAGGTAGGTGTCGAATGCGGGGGCTCGTGGATTCCATGCAGCAGTAGTAGCAGGTTTAATAGGATTTAGTCTCGTCGGACTGCATGTACATCTGATACGGTAAGATGGGAGCCCAGCCGTCAGCCTCGTAGCCGTAGTTTGGGCTGTGGTGGTTGCCTAGATCTGTTGGCGATGGTATTCTTCCACCCTGATACCCTCTGCTTTCCATCATCACTGAGCAGTTTTTGACGATCCTTTTCTACCTGAAGACAATTGAAAAGACTTTGCATTGATTAATCACTGGTCTTTTGTTTGTTTTGTGAAGCGCAGCTGACAGTGTGCGGCTATTGAATTGTTAGTTGTTGCCATCAAATTGGTGCATCCCCTCACCAGCTGAGACGAGACACTTCAGGACGTTGTACAGCCCAGCTCATACAGGAAATTGCATCACATCAAAGAGGTTCATGTCGCCGCTTCTCGTCTACTGATATCCTCGTTAAGACCGCTCTCTTCGTTCTTTCCCTCGGCTCTGCGCCTCGCTACACTGGCCTTAAGGCTTGAACCCCTCTCTCAACATGTCCTTCATCAACACCGACACCGACAGCAACAGCTCCTCATCCAGAATCAGCATCCGCTCGCGTCACCGCATCTATCCCAGGAGAGGCCACGATGACCATTACATCATGGGGTCTCAGGATGCTCTTCCATTGCGCCAACGCAAGGTGGTGAAGCCGCACCAGACGCAGCAGGAGGCGATTGATGAGTTTTGGGCAAAGTTTACGACCAAGGCGCCGGGCAAGGGTGAGCTGCCCCCATACAACGACTGAGTCGAGGAGCTCAGGGCCAGATGTGTCCGTCGATAGGCTTTGACTGTTGCTGATGGCGTGGTTGCAGCAACTACTGTGATACCGCAGAATCCATACACTGCCCGTGTGGCCAGAAACACCGCCAAAGCGGCATCATCCTCCACAACCACGCAGGCATCCTACGAAACCGCCGCGGCTATGTGCCGGGCCAAGGTGGAAAAGATTGTCCAAGAGTGCCGCCGAGTCAACAAGAAGTACCGGGATCCGCACTTTGACCTCGAGGCCGACCTGAAGCTGGGGCGTCGCGACTGCCTGGAGTCCCTCTCCAACTTTGATCCTCACGAGAACCCCGGCAAGGACTTTAAGCCGGGGAGTGCGAAGCGTGTCGTGGAAATATTCGACAAGCCGCAGTTCTACATTGACGGCCCGACGGCTAATGACGTGAGGCAGGGCCGAGATGGGGATTGCTGGCTCATGTCGGCGTTGTGCACGCTGAGCAACAAGAAGGGGCTGATTGAGAGGTTGTGCGTGGCGCATGATCAGCAGGTTGGCGTCTATGGTTTCGTCTTTTACAGGGACGGTGAGTGGATTTCTGAGATTGTGGACGACTTTGTGCGTATGCTGCTCCTGGTTGCATAGGGAAGATGCTGACTCTTGCAATGTCCAGCTCTATCTCACCAAGTCCGACTACGACGAGAAGCACTGGGAACGGATCCTCTTTGACGAGCTGGAGCGCATCAACCCGGAAGAAGCCTACCGCAAGGTGTACCAGTCCAACAGCAGTGCTCTGTACTTTGCCCAGTGCCAGCATCCTCAGGAGACTTGGCTTCCGCTGCTGGAAAAGTGCTATGCAAAAGCACACGGGGACTACGCTGCCATTGAGGGCGGATACGGAGGCGAGGGCATTGAGGACCTCACCGGCGGCGTCACTTCTGAAGTTTTCACAACCGATATCCTCGACAAGGTGAGTTACTTGAAGACAATGATATGGACACGAGGATGATTCTTGACATGTCTATAGGAATACTTTTGGAAAGGAGAGCTGCTCAAAGTCAACCAAGACTTCCTCTTCGGCTGCAGTACCGGCGTGTGGGGGAGCAACGTGAACTGGGGCGAACGCAAGGGCATTCTCGAGCTTCACTCCTACTCCATCCAGAGAGCGGTCGAGATTGACGGCAAGCGACTCCTCCGACTCAAGAATCCATGGGGCAAGGGAGAATGGAAAGGACCTTGGAGTAGGCGAATCCGTTGGTATGAAGTCGAAAGGGGTACTGACGTGTGCTAGGCGACGGCTCCAAGGAGTGGACTCCCGAATGGCTCGAGAAGCTGGGTCACCGCTTTGGCGACGACGGAGATTTTTGGATCGCATACGAAGACCTGCTACTGAAATACCAAGCCTTTGAGAGGACTCGGCTTTTTGACGACTCGTGGCAGGTATCTCAAATTTGGACTACTGTCAACGTTCCGTGGATGCTAGACTACCACGACACTCATTTTTCTCTGCGTATCGAAAAGGCTGGTCCGGTGGTGCTCGTGTTACAGCAGCTCGACGACCGATACTTTCGTGGTTTATCGGGGCAATATCTGTTTGAGCTGGCGTTTCGCATCCACAGACGCGGCCACGAGGACTACCTTGTACGCAGCCAGGCACCGTACCGCATGAGGCGCTCTGTCAATGTCGAACTTGACCTGGAAGCAGGCGAATATGATATTCGCATCAAGATTGACGCAACGCGACTTGACAGGTTGCTGCCTCTTCAAACGGTGATTCGAAACTCTGCCAAGAAGCGACGAGAGAAGCTGACCCGCATTGGCCTCGCATACGACCTCGCACACAGCAAAGGCAAAGTGGTGGAATCTGCAGAGGAAAAGGCTGCCAGGGAAGCCCACGAGAAGCGGATCAAAGACAGAGAGCTTAGTGAGATCAAGGAGAGGATCCTTGACCGCCGAAGAGACGATCACCATCTCCACAGGAAGCAGTACTCTAGGCTACAGAAACGGGAAAGGAAGCGAAGGGAAAAGCAAAAGGCAAAGGACGCCGCGAGAAAACACAAGAGCAAGAAAGGCGACGACGAAGTTGACAAGCCCGACGAATCCCCCGACAAGGCAGAGTCACTCCCGGCGAGCGGCAACGGCGATGGTCTGCCTGATGAAGCCGATGAGAATCATGAATCCTCGCCTTCGCTTAATGGGGCGGGCGTATCAAGAGCGAAGAGCAGAGCTCCAAGGTCTATTGCTCCGGCTGATAGAGTCCTCCAGCCATCCTCGCGATTTGGAGGCACAAGCCGCAGGGAACCAGCCTCTTCGTACTATGAATCCGAGAGCGATGGCGAGCTTGCCAGTCTGTCTTCGCTTTCTGAACTTTCCTCCCACGAGCTCGACCTGCAAGTCAAAGCCTTTAGGAACAACCAGCTGAACAAACCGACAGTCGTGACGCCTCCGTCTCTCAAGTTTGAGGATGAACTCGACGAGTTTGAAAGAGACCCATGGAATGCTGTTGTCGTCATCGGATTGCGAGTGTACCATCAGGTTGATGAAGAAGACAAGAGCAAGGAAGTCATCAAGCTCAAGGTGGTGCGCCCTAGTCCGTACGCCGACTCGGAAGACGAAGACTCGGACACTACGGAGCAGGCCGCCAGGGAAGAACAGGACTCGAAGAGCAAGGGCCTGGATGTCGACGACAGTGCCAAGGATGCAACGCTGCAGGGTGGGGTGAAGGACAGGAAGAAGAGCATTGTGGGTGGCGGACCATGACCTGGGGGTGCCGTTCTGGAGAGGCTGGTGTTGTACCTGGAAATAAGACTTTTGAATAGACCTATGCAATAGAGATTACAACAAAGTGACTGTGGCATATCATTATGGCGCAGAAGATTACATGCTACTCTTGGGATGGCAACATGAAGTTTGATACTGCCGTCCATATCAACGTTCACAACAACTGGTCTTTGAGAGATTAGATACGTTCACAGCATCAGATGGAGTTATCGCTTGACAAACTCGCAACGTTTATTTGCTATTGTCAGTACAAAGGCATTGGAAAACAATCCGAAAGACCTCTAACACCTGTCATAACCTCAACACGAGCCACCATCATCCCCCATAGTTGACAGCCTCTGACGCGGAGAAACTAAGAACTAAAACAGAGAGGGTATCGAACGAGCCCACCTCAAAACAGGCTTTGGGGGTCTCATTGGGTATCATACACCAATTTTGTACCAAGTGAAAAACAGGAATATCACAAAACACCGAATCCCAGTAAGGGACATACAACTTTCCGTCTCACCACTGTTGTCGTTTGACGCCAATCGCTGGCTTCACCTAAGCTTCCACCTTTATCTTCACCTTCACCTTATCTTCACCTTCACCCAGTCTTCAACTTCCAACTCCACTTTCATCTTCACGTGCACCTTCAACTTCGTCTGGCACTTCCCCGTACCATTTCCACCAGACTCAAGCCTGAAGCTCAACTCCTCAGTCCTCGACATGAGGGTTCGCCTCCTTTACACCAGACTCGTCCTTTGACACCCCACTGGCGCTTTCAGGGACCAGAGGCAAGTGCTGAGTAGGCTTCCAGGAGGTGGACTTGCGGGCAACTCTAACCTCTGCGTAGAGCTCGTCAACCTCCTCCAGGCTGAGGCCCTTGGTCTCGTAGATGAAGAACCAGACGAGGGCAATGCAGAGAAAGCAGGCGCCGAACCAGACGAAGAAGATCTTGGACTGCAGGTTGGCTTGGCCGGGGCCGTAGTTGACGAGGTACGGCGTGGAGTAGGCAATGGCCCAGTTGAAGAGCCAGTTGGTGGCCGTGGTCATGCTCAGGGCCTTGGCGCGGGTGCTCAGGGGGTAGATTTCACCGGTGACGACCCAGGCGAGGGGGCCCCAAGTGCTGGCGAAGAAGGCGATGAAGACGCAGACGAAGGCAACGGCTGCCTGCTGGCCGGCGAGGGACTTGACGAAGATTTCGCCGGTGGGCAGTTGGCCGGTGGAAAGGGTGCCGCAGAGGGCGACGACGAGCTGGGAGATGCACATGCCGACGGCGCCGAGGAGCAGGAGGGGACGGCGGCCCCAGCGGTCGATGGCGAGGAGGCCGGGTATGGTTGAGGCGACGTTGATGCCGGCTGTAATTATTCCGATGGTAAAGCCGCTGGAGACGCCCGAGTTCTGGAAGTATCGAGTGCCGTAGTAGAAGATGAAGTTGATGCCCGTCAGCTGCTGCAGGGCCTGGAGGGCCATGCCGGTGAACTGGCGCTTGAGCATGGGCCGGCGGAAGCAGTCCGCGTAGGTGGCCTTGCTGACGCTGCTCTCGACCTCGAGGTTGGCCTGGATCTGGCCCAGCTCGGCGGCGAGGGCCTCGTGCTCCGGGCGCAGGCGGCGGATGCGCGCGAGGGCGGCCTTGGCCTTGTCGAGCTTGCCGGAGCGGACGAGGAAGCGCGGGGTCTCGGGCAGGAAGATCATGCCGACGAAGAGGACGAGGGACCAGGCGAACTGGACGGTGATGGGGATGCGGTAGCTGCCGGAGTCGGGGCGCCTGGCGGTGGCGTTGTTGACGACGGCGGCGAGGAGGAGGCCGATTGTGATGGCGAGCTGGTAGGCGCCGACGATGGCGCCGCGGATCCATTTGGGGGCTGTTTCGGACTGGTAGAGGGGGACTGGGTGGTGTTTTGTTTAGTTTTGGGGGAGGAGGATTGATAAGAGGAGGGGGTTGGGGGGGGGGTCGACTTACTCAGGGCGGAGATGAGACCGACGCCGAAACCTGCGAAGAAGCGACCAGCGAGAAACATGGGGATGGCCATTGCGACGGTCTGGAGGACTACGCCAATGTTGAAGACCCAGGTCGAGATCATCAAGGCAGGGCGGCGGCCCAAGAAGTCAGCCAGCAGGGGGGAGGCGAGAGCACCGAAGAAAGTTCCAGCAGACAGAATGGAAACGATGGCACTTTCCTGAGAGGCGGTGATGTCGAGCTCGCCGTTGGGGTTGCGGTACCCGGTGCTGAAGAGGTCTTTGAAGTACTTCATGGCCATGATGCCGGAGATTGTACCGGTGTCGTATCTGTGACGGTTCTGTGTTAGCGAGATGATAAGACTGAAGGAGATGGAATATGGGGGGGAGATGTGTACCCGTAGAGGACACCGCCGAAAGCGACGAAGAAGCCCATGAGGATTGCGACCCATGAGGAGCCGGCTTCGTCGGCGGGACGCTTGAAGCCGAGCTTCTCGGAGAAACGCATCTTGCTTGAGATGACTGGTGACTTGTTGTTACAAGAGAGAAGGACAGAAAAACTGTGAGAGTGAGCAAGTGGAGTGCAGTGAGACACAGATCCGATGGAAGATTCAGACGAGTACGAGACGAGTGGAAGCAGAAAAGTGCCTGTTAGAAGCTGTCTGTTTCCGTTGGTTTTCAGAACAAGAGGATAGAGGGGGACGGGGGGAGCAAGGCTTTTATACCTCTACTGCTCCCTTATTCAAGGAGAGAGGGAGGAGAAGGGGGAAAAGGGAAAGCCTATGGCTAAAGGAAGGTTTTGGGCGATCTGCTGTGTAGTCGGCTGTTAGAATCGAGGCGGAGATCACTAGTTGAACCTGGGCCTCAAACTCAATAAGTGTGTTGGGACGCAAACGAATTAGCACCTCGTCTGAAGAAGCAAGCTGAAGCCATGTCTCTATGACTAAGGGGTGTGCTGTTCTAGCCCCCGGGATTGGGTCGAGAACATGGGAGAGCTGGGATTCAAGAAACCCGGAAAGGGTCCATCTGTGTGGTTGAGGTTATGAGATGCTTGGATCTCGCTGGGATAAGCTTTGTTGTAGATGCGGCTGGCGTGGCGTCTGGAAAGAGACGTTGTGTTACACAAAAGACGGATTGAACGTGGCTTGGGAGCTGTTTCGTTTGGTCAAGCCGTGAGAACATTGCTTGAAGTATAGGATGCAAAAGGTCTCAGTGAGGACGGAGCCATCACCCCTAGATCTGGGCACGTAATGGAGACCACTTCATTGACGCCTGGAATAATGCCACCAAGCGAGGTTTGCATCGCCCGTAAGTGGTGTCTGTAGGTTTTAAGACGCACTTCTCTCTGGGGCATTTAATATGACGCTGAGGAAGATGTTTCTGCAGGAATATGACAAGTCCTTTGAACTATAATGGGCAGTTAACGTCTGAGAGGAAGGTGATCTGCAGATTGGCAGCCAAAACATCGTCACTCTGAATAGAGTTGTGACTGGGCTTGATCTGGTTCAAGCCATGTTCGAATCAAACGCCACCATCTTTATCCGCCAGAATCTATCTAGCGGCTCCACCCTAGGTATATAATAAGATTCAAGTCGCTAGATCCCGTTGTTGGCCAGGTATTTCCTGATGTACAAGTCGGGAGCCTCGTTTACCGAGAAGCGTTGAGGTTCTCAAGAAGTCAATGGCCAAGTAGACAGACGAAACCTCTTGGGATGGGTGAGGCACAGTTTACCAATTAGGTATGAAGGGGATGCTTTTCTTCTCAGGATGATGATCACAGCGGGTTTCCAAGTACGTCCGCCGTCACTCCGAAGTGGCTTGCCGTAGAGCTTTCCAGCCACCGACGAGGTTAATACGCGCATATTTTCTCTGCAATATGATTTGTTCCCTAACATCCTCAGAGACGGCTGTTACTAACATAGAAATGGAAAAAAGAACTGAAGAAATGTCGGAGCCCTGTTTGTTGAGATCGGATATATGAATTTTTGGTTGATCAAACAAACCAAAGCATGCAATCTCACGGCCATAGCGTAACAAATGATTTCACGTCTAGTAATTGTTTACTGGGAAGAAAACATCTCGAGCCGGACACAGCCTTGTTGTAGAATTCCAAGGCTATCATTTAAGACATTGCCATCATCGGACACCTCCTTAGGTGGGTTGGCTGCGATGCGGATATCCCGGCTCCCCCACCGGCACCAAAGATCGACATGGAGTTGTCTTTTAGAAAAGGCTATCCAGCCTGCTGGGAATTGCATATATTTGTTACTGCTACTGCTAATAGCTGGAAGAATCGTAATATTCGCTACTGTCCTTATATATTTCCGTTATTGCTATAGACGTCTATTGATAGATACAATAGATAGTATATATGGTCTAGCTCTTTTACCTTGTATGCAGACTTGGGATGCTGGGTAGCCAAGTTGATCTTGTCTTTTTCAGAGTTGGTATTGGTGGCTCTGATTAGTTACTTGGTTTCGCCTACGTCGTACGAGGTGAGGTAAGGTAGTGATAACCCATACCCATCTCGAAGCTCATGCGGGGTAGCCTCTCACGGCTTGAACGGACACACATCCTCCTCTCGAGTCATTCAAACGAGGCTGCCGAAGAGGATGCGCCTCATTGCCTTGCTAATACTACCGGCTGAGCGCCTGATGAGGCTGGTAGGGGCTGCGGGTGAACCGGTCAATAGCCGCCAGCCTATCATCATCGACACGGATCTATTCAGCGACGTTGACGATGTCGGGGCATTAGCAGTCGCCAATGTCTTGCATAGTTGCGGTCTGGCAGATCTCAAAGGCGTCGTGCTGAACACACCGTCTAATTATGGACCTTTGGCAGCCAGCGTAAGTACATGCTGGATGAAGCCGTAATAATATCAAACAAGTTACTGATAGCTTCTAGGCGGTCTGCACTTATTATGGAAATGACGTCCCGATTGCAGCCTTTCGACCAATCACCAATGACACCTTCTTTGACAGCTTCGACTATCTGTAAGCCTTGGTTGGATAGCCTTGCTCTTGAATGACTCCTGACCGTCTCAGATACAGCGAGTATGCTAGCAAGTTGGCACATCACTGGCCTCGAACGCTCAAGTCTGCGTCCTCAACTCGAACTCCCACAGAGCTCTATCGCACCATCTTGAGCTCTGCCGATGACAAAAGCATTCACATCATTTCCATTGGGTTTCTCACCAACCTTGCCAATCTTCTCAAATCCGAGGCAGATCACATCAGCCACCTGTCCGGCTTGGAGCTTGCCTCGAAAAAAGTGAGCGAACTTATCATCATGGGTGGTGAATATCCCTCGGGCTGGGAGTTTAATTTTGGCGGCGTCGATCCTGAAAGCACGGCGTACGTTGTTCAGCACTGGCCGAGGAGTGTCAACATCACGTACTCGGGCGCAGAGCTCGGCGGAAACATCTCGTCCGGGCAAAACCTCGTGCAGCGGTGTCCTCCTAATTCACCGGTCTTGAGCGCGTATCAGTGGTATGTAGGCCGGGGTTCTACTACTCGCCTCTCATGGGATCCTATCACAACGCTGTATGGGGTTTTGGGCCTCGATTGGGGTTCGAAGCTGGGCATTCGTCCGCTGCTTGACTATGGCAACGAGTCTGGTTACAATAGTATCGTCGCAGCGAATGGCTCGAATGCTTGGGTTCATGATACGAGGATAACGAATCAGCACTGGCTGCGGCTGGCTGATGGTGTCTCAAATCATAGCATGGCGGCGTTGCTCGATGAGTTCTTGACGCATGATCCGTCCTTGAGGAGCTGTTTGCCATATGGGATGCTCGCAGAGAACACAAAGGACATACCCATCTTTGCAGAGATCTAGACAGTCAAGAGGAAAGACGAATAGTTTCAGTTGTGTTTCGAGTTGTTCAAGGAACACATAATTTCATTTACTATAACATCATTTGTGCTGACGATGCTGTATTCTCTATTTGTCTATGCTCTTCAGTCCATGATACTAATCTATCCCCCCTCACATATTGTTCTCCAAACCGTGAATCAGATGACACAGTCATACTAAAACTTCAACAACTCTTGACAAACATTTCAAAACAGAAGCAATAACAACCCCTTCATATCGTCGTCCCCGAGCCTTCTATCTCATTTGTGGAACAGTTCACCCTTTCTCATAGCGAGAAACACGCCTGTAATCATCACCCGTTAGCCGGTGTAGAGCTTGCAGTTTTGCGTAAACTTACAACAAACGGTCGAGGCCGCAAACATGACGCCTGCAAAAATTTGCACATCCAGGAAGCCATTCACGCCAGACTTTCGCAGGCTGAGTCCAATCGCCTCCGCAAAGGTATAGGGGAGCGCCAGCGTCAAGATGGAGAGCGATATAGCTGAGCACATAATGTCAGAAACACGTTAACCGTCTAGTATGCGTTCCTCTTTTTCACTTACCGGCGGGCATCATCTTCAAGCCAAATACTTTCGCGGCCACGACCACAAACGTGGCCCATAAGAGGCTCGGAAAAAATCCCAGTAAACTGTACACAATCAAACCACCGTAACTCTTGCCGCCGAATATCCAGATGAAGAACGTTATCAAAGATGAAATAAAGGTGCCAAGCATGGTGATTCTGATTGTGCCAAATCTGTCGCATAGGAGGCCGATGATTGGGCGGCCAATACCGGTCGAAACTGACAGCGAGCGATTAGTTCTGTCCGTCAAGACTCCAAAGAAACGATGAATGATACAACATACGGTTGAACATTGCAGACACCAGGGAACCTTGCTGAGCCGTGAATCCAACCCCTTGAGCATAGGCAGAAAGAGAAAAGACAACGACGACATAACCTAGGCTAGACAACCACAGCCATCCGAGAAACAGCCAAAAGTCGAGCATTTTGAAAAGCTTCCACTCAACCGCTTTAACCGCAGCCTTTGCATTCTTGTTGTGGTCTTTCAGAAACAAAGCGCTTGCCGTTATCACGACAAAGCAGATGATGGCCATGATTCTAAATGTCCATTCGATCCCCACGCGGTAAATGAGATTGTTCGCTGCAAGGGAGTAGGTCAGGCCGCCAAAACCTGTCCCGGAGGTGGCGATGCCTACGGCCAGTGATCGTTTCTTTGTGAAATACTGGGTTACAATGGAAGCAGTGCCAATAAAACAGATGCCCATGCCGATGCCGTAGCAGACACCTTGGCTGAGGATGAGTTGCCAGATGGTTTTGGAGAAGGATGCCGCAATGTAGGCACCTCTGATAGGAAGTTAGCGAGGCGTTTGTGAGAATTGAGCATGATGACATACGATATGAAGATGCCTCCGATGATGACGGTTATCCGAACGCCTAGTCGGCGCGATAGAAGGGCTGCGAATGGCGGGACAATGAAGGCTAGATTGATGCATTAGATGCCATATCCGCTTAGCATACTGTCAGACACCAAGTACACACCGACTGAGAAGCAGAGACCCCCGATGAAGGCAAACTGCAAGGGAGTAGCTCCGGGGTAAGTATTAGATTTTAAGTAAAAGGCCAAGAAAACGCCAAACATCTGGCAATATCGTCAGTAAACCCATGTAGGGGATATGGATGATAGAACTTACGGAATTGATCCCAAACGAATGAAAAAGTATCAGGAAAACCGATGCTACTATCACCCAGCCGTACCCGCCATCTTTGATTTCTTGATCCTCTTTGGATGACTTTTCTGCGTTCAAAGGACCATTCTGAGAGCCGAGATGGGTAGAGTCGCATTCGTCGCAACTCTGGATCCCGCCTGATGGTGTTTCGATATCCTTTTCGGAGGCCATGTTTGCTTGCACACACACATGTAATCAAACTCGACAGACAGCATTTGCATATTCGACGACGGAGTGTTGATCTCTTTCATGGCCTTTATATCAACTCACTTCCGCATACTTGATGGCTATATCCGACATTATGACATTAGCTGGCCAGCATCTGTCTCTCATGCAGTCCAATCAGCTCTCAGGAGCATCTTGATAGGATCATGAGCCAACCACAAGCGCGTCTTATCTCCTACAAAGTGGCTTCTGGCCAATCGGATATTCAGCTTATTTCCTACAACTCCACCGCCCAGTTCAGACTCACCTCCTCCTGCCATCCCTCTCTCTCCATCTCCTCCATTTTCGTCGTTCTTCCCAAAATGCACTTCTTCTCTTCTCCTCCTGTATGGTAACTCCGCGCTGCAAAGCTCAAGAGGCATATCGTATAACCGCACTTTGACGGAAGACTCTAGTCGACTGCCTCGGAGAATGGAAGAGAAGCCGCTCAGATCCTTGCTGGGAATCCCTCGCCGCAGACGCAACAGGATCCGAACCTCTTGTCAGCCATGTCGTGCTAGAAAGTCAAAATGCGATGGAACTCGACCGTCCTGCTTGGCTTGCCTGAGCAGAGGCCGTCCAGAACAGTGCGCTTACGAGAATGCACGTCCCGGCCCACGCAGACACATGTCAGTCCGGTATGCCCACCCTTACAATAGCTTCCTCAGCAAGTGAATCCTAACATGCGTCGCATCAAGGGACGAGCCGTATTTGCCTCCAAGTAACTCACTTCCCCTCAACACACCTGTGTTCAGTGCAAACGGCACTTCAGTTGCGGCAAACACTGAGCCCACGCCGCCTGTCAAGCCATGGCCAGAAAGCAGCGGCAAGAGGAATAGCATAGCTACTCGTGACGAGAAGATCAGTCCACAGAAAGACAGCAACTGTCACGATGAAGCCGTGTTTGGTCCGCCCTCGACGCATTCCTTCATCAATCGAGTCATTGCCTCGATCGAACCATGCAGCAAAGCCTCGACACAAGCCAGCAAGCCGTCTTCGAGCAAACGATTTCTCAGTGACCCAATTGGATTCACAGTCTCGAATGCAGATGATGTGCGACTAGATATGGATGCTCTGTTATTGCCCGAGAAGAAGCTCGCCGACTCTTTGCTGGCCGACTACTGGCACTATTCTCACGTAACTTTCCCCGTCTTGCATCGGCCGACGTTTATGAAAAAGTACCACAGCTTATGGAAATCGACGGAATCATTTGCGCTATCAAAATACACAGGCAACGACATGCTCTTGCTCGCGACGATCAACATTGCCCTGGCTATTGGCTGCCAGCGGTCCGAACACTGCCCGGCCAACTCGAGGAAGCGAGATGCCGAATCGCTGTACAGGAGGTCGGTCCGTTTAATATCGGCCGAAACCCTTGACTCATACTCGTTTGAGGTAATGCAGCTCCTTCTCCTGAGAATCATCTACCTACAGTATACCTCCTTTGCCTCGCGGTGCTGGAGCACGCTTGGTATCGCTCAACGAGTTGCGTATGGGCTTGGGCTTCATAAAGACGTTCCCGAGTCCATGGGCCAGTTGGAGCGGGAAATGAGACGTAGGGTATGGCATGTTTTAGTCATTATGGATAGGTAAGCCTCACCTGATATGATCCGAAGAACGTCTCCTAATCAGAGAATACATGTAGTATAGCATCTTACACATTTGGATGGGCTACTTCGACGAGCGGGCCCAACGTGGTACCAACGCCACAACCAATTGACGATGAATATCTGGCAGAAGAAGGCGAAGGGGTTCAGCCCCCAGACAAGCCATCCAGACTCGAATTCTTCCAATACTATCGCCGTCTGTCCGACGTTCCCACAGATATCGCCGACAATATACATCTCGTCTTTCAAGGTCTGGCGGAGCAGGGCTCGACGTCGCTTCTAACTACGTACATCAGCGAAATGCCAAAGTACTGCCAGAAGTTGAGCGAGCTGCTCGATAATTTGCCCAGCCATCTTCAGGAGGCGAATGAACATGCTGTAGACGAATGCTTCCAGATTCAGGGGCAAATCCTGAGGACACGGTAGGCTGACGTACGTGATGCAATACCGTTTCGTCGATTCTAATGCCTCTTTAGGTGCCTCTATGTCAGGCTCACGATCCTCCGCCCTTGCTTACTAGCGACAGTTGCCAACCGAGCCATACGCTCAGAGCTGCGGAGAGCAAAGACAAGTCCATGTTCGAATCTTACCATGGGCCTTCTGAATGATGTCAACAAGCTTTGCGTGTCTACAGCGCGAATTGTTCTTGATGAGGTACACCGGAATATTTCTACTGTGTGGCGGACCTCGACATGGCACACATTACGAGGTACTCCAACTTCAAGTTCCTGGTCCTATTATTGGCTCATTCACTGACTTTCTCCAAGTGACAATGGGCTCGGCAACAGTTCTCTTAGCGGCTAGCCTGATAGACTCGGATGTCGACCTATATCAAGAGCCGAACAAGACCTCATGGGAGCAGGCCGTTGCCATTTTCGAATACTACGTCTCGTACGATGTATCCGCGCAGGGAGGCCTGCAGGCGTTGTGGGACTATCGGCAGAAATTCGAAGCTACCAAGAGACGGGGAGAGTCGTCAAACGAAGCCGGCCTCGCTGAGCCGCAGCCGTATCCCCAGGGCGACGGTGCTCTTGTTGCTGAATCTGAGGAAACCCCCCCGGGTATAGATGGTGTGTTTGATTCCCAGTGGCCCGGGGGCGACTTGTCACAGGCGTTTTACGATTGGAATTGGCTTGATTTTGACATTCCCGAGTTTATGCTGTCATGACCACGCTACTTCTTGACGATGTATGAGGTATTGATTTAGATCTGAGCTTTGTGCGTGGGGTGAAGCCACAGGCCTTGTCGACATTATGTAGGGTATGTGGACAGACATTGATGTGAGGCAAAAGTTGCAGGAGAACAAGGCTAGGAAGTGCAAAAGTCAATTACATCTTTGAACATGTCTTCCTTCTCCAACCACGGAAAGTGACCACACTCATCATATATCACCAATTTCGATCCCGCAATCCCCCTTTGCATCGCCATCGCCTGCGCTGGCGTGCACACCGGATCCGCTCGACAAGAAACCAAGAGCGTCTTGGCCGTGACCTTTCCAAGTTCCAGCTCTTGCTGATGTGCTTCTCGATCCGCCCCATTTACCGTCTGGTAATTCCACAGAGGAACCGATTGCAGATTGCTCAGCTCCTTGGACCGATTAAAAGCATCGGGATCGTAAAAGTAGATGGGAAGAAAGGAGCGAATCACTTGGGCGAATTCCTCGTCGGTGAGGTTCTCATGGGGCGTCGTCCAGGCCTTGAGTGGAGCGTGCATCTTGGAATTCTTGGCCTTTTCGACGATGATTTCTTTCATCGACTTGCTGTCGTCAAATCCGTCCAAGCGGTGGTTTAAAAGGATCAGGCGGTCCACTTTGCCTGGATATCTGATCCCGTACCAGAGGGCAATGGTTCCCCCTCCCGAGTGTCCCAACAAGTAGGAAATCTTTTCGAGCTTTAGTTCCTGGCGGAGATACTCAATGTCGTCTGCGATTTGCCAGCATGACATTTCGGATGCAGCCGGGCGTGAAGACTTGCCGTTTGCCCGAAGCCCGAGGTAGATGAGTGTGAAGGTTTGTTCCAGCGGCGTAAGCCCTTCCTGCAGATAGTTCGTTCCAAGGCCCCAGGCGGGAGGCGTGACGATCATGATGGGTCCGTTGCCGCGCTTGAAGTATTGCAGCGTGGAGCCTGTTGTTGTTTTGAACAGGACATCTTGCATGGTCGATGAGAAGTGGTGTCTTGGTGGATTGCGTGAGATTGTTGCCACTCGCTGTGTATCGATGTAAGCATCATCGTCGGTGCTGCGTGTGAACGAACTTACAGGAGCTCGCCAGCCGTGTTGAATGCCTGGACGGAATCTAGTCCCGATTCCAGTCGAGGCTGAGACTGCAGAGCTCTTGAAGGCTAATGAACTCAATCGCAACGGTTTCATTGACGGTGAATGCCCGAGTAGCCGATACTGCTCAGGTACTTCGCCCAACCGGTGTCACATCGGAGACGAAGTCTACGAGAACCAGATTGACTTAATTATGCCACGAGCTGAATATTTAGTTGAGAGGTAGTGAGGTGGCTAGAGGAGAAAGGTCTACGCAATGATTACACGAGAAAGTGGAAAGTTGGGGTAGGATAGAAAGAACCGGGGCGGGGCTCCGGAGCATCGGAGTATCGGCCCCGCTCTCGGCGATGCCAGATTTAGGAAGTTTCATGCCTTCTCATAGAAGTTTCATTATCATTACAGAGTTATCTCGGCTATCAAATCTTGCGACCAAGAGCAGCTTCGCTATTAGATGAACAATGCGACAAGCATCACCACTGCAACGGCCTTGACGCTTCTCATCGCGCCGGCAATCAGGCCCGGGGCCGCCGCACTTCCAGGGACGGTAGGGATCGATTGTGATGGAAGGCCTGATGAAGCCGCGGTAGTGCTGTCAGAGCCTCCAGCAGTGCTGGATCCGGCAATCGAAGTCTCTGGGAAGCCGGGTGAGCCAGTTTCTCCAGCAGGAGTGGTCTCAGAACCAGAAGAGCCAGTCTCTCCCGCAGGAGTGGTCTCAGATCCAGGAGTGGTCTCAGAGCCAGGAGTAGAAGAGGCGACTTCAGAGTTTGGCGCAGTGGCACTGTTGGCGGGTGAAGATGGTGAAGCGGGCAGCGAGACCGTGGTGCCGCCCACCGTAACTGCAGGACCGCCGGGGATCAATGTGGTAGAGCCGTGGACGAGCTCGGACTGAGGGTTTTCCGTAAAGGTCGCCGAGCCAACGGTGAGAACCGACGTGGGAGAAGCCGCATCTGGAGTGGTGGACGAGTCTCCGGCTCCAGAGCCTGAGCCGCTTCCAGGGTTACCGCCATTGCCTCCATTGCCGCCAGAGTTGCCGCCATCACCACCTGAACCATTGCTTCCAGAGCCATTGCCTCCAGAACCGTTGCCTCCAGAGCCGTTGGAGCCGGAGCCGTTACCACCGGAGCCATTGCCTCCATTACCGCTGCCACCATCACCGCCGGAGTCGTTGGTTCCATCTGGGGGTGTACCACTGCCGCCTCCATTGCCTCCGTTGCCACCTCCATTTCCGCCTCCATTACCACTGCCACCGTTACCGCCACCTGGAGCACCAGAGGGGTTAGCAGGAGGAGAGCTTGCCGGAGGATTGCCGCCCGCAGGCGAGCTGGAAGGATTGGAAGGAGGGGGACTGCCACCCGCAGGAGAGCTGGATGGGTTTGAAGGAGGAGGACTGCTACCACCGCCTGCTTGGGATGTAGACGCGGGAGGGGGAGGCGGGGGAGGAGGAGGGATGCTGTTGCCTCCACTGGGCTGGGACGTGGACGCAGGAGGAGGAGGAGGTGGTGGTGGAGGAGGGCTGCTGCTACCACTGCCTGCTTGAGATGTAGATGCAGGAGGAGGAGGCGGGGGAGGAGGAGGCCTGCTGCTACCTCCACTGGGCTGAGATGTAGATGCCGGAGGAGGTGGTGGTGGTGGTGGTGGAGGAGGAGGGCTGCTATTACCTGCGCTAGAGTGGGACGAAGACGCCGGGGGAGGAGGAGGAGGGGGAGGAGCCGCAGTCGTCGTGTGTGGTGGAGGCGGAGGCGGCGTCGAGGTTGGCCGCGCAACGCTCGTCGTAGGACGGCTACGAGCCGTTGTCGTGGGCGGCGGCTGGCTTGTTGTGGGAATCAGGGCGGTCACAGAGGTGAGTGCCGAAGGGGGATCGTAGAATCTAGAGCAGGATTAGCGACGTCTTCACCATGGTGAGATACGAGACACTGATGGCAGCGGGAGGCTGATAGGACCCGGCGTTGTGTTGAATAGCTCAGGACGTCTGATCCATCGTGGACGAGTCCCATTCCACCGTCGTCCCAACTATTGTGTCCTCGCATACAAGTTGAATGAAAGAGAGACTCACCCTGCTAAACCATCCGTAATACAGCTCTTCCAGGCCGGATCGAGCGAGCGAACTCTGTCTGGAATCACAATCGTAGGGTGGCATGGATCGGCTGTAGCAAGAGTTAGCAAATACCCTTTCACCCCAAAAGAAACAAAAACATACGTGAAGCGAGTCCGGAATTAGACGGATTGCCAGGGATGTACGTGTATCCGGCAATCGTGGAGCAGTTCCTCTCCAGGTCGGCGGTGTTCAAGGCAGCCGATCCAGCAGGTGACCAAAACGTCGGCGTGCTTATCGACTCAACCCCGGTGCCATCCGGAGCAACTGTCCCAACAGTCACCGGCGTCCCCGTGACTTGCTCGAAGGTGATGGTTGACAGCTCGTCAGGCGCAAAGGCAATCGTGGTGTTGAAGAAGGGCTTGCCGACGGTTCCGCAGTAGTCGACTGCCGAGAGAGCGCTGAAGCCCACATACACGGAGGGCGACTCACTGTAGACTATTAGGGGGGTTTCAGACTGTTTCGTTGTTGTCTCTGACTTACAAGACCACTCCATTAGAGGTGAAGGACGTAACGGGGACTTCGGAGCCAGTAGTGGCGGTGGCAGAGCCAAAGAAGAAGACTTCCACAGTCGAAGCTCCAATGGTACAGCTGTAGCACTTTTGGTTCATGAGCGTCATTGTCTGATCATACACATGACGGGGCGTGACTTACGCATGGCGGTTGGGCTGTGCCGTACCATTCATTCAAATCTGGCAGAATGAAGTTGCCGGTGACGGTCTAGAGGTTCGTTAGAATAGAGTTCTTTCTCCAGCTCTTTCTACAGCTGGGCTTTGCATTCCTAGGAAAGCAATGGGAGAGCTCTAATAAAGAGCAGCTCGGAAGTCTTGAGGACTTACTTGGGTTCCAACAGTATTGAGAACCGTCGTGACCACGGTTGAGGTGTTCCCAATCGCTGTAGTATAGGTCGTCACGCCTGTACCGATTGTTCGGGTCAAAGTCCTTGTAGGAGGAGCCGTCGTAGACAGCCAGTTGTTGACCGATATCAAGCATTGGCACTGCAAGGCCGGGTCCGTCGAGAGTCCCGTGTACTCTTGCAAGACAATGTTGGGAAAGGTGGTGGTCCCGCAGGTCACTGCCGGCGGTGGTGCAATGGTAGAAGGAGCTCGAGTAACTTCGGGCGCCGTTGTGGTGTCTGTCGGTGCCTGAGTGAAGACGGCAGTCGTTGTGTTGGCCACGGCAACTGACGATAGTCAGCATAAAGATACACTATTGAGAGAGATTGGGCCAGACTGGTTATTGACTTACATCGTGCCCGCGCCACACCAGCAAAGGCGAGCAGAACAGCTCCTGTGAGTCCAGCCATGATGCCACCCGTAGTCCAGCAGAGATGGAGCTACAGCTGAGTCTGGCAAGAAGAAAAGGTTTTCTGCACGTCCACGAGTGTGCCTGAAAAGAAAACAAGCGGGCCAACTCAATTCTTTGTAAGTCTGCGTATTCGCACACCACTAGCTAGCCACGGCACATCAACTCGCAGCAACTTGCGCAGTTCCTTGCCAACTCGCACAACCAGCCCAACCAGAGATCATCACGCCTTCTTGCGTGGAGTGGGCTCGACACAACTGCACCCCTGTCAACCGGCATTCGGGCAGCCGAATCCATGTGAAAGAGGCTGGGTTCCTGAAAATAGTTCGCTGCGGAAAGGATTGGAAAGCGCTGAGGCGTCCGTCTCAGTAAGCCAGCCACTCCAGCATGCAAAAGTATGCGTCTGCCCTACTCTGTGACGATAGTAGTAGTAGTACTACCAGTACTATACTTGTAATCCTTCCTTCACGTTCTCGACCCCGGCACCCAGCTGAGCCGTGCATGAAGCAAAGCAAGGACAAGCACAACTGAAGTGGTCCCATCACAGCCAAGTGCTTACGCTCTAGCAGAGGTCAAGCCAGGGGGTGGAACCCAATCATGGTCCAACGCAAAAGCCCACAGACTCTCAGCCCTACAAAAACGTCCAGCGCCGTGACAGGAAAACGCGTATTGAACCGCGGGCGCACCTCGCTAAGGCGGCGTGGCGTACTCGTACTCATCAGTAATACTATCTAGTAGTACTAGAGCTACTGCTGTTCTAGTCACATTTTCGGCTCCGTGGTGGTTGTCATTCTCCAGGCCATGATCCCGGCTTTTCCTTTGGTGTTGTGGGCCGAGACAGCTGTCATTCGCGGAATGGCTGCCCTCCATGGAAGCTATTGGGATGCGATAACGAGGCGTTGCTCGGAAGGCTGGTTGACAAATGACACGACATGTGCAGACAGCAGCGCCACACGCGGGGACGGGCCGTTGACAGAGTCCCGTCAGCGTGGCGTTTGTCAAGGTGAACTGATTGTGACTTGTCCTACTGTACATGTGTGTTAGCCGTCTGCATAGCTCAGCGCGAGAGGAGGATAGAGACGCGAGATAGTGCTGTAGCAGTAGCATTACATGCTTCTGGCGATAGTATCTCCGCTGGAAGATACAATCCTAGGGTTCCTTGAGACTTCCACCACATTGGGACGCCGAAAGCCGCAGACAACCCAGTGGGCCATGCCGCAACCCCGACAAAAGGCCTCGTCAACAGGGCATAGCTCTGGATCGTCCATGACCAAGCCAATGGTTCATTCGACCGCTAGCCGAGGTGCGTCGATTAGTATTGACGGTGGATGCCTCTTCGTTCTGAGACTATTTTCCCACCTAAAATCTTACCCCCAGGTGGACTCGCTACCAAGCCGGAAAACTGAGCCCGCATGGAAAACCACCCCTGTCAGATGTTGATCTCTCGTTTTTCCGTCAAGCTCGACCGCTCCCAGAGAGGGACGGGGCCTTTCTCTCACTTGCAGTAACATTCTTGTCTTTGTCGGAAACAAGGCTGAAAGAGAGAGTCACCAAAAAAAGAAAGCTTTCAAGGGGTGGGAAGTAATCGCATCATTACAGGTGTGTGACTCGCAGAGCATACCTTAATCTTGGTCAACTGCAAGCTGTTACGGCATTCTCCACCCGGCAAAGGAAGTTCAGGTCCTGACCGCCAGGCAGCGTTTAGGATGCGGCATACTTGAGAAGCATTTCTTTCATCTCCGGAAGATGCCTGCGCGGCTGCCGCACCGTTTGTTGTGGGCGTTGTTGACGTTGATGCCGCTCGCCTCAGCCTTGGGCCTTGGCAAACGAGACGACGCGGATTCGTTTCCTTCTCCAGTGTCTGTATCGCCAAGTCAGTTCTTTGAAGGAGTTGATGGACCTTGGTCCACATTTGAGCTCCGTGTAGGCACTCCGGCTCAGAATTTGCGTGTCCTTGCTGGAACGTCGTCGACGCAAACGCTCGTGGTGCTGCCGGAGGGATGTCAGGTTATCAACGTGACGGACTGTGCCAACAGCAGGGGCGGCCTGTTCAACACGACGGCGTCCAAGACGTGGGATGAGATTGGTCTGTTTGGCCTGGGCATTGAAAATTCTTTGGGTTTTACCGACAATGGCGAGTTTGGACACGATACCGGTATGTCAACCTCGCCCTGGCTGTAAAGCATGGCATTAACGTCGACAGTCGGACTTGGGTATTTGGGCAGTGGAGGCCCTGTTGTCAACAACTCAGTCATTGCAGGAGTTGCGGGCACAGAGTTTTATCTCGGGATGCTCGGTTTGAACCCGCACCCAACCAATTTCACATCTCAGAATGATCCTCAGCCCAGCTTCATGCAGCTCCTCAAGAATGAGTCTGCCATTCCGAGCTTATCATACAGCTACAATGCAGGGGCTCCGTATCGCTTGAACAAGGCCCTGGGCACCTTGATCCTCGGTGGCTACGATACATCTGCCTATCAAGACACCAACTCTTCGTACGACTTCTTCAGCGATCAGTCCAGAGACTTGACGATTGGCGTCCAGTCCATCTCGACAAATGCCAGTGCAGAAGACACAGTGCTTCAGTCCAGTTTAATTTCCATGTTCATTGACTCATCTGTGGCGGAGATATGGCTTCCCTTGAAGGCCTGCCAAGCCTTTGAGAAGGCATTTGGTCTCAAGTACAACTCTACGCTTGAGATGTACCTGGTGAGCGACTCATTGCATAGTTCTCTCGTGGACTCAAACCCATCTGTTACGTTCACCATCACGACTGCGATCAGTGGTGGCTCAACCTTCAACATCACCTTTCCCTACGCCAGCTTCGACTTGCAGGCAAACCCGCCGCTGGTCAAGAAGGCATCCCGATACTTCCCCCTGAAGAGGGCGGCCAACGAGACGCAGTACATCCTGGGACGAACCTTTCTGCAAGAGGCGTATCTGATCGTGGACTACGAGCGAGGCAACTTCTCCGTCCATCCCCGCGTGTGGAACGCCAGTGCCGAGTCCAATATTGTCACCATCCTGCCTCGCGGAGCCAAGGAGAGCGCCCCCAACACCAGCACCGAAAGCAGCCACAGCCTCAGCGGCGGCGCCATTGCAGGCATCGTGATCGGCGTCTGCGTCGTGATTGCCGCGATTGCACTTGCTGCGCTGCGTTACCTCGTCGTCACCCGCCGGAAGAAGAACAAGGCCAACGACTCGGACGAGATTGAAGTGACGGCCATGTCGGCGCCAGACCACGATGGAGCCACTGCGACGGAGACGCCCAAGCCTGAACACGCAGAGATCGGTCCGGGCGGAGCTCGAGAGCTCGAAGGCGACGCTTCGGCGAAGCCCACGCCAGAGGTAGAAGGACGAAGCTTGGCCACGAGGAGAAGTCCGATGAGCGAGCTGGACTCGGCTAGCACGCCCGTGGCGGAACTTGCTGCTCCAGCGCCGCTGTCGGAACTTCTGTCGAATGAGATTTACGAGATGCCTGGGAGTGAAGTCCCGGAGCTGCAGGGCAGTCGGGTGGCGCCTCCCTTGGTGCTCACGGATTCCGAGTCGAGCGATTTTAGTTTCGAGGTTGAGCCAGGGGTGATTGGCGTGATTCAGCAGACGGAGGAGGATAGACGGCTTAACACGGCGGATTCTCATGGGGAGCAGGCCAGCAGACCAGACACAGGGGAGCAGAGAGGAGACGCAGCAGACAGCACCCTGCAGTCTTGGGCAGTGGGTGACGATCGACATATTCAGGGGGAGCCTCATACACGTAATACCTAATTACCAGATTATACCACATAGAATTATATACTCTTATAATGACATCTGGATTATAGCGATCAAGATACCATTAAGCCATCAAGGATAATTCATAAACCTCAACATATCAACATCTGGATATTCAGCCGTGTTCAACGCTCCGCTGTGGACATCTGCAGGCCATCCCAAGGAATGGGCAATTCATGTCATGCATACATCGATCTGGGGTTCCCGGAGATGCAGCTGCCAAGATGGCTTCTTGTGGAGGACAAGACAGCAGGGGTTGTCGATACGAGGCGCTCCGTGAGTCGGTAGAAGCATCCATTTTTGGCAACATCCTCCCAGGCATATGGCTCGACTATGTACATGAACAACGTTGACTCCTATGGAGCTGGCCCAAGACTCTCCTGAGCACTACAGAACAAAGGCCATCCCTCATGAGAACACAGCTCCTCATACGCTCTTGGGCTGCCGAGCCTCAGGGAACGAAAACTTGGCCGTCCTGTCCAACCGCACCGAGTACCCCGTAACATTCGGATCCGTGCCTAGGAAGTTCATCGGGAAGCCCAGATCAAACGGCTTCACGCTCTCGAGGTACTCAATCTGCTCATCCGTGAGCCGGATGCTGAGCGCGTCGATGTTTCCCTGCAGCTGCTCCACCCTGCGGCCACCGACGATGGGAAAGACGTTGGCCGCCTTGTGGCGCACGTACGCCAGCGCAATCGCCGTGACGGACTCGGTGCCGTGCTCGGAGGCGACCTTGGCCAGGGCCTCGCTCATCTTTTCTTCTTCAGCGGTCAGTTCGTCAACCGAGTTTCGGAACGTCTGGCCGTTCTTCTTGCGCTCCTCGAGGGCCTTCTTGGTCTGGAACTTTCCGCCTCCCAGCACGAACCAGGGGGCCAGGGCCATGCCAAAGGTCTGAGCCATCGGGATGATGTCGCGCTCAAAGTCCCGGAGCAGGACGTTCCACCGGCCCTGGTAGATGACGAACGGCGTTTTTCCGTGGTCTATCGCGTACGTGTTGGCCGCGCTGACGATCCAAGCAGGCATATCAGATGCTCCTAGGTACAAGACTTTGCCCTGCTCCACGAGAATGTGCAGCGAGTCCATCAGCTCTCTTATTGATGTCGTAAAGTCCCACCAGTGGACATAGAGAATGTCAATGTAGTCCGTCTGCAGCTTCTTGAGCGAGTCCCTGACCGACAAATGCAGGCTTTTTCGGTGGTTCCCCTGAAAGTTGGGCGCCGTCCCCTTGCCCAGCTCATGGCTCCTGTAGTCGGAAGTGAACTTGGTCGCAATAACGAGCTGGTCTCGAATCCCCTTCTTGGCCGCCCACTCCCCGATCCACGTCTCCGAGTCCTCGTCCTGGTAGTTGTTGGACGTGTCGATGAAGTTGCCTCCGGCATCGAAGAAGGCGTCGAGCAGCTTGAAGGAGCTCTCCTTGTCCATGGAGCCCATGTAGTCGGACCACTTCTCGCCAATGGACATGGCGCCCAGGGCGAGGGGAGAGACCCGGACGCCTGCGCTCGGGGCGAGGACGCGGTAGCGCCCCAGCTCCGTCTTGGCCTCTGGCGAGAGGGCCATGAAGTTCGGTACTTTGCTGCCCATTTTGGATCTTGTGCTTTCGTAACGATTCGCTTTGGTTTATCGACTTTTGGCTGTTTGTCTTGTGATGCTTCCGCTGCCCCTCCTTATATATATCTCATGACGTCGGCGGGAGCTACCCCATGGGCTTGTCTATCTCCGAAAACATCGCTCAACCACCAATCGGAATCGGAATTAGCCGGACATAGTGCCATTGATCGCGATCGAGATGCGTGTCTGCTGAGAAATATAGATATGTAATGAAGTTGTGATGGATTGAACAGGTAGTGGGGGGTTAAATGTTGAACTGAGGGGTCGTGTCGGCTGCAACCCAAGAGTCGAGATACCATAAGTCCGTGGTGCCTGTATATAGCCCGGTACCCCCGTCTGACCTCTGCGTATTCGATCGTAATGATTGCAAGCCACAAGTAATTGGAAAGCATTTGAACCGAAGAAAAGGATTATATATTCAAGCCCCGCCTTGCTGCGCCAAACGCCTTTCCGTCTAACTCTAACAAACATCGATTCCGCTGTCAACATAAATTACACCAGACACTAGCCGTGCCGACCTCGTCCCGTTGAGCCACCTCGTCTTCGACCAGTAGCTTTATCATGCCGAGCACGGCACGTTGGCCTTGCAATTGTCCGGTAGACTGTCGACCAAATCGACATTCAGCTCTCCCTTGTTGACGTCGTCCACGCCCTTTGCATAGAGCAGCGGCACCGCTCCGCAGATGGCGCATCCGTAGTCCAGCAGCTCCTGGAAGGCAGCCTTGATTGCGGCGCCGGTGACGGTGTCGTCGTAGTTTTCGATCCACGCGCACAGCGTGCTCTTGAACGGGCCCTTGAAGTTGAGCGAGTCGATTTCGATGCAGGCAATGTCGTCGCCGTTTTCGTATTTGCGCGTGTCCTCGATGGTTTTGATGACGGTGCCGAGTTGCGAGAGACGGCCTCCGCTGAGGTATGCGATGCCTGTTACGATGGAGAGTTAGTTGGGGGGAGTTGATGGCGGTATAGGTCGTCATGATGTTGAGCGTACCACAGCGCGTATCTCCATGGCAGTTGATGCCTAACCCGGCAACGCTCTGAGCAGCCGCAACGGCGACGGCGATGAAGCTGGCGAAACGCATTGTACTGGATCGTTTAGTTAACGTCGAATCACATCACCAGAACCGGTGTAGAGGCCATACATGTATAGGTGTCTGAGACGAGATCGAGTTGGGCGTCAACGAAGCTCGGCGCTGAGGTAATGAGAGATCCGATCGATTATATACTAGTGGAGTCTAGAGAGATGTAGAAAGCGATCAATGCAGACCTTGGGTTGTCAACCGACTCGTCGAGACCCAATCTCAATATGTATCTACTATGCTTGTCCGCTGATATAAGCGCTAAGCAGAGCGTTGCAGAGCAGTTTGAGTCTTCAGCTGGCCGCCTTAGCCGGGACACGAACTTTCTCCCTTTTTATCTGTTCTAGTGCAGTTGAATGGGAAGTAGGAATTGTCAGTAATTGGTTGGTGTTTGTCATGCGGGTTTGTTGGGTGCTAAAAACAGTCGTCCCTAGCTTCACGATGTTAAACTCGGCTTCAACGATTCCGGGCTGTGCCTCATCGACTCCAAATGGGGCCAACCTTGCTCATTTGCCGTTATCAACCATCGTGTGCACGAATGCTTTCATTTCCATATATCCTTCTTGTACAAATCCGAACGAATTGAATCAAATTGTATGACAGCTCACAAAGCATCTGCCTCATGTCTCCATCCGCTGCTTCATCCATCTTGGAGAGAGCTCGACATGAGCTGGACATGCCACTGACAAGCTTTACCCCCAACAAGACAAGAACACACACAGCCAGCGACTACCCGCCGGGTACTCAGACCCTGTCATTCATCTGAGTACCAACGCTTTCTTTGGCGCCGGCTCGAGGTGATGCCGCCGTCAGGAACGTTATTTTTGGTCCAGGCTAAATTTAGAACCCATGAGTAAGGCTAGAGACCGGAGAACCAACAGCAAGAGATCAGATGCAGGGATCGGGCCGGCATCAGTTGTGACAAGCCACCTCGAAGACAAGCCGGGAGCACCGCACACTTGTCTCTTGAATCGTGACTATATGCAGCAGCCCTTTTAGAGTTGCTGAAGCTGTAGACGCCATGATAAGCTCAATCGGAGCTACAAACCGATAGCAAACATCATTACATGTAAAAGCCATCTCCAAAGAGACGCTGGGCAAGACATAGGATAACACTTCTTCTTCTCGCCGAGGTGTATAACCAATCACGCCCTTTATATATGTTTGGTTCAGCTTTCTTATTATCAATCCATAGGGATAAACTCAGCTGTACGTCTAGTCATTCTGCTACCATTGTCACCCGTCAACTGCATCATCACGCCGCATTTTCGCCCATGGCGTTCCTGATCGCATCAACCGCAGCCCGCGTCAGCAACCAGTTATTCTTGACCCATTTCAGCTCGCCCTCCTCCTTGTCCGTCAGCTCCCTCCCCCGCGTATCAAAGTCAGGCCGATCCAGCGATAGCATCTCCAGCCATTTCGCGCGCCGCTCTGAAGGCGCCAGGATCTGGTCCATCCAACTCGCCACTGTACTCGTCTTCAGCATCTGGATACTCCCAAGCATGGCCGTGCGACCACTGAACTGGCACCTCCACGCCTTCATGGTGACATTCTCCCTCTGAAGCCAACCTGCGGCCAACTTGTCGTCATTGTAGAGAACGCAATCCAGCGTCCAGGCCACGACGATGAGCACCAACAAACCCACCCCGTCCCAGCCCTTCTGCGCAGCAACATATGTCATGGTGAGGATCTGAAAGGCAGAAAGAGCCCGCAGGGTGAGGGCCAGCATCCTGTTTGGACGAGCCGTAATGTCCAGGATCATGGGCTTGTTGAGCAGGCCATCGACAACGGCCCGGGAGCCGCGGTAGAGATACCACGTCGACGCGTTCTCGTGTATTGCCGCGAGCATGCAGCCATCGACCTGGTTGGGCTCGTTGTTTTCCAGATAGCCCGGGGGCGTGATAACTTTGATGTAGCTCCGTGCCGTGCGAAACACGGCGCTGAGGAGGATCGCCGCCGCAGTTCCGTATAAACCGAACAAGACGGTCACGGCACCCGCACCCAGAAGGATAAGCAAGAAGACGCCTTCGCCAAGAGTGGACAGCCAAGTACCGGAGATGGTTGCCCTGACACCTTTCCTCCGCTCGGCGTCGACGGTGCAATCTATAATGTACAACGTCTGGAAGCGGCGAAACGGAGACACTGCAGCACCCTTCTCCTTTTCATTCTTCGTCGACCCATCTTCCTCCTCCGAGACAGCACCATCCGCGAGTCCATCTTCATACGCACGCGTCAACTTCGCCAAATCCTGCGGAATCTCAACCTCACGCGCACCACGAATCACATGCCTTGCGAGGATGTCGCTCGCCGCCCCGTTGGCGCAGGGAAACACGCTGCCAAAGTTGGCGTCCCAGACGGTCCTTCTGAGCTCGCTGATGGACGACGCGCGATCCAGAAAATCGGACGACTCGCGGATGAACTCGGCGACGCTGTCCAGCACGCCGAGCCGCGGGAACAGGCTGACGCTGATGAAGCTCGCGAGCGCCGTCTGCCCGACCAGGCGGTGGGACAGGCCGCTGCCGGCTAGGTAGATTGCCAGAGGGAGGATGCCGACCCATTCGAAGAAGATGGAGGTTGTGACCTTTGAGACGGGGAGGATAGGGGGGGCGACGCCGTCTGTGCCCCAGCTTGCTGGGGGGTCGCCCGATGCATTCATCCTAAACTTGTTGAGACGGAGGCAGAAAGATCGATTGAGACAGACAATCCGATGGAAGTTGATGAGCAAATTCAACAGCGTTGATTGGCAGCTGACCGATATGCAAGAGATGGCATATCGTGTAACGCGCAGTCCTCAACAGAGAGTATCTTATACCTGCGATCGTACCAATATAGGCAGTATTGGATGCTGCAGCCTGTTGTTTCATGTTACTTGTAACAAAGTGTAAGAATGCCAGTTACAGAGAGCTCCTTCAGGTTGACTGTAGCGAGAGAGCCCTGCAGCTTATGCATGCGAGCCACACAACCCTTGCAATTGATGAGGCGACACCCACTTCACACCGCCAGGGCATAGATTTGAGGGACTCTGAGCATGCCATCATACATGCGCATGCGATAGGCAGCTTGAACAAGGCGAGTACTTAGTAGACAGTCTAGTGGGCTAGGCAAATAAGTATCACAGGCTGTTGAGAGTTGGCGATACTGGCATTGAGTTGAGCAATTGACCGAGCCATTGTCCGCCAACTTGGAATCTCGACAAATGTCCAGAGACAGATCATTCCGCCTCCTCGTGAATATCATTCGATCAAAAACTCCATCGTCCGAAACTGTGGCAACGGCACCCCAATATCCATCTCCAGCACCCCCTTCCACCGCCAAACCTCCCCATCACGAGACGCAACCACCGCAAAAACCGCCTTCGAAAGCCTCCTTGGATGAGGCACCCACACGTCCCGCCGATACGTATGCAGCGGCCTCAAAAGCGCACACCACTCCTCCCCATCGTCGAGATACCCGACAGCCGCCTTCTCCAGCGGCGACACAGAGCCCGCCCCCGTGAACTTCTCCAGCATACGATCCAACGCCGTCGTCCGCCGCCGCCGCCGCCGCGGTGCCTCAAACTTGTACGCCCACCAGTCCCCGTGCAGCCCCCTCTCCTTAATCAAGCTCACCCGCGTCTCGACCCCGTGGTAGGGCAGAAGCAGCTTGTCGTAGTCGGTGGGCGAGCCCTCGCCGTGCAGGCTAAAGTTGGGCCGCGAAGGAGCCCAGCTGAATCCCTTGACGCTGCTCAGCCTCTCGTAGCTGGACACCAGCCAGCCCGACGGGACGCCTCGCCCTACTTGGTTGCGCCAAATGTCCTCCGCCTTGTCAAACACCGTGTCGCCGCACAAGAGTCCCCATATGATGACTGCGTCGCCGGGTCGACTCGCCTGTCTGAGCGCCAACAGGCCAGCGGCCTCCTTGATTTCGACGAAGCCTTTTCGTCGATTGACAATCCACCGCTCGGACTGCGAAGGGTCGTCGTGGCCCTTGCCGTGAACGTAGGCCTGAGACGGGAGCAGATGCTGCGCAGAGAGGAAGAGAGCCGCAATGTCGATGCTGCCCCGGTTGCACACGTCCAGCAGGACATCCTTCAGCGACACGACGACGTCATGCTTGCAGAGGATGTGGATGTTGTGTCGCCCCCTGAGCGCCTCTAGCAAAGTCCACGCGCGCACGTTCCAATCGCAGACCAAAATCATGGAAACTATAGCCTCCTTAGCGGCAATGTCCCCGTCTCGAACGTCAATGGCCATCAGGTCCTTGTCGCAGACAAGCGTCAGCTTGCTCATGGCAAAGATGAAGTTGATGTTGGCTATCGCCTCTTCTCGGAGGAAATGATCGCTCGGAATGCACGGCGTGTCCATCCAGAAAGATTCGCATTCGTACATCCTTGCGATCCTGGAATAGCGCCTGAACAAGCAGCTGTTGAGGCCGGTGCCCCCTATCGAAGGGTCATCCTCTGGCCGGCCGCCTTGTCCATGGCTCCAGACGTGAGAGACGGCTATCGTCTTGCTGGAAGCTTGAACATAGTTCAGCCGGCCATCGACGCCCAGGTCAAGCGATACAGCCGCCGCACCGCCTATGCCTCTCCAAGACTCTTCGTTCCAGTACAGTGACGAACAGTTTCCGTCGCAGTCCGGCGCGTGAGCAGACTGGTTCGTTATACTCATCCCAGACAGCCTGAGGCACTTTCCAGGCTGTCTACCATCGCACGTCGTCGGCTCTCCTCCGTCGGTAGGAATGACGCACCGAGCCTGTCTGTGAGAAAACGTCTGCGACAAGCGGCTGAAGAATCTCCTATAGTCCTGACCAACGACGGCTTTGTCCTCCCGCAAGAGCCTCCAGGACCAGTTGCAAATATACGGCGGATGGCACGCCTCCGCCTTGGCCTGATTCAACCGCTCCGCCATTCTCACGATATCCGATCCGTCCAGGGGAGTTGTAACGTCCCTGTGAGTGTCGTAGCCCCATGTAAGTTGCTCTTTGAGCACGTAGTAGTGGTAGAGACTTGTTCCTCGCTGCCATGACGTCCAGAAGAATGCCTTGACGATAACCCATTCCGGCCATGGATCTTCCCGCGAAAGAATAATCGCCTCTCTGAGGACCTCGACCGTGGTATCGAGAACGTACCTAAAGTGTTCCGCGTAGTTGGACTCTCCCCCGAATACAATCTGAATCTGTATCGCGATACGCAGCACATTGCGGCTGACAAAGTTGGTAACACGCAAGCTTTCCCAAGACGGATCAGAGTCGGGGAGAAAGTAATCTTCGTCAAAGAGGCTGTACGGCCGGTCAACCAGAGGATCGTGGAACTCATCAGCGACTTGCGGGAGACGCTCTATAACGCCGCACACTTCGTCGACGAGGTCCTCGTCCTCCTTTGTAGGTTGAAAATGGCACTCGAGAAACTTGGAGTACCACTCGTCAAGGACCTGGACATGCGATGCAGGCTCCGTGAGCTGCTCCTTCAGAGCCAGGCACCACTCCTTCGCCCTTTGCTTCCTCCTGACAGCATCATAGACTTTGATAGTGCCGTTGACGACTTCCCTTTCAAAAGTGGAGGTGTCCAACTCTCTTGGTGATCCTCCATCGCCTGGACGCGGGATATAGCGCTCGGTGCGAAGGATGTCTCGGGTGACCTCCCGGATCGATCCAAAAGCTGCCATGGTCTGAATGCGTCGCTGGAGTAGAACGTGGTGTTCCCACCAAAAGAATGCATCTTATGCAAAGGAATGATTATGCCTCGAGATGAGCGGGATAGTTGGTGCCTAAACGCTGGGATAATCGGCTGACACTCCGCATAAGGCTGCCACACATCCTTGTCCACAGCCGAGTATGCTATCCTAGGGAAATCTTGTAAGTCGACAAGGCGTCCTCGTGTGTCAACTCAGCTTCAATTATAACCACTGACTGTGTCTGTCATGTACTGTCTAGTAACGTATTGTCCAATCTATATCAACAAAAGAAATGGCCTCGCGCGGCCCGGGTATTTCCAGTCCCAAAGCAATTGTGTCCAATGTCCATTCTGCGGCTCGCTCAAAGTAAGAAAACGCCAAGTCCAATATGCAGAACAATGAGGATGATTAAAACAACAAGGAAATGGCGATCCAGCCAGTGTATGATGCAGTCCCATGATAACCCTCAAACAAATGAAACCAGTATAATCGATACAAGCCGTCAAGCCGGGGTCGCCGTCTCTTGCAAGATCTCAGACAAGGAGCTGTGGTCGACCGCCTCGGCCGTCGTTCTGCCGCCTCTCCGCTGCTGCAATGCCCAGTACTGCTGGAACCCCGGAATCGCGCCAGGCTGGTTGATACCCGGCGCCCGCTGGGGTATCTTGCGCTCCTTCTCCGCCGCCCTGGGCAGGCTTTGGCTCTCTCCTCCCCATGGCCGCCACCCAACCCACTTGCCCAGGCCGCCAGCAGTCCGAGAGGCTTGAGATGAACCCGACATGTCCGATGTGGGGGTGGAGCTCCTCTTTGGTAGAAGGCCGGCAAAGTTATCGCGGAGAACAGCATCGCTACGTTTCGAGTAGTTCGTGGACAGTGTCGGCTGGGCGGTGGCATCGCTGAGGACGGCATCGGCTCCCCCGAGCGGGCGGAGTGTCATTTGGCTGGGTCGGATCTGCAGCGTGTGGATGTCGAGGCCGCCCGATAGCGACATGATGGACTCGTGAGACGGTACGCGGCGCAGCCGGGGGCCAGGTGTTGGTGTATCCGTGGGTTTCGAGTCCGCCGGCTCGTCTTGAGCATCTTTGGTCGTCGGCGTAGTAGAGTGTACGTCTTCGTCCTCTTCGTGGATAATGCCGCTGCTGAGTCGGTAGGGGTTCTGCGTCTGGACGGTGGTGCCAGGGTCAAAGTCGATGATGGAGAGAGATTGGAAGCTGCAGGATGAGGCTGCTGATGGACGTTTTCTGTGCGAAGCGCGCCAGGTTGGAGACGTGGGGTCGTAGCTGGTGGTGGGCGACATGAGAGAATCCGTCTCAGTCCCGCTGTGGTCAAATAGGCGCGGAGAAGTCGGAAGGGAGGATGAAAGTTCGGACGGAGTAGAAAACTCGTGCCAGGCCGCGGAGCTGGCAGTGATGGGCGTGGTTTCGCCCGTCCGGGAGAGAACCGGGCCCGTGGGGGACGACACCAAGCGCCGCTGAGACCACGGGCCGGGAGAGGACGAACGGGAAATGGTAGCCGGGGGCGTAAAGATGCCGGGCAGCAGGCCGTGGCGCTTCTTCTTGGGCTTCCGGGCCTCCTGCTTGGGCGTGACATGGTAGTGGTGGTGGATGTGGAACTCTTGTGACGGCCGTGCGCTTTCGAACAAGGAGGGTTCCAATTCTGCCTTGAGGTTCGAGACGGGATTGGGTCCGTCGGACAACGGCTGGTGAAACATGAGCTGCTCCCTCAGCACCTGTATCTCGTCGTTGGAGGTGATGAGCATCTCCCTCAGCTCGGCAATACCGAGCTGCAGGTTCGCATTATCCTGGAGCAGGTCCCGCACAAAGTGGCCGACAATCTTGTTCCCCTGCCGCTGCTCGGTGATAGATTTTGACGCCGCCGCGCCCTTGAGCCGCACCGCCGCGGCATCCAGATGCTTCTCCACCTCGCGCTGGCGCTCGAGCTTCTCCATCATCTCGTCGTGCCGCTGTCGCTCGAGAAGCGCCTCCTTCTCCATGCGTTCAAGCTGATCCTGCATGTCGAGGATCCCCCGCTGGGCCTCCTTGAACCGCTGCGCATGGGAGCGAGCTTCCGCCTTAGAAGCCTGCAGCTCTCCAGTCAGCTTGTCCTGCTCCTCTTCAAGGATCTTGAGGTGCTGGTCGGCCTCGGCGGCTCGCGCCGCGGCGCTCTCAAGGCGGCGGATGGCCTGTTGCGAGGAGAGAAGGCTTGCCTCTAGGCTTCTGATCTTGGCGTCGGAGTCGAAGACGGTGCTGTTGAGGATCTCGAGCTGGTCGAGCAGCTCATTGTTCTCCTCGACCTTGGCTGCATTGTCGGCCTCCAGCTGCTGCTTGTCCAGCTGCAGGCGCTCGATGCGGGCGTTGAGTTGCAGCCGGTCCCGTTCCGCGTCGGCCATGTAGGCTTCGTGCCTGGCAAGCAGCGCCTGTAGGGCAAATGTCAGTGGGGATTCCGTCTGCCGGTAGCACAGCATGCTGGTGGGTGTGAGGACATGTCGGGATGCGTACAGGCCGGGTGCCCAAGTCTTGACGTCTTGTTCACCAGATGGAATGCAGAACGCGAGAAAGGGATGCCGCAGGAAGGATAGAATTGCAGCGACGCGTGTAGACAATGGACGGTGACAGGAATGAAGGGAATGGGGAAATGAAGCGAGCAAATGAAGCAGCAACCTGCAGCCAAGCCCAATGGCGCCCACAGACGCAGACGCCCACACACACACACACATACCTTGCCTAATTGAGCGGCTGTCCGCACATCCTTCTCTACAGCCTCCAGAACAGAGCAGTTGTTCTTGAGGTTGACGCAATCTGGACTGCCGCAGCAGCACTGCAGGGACGAGCGGGACGAGGGGCGAGAGCCGGTCTCTGGCGGAACGATGTCGAGCTTCTCCATGTCGGCAAATGAAGGGATAGAAGATAAGATGGTGAATCAGGAGCAAAATCGGTGGTAGATATCGGTCGCCGCAGTGCAAAGCGCTGCTCGGTCGAGGCCTCGATACGGTAGCGATGCTGCAGCGACAAACATGGTCCTTGCGGGAGTCGCGGGTTCGAGGCGATTTCAACGGGCGAGATGAACGAAGGCGAATAGGGTCGGCATCGAGAGGAGAAGAGGTAAGAGTAGAGTCGAGCGAAATGAAATGACCTCCACCGGAAGACGGTTGATGAGCCACGACAGCCTCGTCGAAAGGAGGCGGAGGCTGGAGCTGGTGCGGCGGGAGTAGCGGTACTCGCAAAGGAGCGGATTCGTAGGATCAGGCCGGTGATGAAGCGAGCACTGGCGGTAATGCGACTTGAGGTCGAATCGAGGAGGATGCAGGAGGATGAGCGGACGAGATCGGCTGCCTCGAGACGAAGCTGTGCCTGCAGATGGATGGCTGGTGGTGTGAAGCCCTGGGCCCAGCAGTTAGACACCGCCTAGACGCGTTGAGGCAGATGACAAGTACCGCTACTCGGCGATGCGCGTGGCGATGTGTGGCTGGCGCTGTATCGAGTACGGCGCGTCTCCCTGTTCCTGAAATTAGTGGCTGCACCTGCAGTAGCTCGCTGTAGCTGCTGGCGGGTGGCTCTGTTTAGCGCCGCCAGGGCCGCCTATTGGGGCGGATTGGAGGCGGGAGCCCTGAAAATTCTCACTCTGCATCCGCCGCATCCAGCTCTGCATCCGTTATTGGACTCGGAGTGTCTCAACTGTCTGCGCCTTGCGAGCTGCTCTGTACACGGGCTGATGCTCTCATCCTCCAGCTGACTGTGTCACGTCTGGCGGTTGACACCTTAATTGTTATTCATCTATTTCCACCCCGTCCTCACGTGGCTAGTCCGGGGCTGTCAATGCGAGGATCGTGACTGGCCGCGGTGACTTTACCTCGGGTGCGGATTGCATGGGGCTCGTTGTACCGGGTCCAGTGCCAGCACAGCAGGCCCACCCGGTTTGCTGGCCCTGAGCGGGCCGGAATTGCTGCATCTGACGTGTGCGGATGGCGAATGTCTCGTGCCTGCGAGCGCTGCGAGTGACAAGTGCGTGAACTGAAGACGATGCGATGAGATGAGGGTTGATTAGTATTTAATAGTTGGTTCTGTGAATGCTGCTCATTCAGTCGACGAGCAGATTCAGCAGCCAAATTGTTGGTGACATATCCGGCGGCTTAGCGGAATTACACCGCAAACAGCATGACTCGAGCCAGCTTCCGTTGCATACGTCACTTGTGCTCGCACAATGCTGTGTAACATAGACAATGCACCCCAAATTACCTTCATCGATCATTCATGATCAAATCTAGAATTGATGCCGCCGTTCGACATGAATTCCACCGAGTTTCTAGGGTACGGAAACTTGGGTTCACCGGCCGGTCAAATGTAGGACCGCAATGACGGCATCACTTCCGCATCCATTGCGTCATCCGCCAATCAACGTCCGCCTGTTGCAAATCAAGCTCGACATCTCAGCTTCGCTCACCAGCTTCATGCTCTACAGCAGACGAAACCGGGCTTACAAATCTCCAGCTCCGGGAATTCAAGAGCATGAGCTACCGGTAGTAGTAAACAAACAATTGAAGCTACCTCGCTAGAGCTGTCTCGAACCTACAGTTCCTCCGGTAGCATTCTCTCCTCCTTCCGCAGTCTGCCCGCACTATCTCCGATCTCACTCGCGTCATCTCGAGCTTCTTAAACCTCCAGGCATGCTCCTGTTACCCCGCAACCCCCACCTCCGTCATCTGCTCCCATCAAGCCATCGTCTGTCTTCATTCTCTCGCCAGTTTTCGTTTGCAGCAGCCATGTCTCAAGAATACAAGCTCAAGGGCGTCACCGCGCTCCCCAAGCCCGGCCAGAAGCAGGAGGCCGAGGTCGAGGGCATCCAGGACGCAAAGGTCCTCCTCGTTGGTCTCCAGCAGGCCGGAAAGGCAGAAGTCAAGGCACTTGGTGCCAAGTGCACCCATTACGGCGCACCGCTGGTCAAGGGCGTCCTTACCAGCACGGGACGTCTCACCTGTCCCTGGCACGGAGGTGAGTGACCAGATCTCCTTTGGAGACGACATACGTACTGACAGATTAGCCTGCTTCAACGCTGCCCAGAACGGTGACGTCGAGGACGCGCCGGCCCTGGATGCGCTGCCCGTGTTTCCGCTGACTGAGCGCGATGGAGGATACTACATCAGCGGCGAGGAGGCCGCCATCAAGGGCTCGCGGAGGAGGCCCAACTTCCCCTGCAGTGTGTCGAGTGACTCCAAGGAACACGTCGTCGTCGTTGGCGGCGGCTCTGGCACGCTCGGTGTCGTCGAGGGCCTGCGTGAAAAGGGCTACCGGGGCCGTCTCACCGTCATCTCCAAAGAGGGCTACCTCCCCATCGACAGGACCAAGCTGAGCAAGGCGCTCATCACGGACGCCGCCAAGTTGGCGTGGCGCGACAAGAGCTGGTACGACAGCGGCGCCGTCGAGTGGGTGGATGGTGAGGTCAACGGTGTTGACTTCGCCGACAAGAATGTCACTCTCACGAGCGGCAGCAAGATCCCCTACACCAAGTTGGTTCTCGCGACGGGAGGCACGCCCAGGGCCCTTCCCCTGCCGGGCTTCAAGGAGCTCGGCAACATCTTTACGCTGCGCAGGGTGCCCGACGCAAAGAACATTGTGGATGCCATTGGCGACAAGGGCAAGAAGATTGTCATCGTCGGGTCGTCGTTCATCGGCATGGAAATTGCCAACGCCACCGCCAGCGACAACTCGGTCACTGTTGTTGGCCAGGAAAAGGTCCCCCTTGAGCGTGTTCTTGGCGAAAAGGTCGGCGCCGGCATCCAGACGGCCCTGGAGGGCAAGGGCATCAAGTTCTACATGAGCGCCGGCGTCGACCGGGCCGAGCCGTCCAGCTCGGATCCTTCCAAGGTGGGGTCTGTCCACCTCAAGGACGGCACCAAGCTGGATGCTGATCTCGTCATCCTGGGCGTCGGCGTCGGTCCCGAGACGTCCTACCTCAAGGGTAACAGCGCCGTCCAGCTCGAGTCCGACCAGTCTCTGCGGACCGACTCTCACTTTGCCGTCCAAGGGCTCACCGACGTCTACGCCATTGGCGACATTGCCTCGTACCCGTATCAGGGTCCCGGCGGCGACGGCAAGCTGGTCCGAATCGAGCACTGGAACGTGGCACAAAACGCTGGCCGGGCCGTGGCCACCCACATTGTGGACCCGTCTCACAACAGCCAGCAGTTTATTCCCGTCTTCTGGTCCGCCCTGGGCGCCCAGCTGCGATACTGCGGCAACACCATGGCCTCTGGCTGGGACGACCTGATCTTGGATGGCAACGTGGCCGAGGCCAAGTTTGTGGGATACTATTTCAAGGGAGAAACAGTCGTTGCCGCTGTTACGCAGGGTCGAGACCCTGCAATGGTCCAGATTGCCGAGCTGATGAAGCTTGGGTTGATGCCATCAAAGAGCCAGCTGCAGAGGGGGGCGGACATTTTTAGCATTGACGTCGCGGCCCACGTATGATCATGAAGCTTGCTGAGTGTTTTGAGAAATATACCGTACATGTCCGACCGTTTTGCTTCGTTGAATGTAACATGACTGGTGACGCTGTGTCTCTGTCGTGAGCCTCGTGAAATTACATTAAGAAAGGTTAGTCATTAATGCAGTGCTAAAGGCAGCCGTGCATGTCACGAGATGCAAGCCATCAAGGTTCTCGTGCGGCAAACCGACATTCGGCCGGCGGTTTAAGAATGCGATTCCCTCCATCACACCACAGGAAATCCAAGACACAGTCGAGGTGAGAGCAAGTCGCCCGTTTTCTCATCAGATGCATCTCACCGATATCCAATGCGTCTGACATCTTGCAGCCATGTCTCAGGCGCTCAGCCCTGATTGGGCTCCGTCACCGCTGAACCTTAATCCAGCGGGGCTCACCTACCGATAGCCTACCCGTCATCACCGCCAAATGCCTCCAACCTCACCTCTATTGCCTCACTCAAGCAACCTCATCGCTGTCGTTTCGTAAAGAACAACCTCTTGATTCACATCAATTGGCCTCACAAGTTGCCTCCTCAAATCACTCATCACGCCTCATCCAATGGCCAACGAACTCTACCATTACTCCGTCGTCTCCGGCCTCATGGAAGGCTTGGGCGAATCGGGCATCCCCTACAAAACCCTCGTCCAAAAGGGCGACCACGGCCTCGGCACGTTCCGCCGCATGGCCGGCGAGATGATCTGCCTCGACGGCAACGTCTACCAGATGAAGGCCGATGGTACCATCGTTAATATCGACCCCTCTGCCGGCACCGACGTCGCCCCCTTTGCCATGGTCACCAACTTCCGCCCCACGCTCACCACAAGCATCTCCTTCAGCAGCAAGCAGGACCTCTCAGACGCCATGACGAAGCTCTTCCCCAAGACAAAGAACCGCTACCTCTCGTTCCGCATAGACGGTCTATTCTCCCTCGTCGCGGTGCGCACCGCTGACGGCCAGAGGTACAAGCACGAGAAGCTCAGGGAACTGCACGCGCGCCAGACGACGTACGAATTCAACAACATCCGCGGAAGCCTCGTCGGATTCCGATCCCCCGAGTTTTTGCAGGGCGTCAGCGTCGCGGGCGATCACCTGCATTTCATTTCCGACGAGAGGGACCGCGGCGGGCATGTTCTGGACTGCGCGTCGGGCGGCGAGGTGCAGTTTTCCGGGGCCGTCATGAGCACCATCCATTTGCAGCTTCCGGATGACGACGAGTACAACGAGGCGACGCTGGCTTTGGACTCGGACGGCATTCGCGTGGTGGAGGGATGAAGACTTGGTGACCCGACGAGATGAGGATTTTGGTCTGAGACGAGGATATATGTGCCAGCTACAAAAGGATCGCATGGAAATCCTGAGGAATTGCTCTGTAAAGTAGAGTCCTTTCTTAGCCTGTTACAACTAGCATTGAATCTCTCGCTCGTCGCAACGTACTCGTCAGCGCGAGCGCGACTGCTGGCAAGTCATTCTCCTTGAGGAGCTTCTCGAGGTGGTTGTTAGAGTGGATGTAGATCTTGCCTAGAGCGTTATATACACAGTTTTCTATCTGACCGGGACGTTCCTAAGCAGGACGTTCCCGAGCACGTTATCCAAAGCAGAACGTCCCCATCTAGAACCCTCTCTCACATACCTATTCGTCTCCGGACGCATTATCCATCATCACTGCAGCCCGCAAGGCAATTTAACAGGACGAATGATTACATACTTTGTTCTCGCGCCCTTCGAGCCCTTAAGAGAAAGAAGAGGGAGTAGGAAATCAAATGAGACGAAAAGGAGAATCACGCATTAATCACCACAGTAGTGAGCGAACAGGTCACTGTCATTCAAGTCATTCTAATGAAGAAAGAGCATACGACGTAGTATCAGATGATTAAGAGGAAAAAAGAAGAAGAAAAAAGAAAATTACCGGGCCGCGGATACATTCTCACCGCTTATCACAAAAGCCCTCCTCAGTCTCGCTTCTTTTAGAAGAGGATTTGGAGATCGCGGCCATCGAGGTCCATGGCCACCTCAGGTTTCACCTGCTCCGCCTGCTGCTGTTATTGCTGCTCATGCTGAGAATCATGCTCTGTAAAATAGAGTCTGTGGCCATGGAGTACGATAGATGTTCCGCTCAAGTCCTATGAACACAGTTGTAGAGGGAGCTTCAAAGTCCATCATGTCACTATTCTCTCCTAAAGGGGCCATCCCCTTCAGGGATCCATCCATTATGTCGCGTCCTGCGCAGTTCTTGTCTTCACTTATCCTCTCGCCACTAAGAGGTTCATATAATATAATAAGGTAGCTTACTACAGTTACCTAATAGAGGTAGAACATACTAGAGGAATAGTATGACAAACCGGTGTCCTTATGATTAGTAAGAACAGTCTTTCCTAAGGGATAAACCTAAGGTTTATAGGTTTATATTAGCAGAGAGATTAGGTTAGATGTATTAGCAGTAACTTATTATATAGCTAGGTAATACCTTTAGTAAATGTCTAGGTTTTAATCTAAGTGTATTATTATTACTATGCTACTTATATAATAATAACTGTCTATTTAAACTATTTAAATAGGTGTTATAAAGGAATCCTTATATAGCTAGTTATCCTATCTAGATTATTTAATATTCTAATAATTCTATTCCTAAATTATTTATATAAAAGATAATCTATCCCTTAGATTATTAAAGGATTTAATAATCTATTCCTAATTAACTAATTAGTTTAATATTTATCTAGTACTATTTACTAAAGGTAGTCCTTAGTTATAACTATAAGTATTAGGTTATAATATAATATCCTCCTCTTATAGGCCTTATCCTTAAGGCCTTGCCTAGTATTCCTATATAATCCTATAAGTGCCCTGCTCCTTAACTAGTGCGTTTTTTTATCTTTTACTTTATTTTATTTATATACTAACTTATTTTTAATAATAATAAAGAGAGTAAGAAAAAGTCTTTATTTAAAAATAAAAAAGTATAAAAGTCTTTTTAATTTTATTATTTATAGCGCTAAGAAAATAAATAAGCGTTATTCCTTTTATATTTTTAAAGACTTTAAAGAGTATCTTTTATCTACTATTAATTTATTATATTATTTAAAATGCATATAACTAAATAAATCTTACTATAATATTTAAGGTTTTACTGCTAATTAGCTTAACTAAGTGTCTGCTTAGCATTTTTATTTAAAAGAAGAGCTTAAGTCTGCTAAGGATGCTTTTACTAAAGTGGCTGTAAAGGTATTATAACTTTAAAAGCAGAAATAATTATAGTATAAGCAGATGCATTATGCTATTATATAAGGTATTATAGATTTAGAAGAGCTAGATTATATTAAGCGTAAGGAGGCAGAGGCCTTTTATTAAGTAATAGCGTCTATACCTAATTTAATAAATTCTAATATCCTAGCTTTTTTTATTAACCTTATTAATTAGTCCTAGTTTAAGTTAGATCCTTCTTTATTAACCTTTATAAGTTTAACTGCTAATAAAAATTATTAACTAAGGCCTTTAAGTGTTTAAGATACTTAATAGGCTTTTAAGTGTTATTAGCTTTATTATAGTTTTTCTATTTTATAAGATATTTTAGCTATTAGGTTTTTTTATTAAATTTTATTTAAAGTATTTATTTTACTTTATATTTAAGTTCTTTACCTTTAATTATAATTTTATTATAAATAATTTCACTTATTTTCTTATTTACTACTGCTTTCTTAAGTAATAATATATAAAAAATATTATATATACTTTATCCTTATTATCCTTTTTTTATTAAAAGGTTAAGTTTATAATTAATTTCTTTAATTTATTTTAAAACTTTATATAGTTTAAGTTTCTTAAAGTTAAGCTTATTACTTAGCTAGTTTATTTTAATATTTAGTTATTTTTCTCTATATATATACTAAAGTAAGTAAACTATATCTCTTTCTTAAAGAATTAGTCCTTTAATTCTTCTTTAATTTATATACTTACTTATTCTTTCTTATATAAATTTAAGTTATATTTATAGGTTATTATACAGTTCCTTTAATTAATTTACTATAATAATTACTTTTTTTATATTTTTACCTTATCTTAAAGGTTAAAATACTTTTAGTTTAAATCTATAGTTTATATAAAATAGTAATTTTTCTATTAATTCTACTAATATACTATTATATAAGATTTATACTATTAATAAGTATTTAACCTAGTTATTTTATTTAAAGTTAATATAGTATTAAAGATATATTTTAATAATCTAGTTAATCCTTTTTATTTATTTATTTATTTATAAATAATAAGCAGTGCTAACTTTATAGTTTAATCTAAGTCTAGCTATAAGTAATTACTAAAATTTTAAGATAAATATTAATCCTTTATTAAAAATAATTTTATTTAGTAATCTATAGTTAGTATAAATATATCTTTAAAACTAGTATGCTAAGTCTTTAACTATACTGCTTTCCTTAACTAGGATAAAATAGCTTATTTTTATTAATTAGTTAACTATTATAAAAATACTATTTTAAGTTTTTCTTATTATTAATTCTTTTAAAAGTAAAAGCTTAATAATATAATTAAATAAGATTAATTCCTAAGGCTATATTAAAACCTATAAGGGTTATAACTTTCTATAAGGGAGATAGTATCCTGCTTTTACTTATTTATATATAATATATTTTAAAATAACCTTTTAAACTGTTTTTTTAATACTATTAAATTTATAGTATTATTAAACTTACTAGGTGGTTTTTCTTATTTCTTAATATTTATATATTAAATATATATAAATTATTTTAATTACTTTCTTTTATAATTTATCTAGTACTTAGATAAGTCTATTTATTATTAAGTAGCCCTTTTTTATAAAGGTGCCTTTTAAAAACTATTCTTTAGTCTAGTCTTTAATATATTCCTTAATATTATTAATAATTAGATTATCTTCTTTAATTATAAATATAGTATTTAATATCTTTAATATTAAGTTTTTATTTTTATTATATTATAGTACTTATACTTATATATCTAGGATCTTTTAAAAATAGTCTAGTCTTTTACTAAATATATTAGCTTTACTATCTTCTATTCCCTTATAGTGTTTAATAATTAAGTTAAACTTTAATAAATATTTATAATATTTAACTTATTTTTATAAGAGTTCTTATATTATAGTAAAGTAAGTAATATTTTTATAATTTATAAGAATTATTATAAGGAATTTACTTCCTTAATAATAGTTTCTCTAGTGTTTTTTATTAAGTGCTATATAAATTACCTTAAATTCCTTATTATAAATAAGATATTATAATTCTAGCTTATATAGCTTTTTTAAAAAATAAGTAACTAGTTATAATTTCTTATTTTTATCTAGTTAGCTTAGTACTCCTTTTATAATATAATTTAATATATTTACCTTAATAGTAATTAGCTTTTTAAAGTTAAATATAACTAGCATTAGGTTATTACTTAAAGCCTTTTTTAGTATATTAAATACTTTTTATATATTAAGTGCTTATAAGAATTTCCTTTCTTTTTTAATAAGTTTTATAAATAGTATAGCGATTTTTAAAAAGTTTTAAATAAATTATCTATAATAGTTAGCAAGTCTTAAAAAGCTTTAAACTTCTTTTATATTCTTTAGTAATTACTATTTACTAATAGCTTTAAGCTTTTTAAGATCTATATATACTTCTCTAGGCATAATAATATATTCTAGAAATATAACTTCTTATTAATAAAATTAATATTTCTCTAGTTTTATTAGTAAATTTGCCTTTTTTAGTATTTTTAATATAAAAGTAATATACTTTTTATATTCTTTAAGAGTTTTTAAGAAAATAAAAATATTATTAAGGTAAATAATAATAAATAAGTTAATAAATTCCTTTAATATATAGTTAATTATTTT